TGATTATTTCAGCTTTTAAAATCTGAGCACAAACCTCTACGCCTAGCAGCATGTCTACTCGCCCTGGTGAATGAAAACTCGGGTCTGCCAGGGTGAGTCCTTTTAAGTGCGGCCAGGTGTTCGTTGAACCATTAAACCTTTCTGATGGCAAATGTGATGTCAGTCGTGTCGGCATCACATAAGCATTGATGCTAAGCTGGAAGTTACTCTGACACGTCGAACGAAGCTCGACCCTTATGACGTGATTGACAGTTGTTTGCGCTGCTCCGACGCCAGTAATAGTTCCCTTTATTCGAGTTCTCTTAGCCTTTAATAACTGTGCAGCTCGCTCACTTATAAAGTTTGCTTGAGAGCCCTGATCTACTAGCGCTCGCAGCACCGTATTGTGTCCGTCTTCACCGGTCACTTGCACTAATGCAGTTGCAAGCAACACTGTCGATCTCTCTGACACAAAGTGCGTAGTTAGTGCTACCTCAGGATTGTCACTGTCAGCCTTCTTCTTTGGTACGACCTCTATTTGACATTGATTCATTTCCACATTGTTTGACTGACCGCTGTTGGGTTGATGTAGCAATGTATGATGGCGGCGGTTGCATCTTCGGCAGGACATTCGATTCCGGCATTTTTTCACAGAATGTCCTGATGTCAAACAATTGAAGCATAACCTGTTTTTCTTAACAAACTCATTGCGTTCCTGAGGTTGTAACTTACTAAATTCTTTGCAATGAAACAAGGGGTGCTCCGCGTTACACATACTGCATGACTTTGTTGGTGATTTATCCGTCTTCTCTTCCGGTGATGTGGAATGGAATGACTTCGCCTTAATAGTTGTCTGCTCCTTTTTAGTTGTAGGGTTAACCATCTCCAGTGTCCGATATTTTGTTTCCAGGAATGTTTTAAGTTCTTCCCAAGTTGAGAGTTTGTCTGAGTTTTCCTTGTAAGAATCTTCTTCCCATGCTGTGTGCGTATCAACATCTAACTTTTGTACAAGTGTGTAAATTATTATCTGATCCCAGTACTCGACAGGTATTTCTTGATTTTTCAGATTATTTAAGCACTGAGAGGTGGTATCTAACAAATTCTTGATTTGCACAGCTGATGGAGAGGTCATTTTCTTTTGAGTAAATAATTTATGGAGTAGAGTATAAACTATTAAACGTTTGTTTCCATACCTTTGGACAAGTGCATTCCATGCCTGTTCATAATTATCCTCGGTGATAGTGATATGTTTCAATAATTCTTTAGGTTCACCAACAAGGCTCAACTTCAGGTAATGTAACCTCTCAACTTTACATAAAGACGTGTTGTTATGTACCAGCGACGTGAACATATCTCGAAACATAGGCCAATTATCATAGCTTCCGTTAAATGTAGGTAACTCGATGCGTGGTAATTTAACACGTGGTGGCGTCAAACCATCAAAAGATTGACTCTGACTCTGAGTGTCTGATGACTTCGAAGATATCGAAAGCATATCCCTTAAATCGCCTATTAAACAAGAGTATAAATCTTCAACCACAAAGTAATCTTCGTTTTCAAAATATTGAAGTTCATTTCGTTTGGTCTTAGGTGTACATTTCACTAAATCTTGATGTGTCTTATTAAACGTTCGCCAATATTCTTCAATAGTTTGTAGTTTGGTTTCAATATAACCTCTTGTTAATCTTTGCTTTGGACATTTCTTCAAATTTCCTTGCGTCTTTTGTAACAGTAAAAAAATATCTTCTAACGAGTTTATTAATTTTTGTTGTTCACTGGTTAACGTAACACTCATTGTTATGTTTTTCAATTCAAATGTTCTGATGATATTTTATAGCGCTCACAATAAGGTTAATGCCTAATGTTTATTTTAATGTCCGTCTATTGAGATGTAGCTTCTAATATGTTCTTGATAGCATAGTTTTAAAACACACACGTTTTTAACTTCAATCGCTTGTTTACTATAAATTACTGTGATGACTTGCGAAAAAAATGCACATAAAAAACCAGCTCAGGCAAGCGGCTTTTGTTCTCCGATCGCCGGGTCGTCCTTATCTATTTTTCTAGTAATCCGGCTCGTTTGGACCATATGTTCATTTGATTAAGGTTGTGATTTGATTGTAGGACTTCTTAGAAATTAACACACGTCTTTGCAGTATGATGGTTTATTCGGTACTACTCTAATGAACAAGACAGATGATCAACGATTTATAGCAAACAGATGGACTATAGTAAAGATGCAATAAAATTGTTTAGTATTTCAATGCAATTGTTTAGTAAAAATATACTAATTTAATAGAAACTGCAAAAAGCAATAAAAATATATTTTTAAATACATATAATAAGAATAAATTGTACTTTATTTTAGTACTATGTACTTTTTTTTATTACCTATAATCGTCAATGTACCTTAAATACCAAAAAAAGGTGGCAACCCTAGTTACAATCTTCACGTTTTTATAATATTAGTAAGGATAGTTATAATCAACTGTTCAAAGCTGGTGTAGCATAAATGACACGAACACAAAAACAATTGAATTGTATGACCATTTTTTTTTTGTCAGCGGTTCGGGAGTGTACCGTATGACAATGCATTTCGCTACTCAAAATCTGATATCATACGACTCGATAGCCTGATAAGATTTGTGATAACATTTCAGTAGTTTAATTGATTGGTAATTATTTTTAAAATCCTGCCAAAAACCCACACAGTTATCGATGACTAAGAATCTAGGTACTTAAATATTGAAATTAATCCCTGACACACATAATTAGTAATTAACATAACATCATCACGCCCTTTTTTACCTCGAAGGGGTTATGCAGAGGTGCACATTTCGGCACTTAATGCCACTGTACAATGTAACACCCACTTTTCACAATTTATGTTATGAGTCCCATGTAATAGGGGGTGAGACTATTGCCATATACCGGGCACATTTCCAGACTCCGTGCTACTACTGAGATTTTTAAAAACCCAGTAATATAGTGAACTCATCTAATTCTGTGACTCGCCTAATAATTCAGTTTAGTAAATTTGGTAGAACTCTTAGGTTTCTAGAAAAAAATCTGATTATTTGTGCTAGTATTCCTCATAAAAGACTGATTAAAACTCATGCGGAGACTGAATTAAATTAATTAATAATTTATTGGTATTATATTACTCAAATGCCTTTGTCACGAAGTTAGATGAGTTCACCCTACTTTGCCCGACCCGGGAATCGAACCCAAAACCTCTTGCACGGCAGTCGCACTTACGACCACTCGGCCAACGAGGCAGTCGCAGTAATTAGTAATTACTCCGAGTATATAGAACTGCACGTTTGGTATAATGCAGGCTATCGTAATTTCACGGGCCTGCAGACGGTGAGCATTGGTAGCTCGACGCCCGACCAGGGTGCTTACTCTTGAAACCTATCTCAATGTCAACGCAATTTCAACCCAAGAAAATCTCAATAATGATTCAATGTCAATACTATACAACCACAATCGTAGCTGTTACAATAGCATTCAGAGTACGGAATATAAAGACAAACTCAATACCATTTAGTTCATTCAATATCCGCGCAATACGGATGCAATGGACGCTAGTGTTGCAACTCAAGAGTACGACACAATATCAATGTCGATCGATCGGAATTGGATTCAAGAGTAAGCCCCCAGAACCGGACCCGTGCGTATCCTTACTTCCTTACTAATATTATAAATCTGAAAGTGAGTTTGTTTGTTTGTTCCACTTTCACGCCGTAACTACTCAACCGATTGCTTTGAATTTTTGCAGACGTAAAGTTAGAAGTCCGGATTAAATAATAGGGTACTTTTTAACCCGGAAAAATTGATATTCCCGAGGAAAAACAAAAGTATTGGTATAGATGGCGCTGTGTGTATTGGTATATGTCACATAGGCTACTTTTTATTCTTTTGTGATGCAAGCGAAGCCGCGGGTAAAAGCTAATGTTAAATAAATAGAAGCACTTTCAAAACATCAAAATTTAATTAATTGTTTGTTAGTCTATTATATACGTTAGTTAAGCTAGGTGATTCTTCCAAAATGTAGATTTTAAAATCTCTAGTAGTTAACAACTAGTAGTTAAAATAAAATAGTAACAATTTACTATTTTATTTTAACTACTAGTTGACCCGGCACACGTTGTTTTGCCATATAAATAATTTCGTAGAAGGGTGAAAATTGAGGATTGTATGTATTTTTGTATGTTGTATCATAAAAAAATATAAATTAGAAATTTTGTCTAAAAAATAAAAAAATATTTAGGGGTGGACTACCCCTAACATTTAGGGGGATGAAAAATAGATGTTGGCCGATTCTCATAGATACCGGATAAGTACAAAAAATGTCATCAAAATCGGTCAAGCCGTTTCGGACGAGTATGGCAACGAAAACTGTGACACGAGATTTTTATATATTAGATTCTATCGCGTTGAAATGCTGCTGTTGAAAAACCAAAAGCCTCTTCTCACAAGGAGAAGGTTAGAGCATTAATCACCACGCTTGCTCAATGCGGGTTGTCGATTTCAAACTTATAATTAGAAATTATAAGCCCAGGTTTCCTCGCGATGTTTTCCTTCACCGTTTGTCAGTGGTGTCTAGATAATCTTAGAAAGTTTAAATAACTCGGAAAATATCACATTGGTACCCCTCCTTATAGGTTTCGAACCTGGAAAAAGAGGTTTGGAACCCGCACTCCCATGAATGAGAAGGGGTCGTATAAAATAATTTACTTTATTGATTAGTAAATGCATAGTTCATTTTATTGTAAGTAGTAGACCGGACGTATAGCATGATAATTTAAAATAATAATTTGGCTTGTTATCTATACGTGGTCCACACATAGTGTTTGTTATGTGATAAGTAGTTATTCTTTTGTTTAACCGTTGCTATAGTCGCACTTTCAACAACTCGAATTGAAAAGTAGAAAAAATACAAAATATTTTCTGTTTCAATCATTTTGCTATTATGTCCGATCTCCTTAACTATAGCTAGCGTAATGGTAATGTCAAACCTGTTGTCAAATGGAAGCAGTTCGCTTTCAAATTTGTTCTCAAACCTAAAATGATACGAAAATGACATAAAAATGACATAAAAATGACATATTTATGATAATTCTAAGCTATATAGAATCCAGAGATGTGAATTATTTAAGATACAAGTATCTGAAATACAGATACAAGATACAAAATACGTATGTCGATATTGTATTTGAAATACAATTTTAAAATTCCATTTTATATCTTGTATTTAATTACATTCGTTCTGTATCTTAGTATTTGACAAATACTTTTCCGGATAAGATACTTTTAGAATTTTGTTCATATATAAAAAAAAATGTGATCAGCTTCTAAGCTGATATTTAAAAAATACTTTTTAAAGATAAAATACTTTTCTAGGAAAACGACTCCTGATCAATTCAAATTTCCTTATTTTAAAGGACAATGCTCACTAAGTATAAAAATGAAGATACCTATCGTGTATCTAGTATTTCAGATACCAATGTCAATAATATTTTGTTTTGTTCAATCCAGGATTCGAACCTGAGTATCTCTACGAAATGTAACATTAACTATATCTTATTATGGAGAGAGCAAAGAGTTTAGCACAATTTCTAAAAAGTTTCCACTGAAAATTTGACAACTGAGATGGCGCCACCATAGTGATTATGTCATTCTAAATAAGATTGCCAGCTTGAAATTAGTTTAAAATATTAATCATTGAAATATTATCACGGTCAAAACTAAACTCTTTACTCTCCATACTTATAGAACTGACATAATATTATATATTTAGTAACTAATGCAAAATTATGAATGTCGACGGTGAAGTGTCACATCGCTTGGTATAAAAGTTACATATTTGTGCAAATATTTTGTCTAAATTTTATGCTCCGTCAGCACGCTTGATATACAACATGTAACGTAATTAACGCACACCCTCAAACACCCCAATTAGAATATTATGTTATAATCATAATACATACACTAAATTTTTAATTTAACATGTATATGCATCCTTAGTGGTCATAAGGTTTATTTTTCTTTATTTTGTATTGAATGATAGAATTTGTATGAATACAAATAAAACTGCCATTTTAAAACTCTTATTGCTTTGACTTACGGTCTATTTCGATTTGTTTTAACAATACAGGGTTAATATGACAATAATTTCCGTAGTATAAAATAAATTTGGGATAAAAAATTACCTATACTAAAAATTATATAAATCAATTCAGTTAACGATTCTGAACAAACTATTTTCAGGATGTGCGTTATTTAAGTTACATGTATGTAGTATTTGCCAGAAATACTAAACACAACAAATCAAATCACAAACATCAATGTGTGTTGTGTATGGCAACATCGTAAACTGTTTGCCGAACAGCCTTTGATGTTTATGTTTGTGGTCGCCACTGTTCGCCACCGAAGCCGAACAGTGGCAAATACAAACTAGAAACGGCACTTTCAAACACAGATTCACATGTTCGTGTTAGCTATTTGTTGTCTACAATTGGGTACTTTGCTTAATCAAAAATAAATTATTCAAACTTTTTTTTTTTTAATGGGACAAGCCCGCCTCAACCTCCCAAAACCGCTGCAACTCCTGTAAGCCAGGATCTACAGTAGATACAACCATGAAAACACCGGAACATTGAAGTCCGGCGCGTCCCAGGGGCATGAGTAACTGTCTTGGTTCCCGCAACGAAGTGAATCAGAAGATATTATAAGAGGAGAAAAAAACGATAGTTTCCACTTCCCTCGGTGAATTACTGCAGGAGACAGAATGAATTAAGCCTGAAGGCACAAAGAAGAGACTGTACAACTGGGTGAAGCCCAGTCGCCACGTACCACGGAAATTTGACTAAAAAACTAAGTGGGTCCTATGTATGAGCTGTTATACTTGCTTCCAATAATAGGCAAAAGCGCCTAAACGCACGGAAATTATTCAAACTGTTCAATACAATAGAATATTAAAAAAATAATCACACTCTCATTAATTGATTTTATGACCAACTTATTACTAATTAATAAGTATGCTGTTTGACGCTAAAAAACATGACGTCACAATACACAATCTCGTACAAAACAAAATTTATAGAAAACTGTCGTTTTTGACAGTTCAAAAAAAAGTATTGAATTTAACTAGTTGGCAAGTACCCAATTGTTTTCAAAGCGTGTAGACCCGGCATTAAACAAGCACATGCACCAATAAGAACTCATTGACACTCCACCGCCATTTTGATTTACGATATGACAGATACACATAACCTAAAAAAAAACAAAAAAAGTCAACCATAAATCACTAAGTACCCAATCGCATTTCCCTTGATGACTTCAGATTGAGTTTCAAACATTTCTTTAATCATCTGCTCATCATACACATCTTGGGTTTTTCTCCAGCGTCTACCACCAGGTAGGACGACGGCAAGAGTCTGATCTGGGTCCAGAGGTCCGAAGACGCGTTTCGGCTTTGATGCCCGTGGCGTAGGATGTTGCTTGACCAGACGAGATTCATGTTCTATTCTTGCTTGTTCCTATATTTGCGGTTAAAATTGGTGAAGGTAATTTGATAAAAATACAACATTAAATAATAAATTAAGATCAAATCATTATAATAAGCAAAAAACCATTTTATTGGGGACTTGAACCAGCGGTTCCCGGGTTTAATGGTATATAATATTTGATTTTTCAAAATTTTTAGTTATCAAGTAAGAAAATATGTAAAAAAATAATATATATTCACGGGTAAATCAGTACATAATCTAATCACACAATGACTTCATAAAATGATAAATTGAAGCAATATCCTTTTGACTGATAGGTATATGTAAGCATTTTTTTATATATATTTGATGGGCCGACGTTTGCCTACTATCTTGCCTGGTGATTAGCGATGATGCGGTCTACGATGGAGCACGTCGATCCATAAGCAATTGTAAGAAAATTACACTTAAATTGCTAATTGCTAATAAAATTTTATCAAAACAACTTAATGTTCATCTTAAAGACCATTTTCCAGTTAACTGAAGATCATAATTTTCCACTACTATATGAAAATCCCTCTTTAAAAGAATAAATGTGTTCAGCACCTACCTTCCTCTGCTTTTCATTTCTTATTTCTTCTTCTGTCATAACAGGAGTCATTCTTGCAATATTCTGCTGTTCTTGTTGAATTCTCTGTTCATTCTCCTGATTGGCTACTTCTTCTATCGTCACCTTCTGTTCAGCTTCTTCATTCTTCGCTTCTTCGTTCTTCTGCGCTTCATTCTGCACTGCTTCTACGTTGTTCTCATTCACTTCTTGAATGGTTTGCATTTCGTGGTTTTGAGTAGCTGTTGGGAATTAAAAGGGTTACTAAAAATATATATTTGAAAATTAACTCGTCGAGTACTGTATTTATAGACACAATTAAAGAACAACAGATTGCGGTCACCGGTGACCGCTTGGTGTTTGACAGTTTAAATTGCAATGCACTAGAAGAGTAAACAGAATTTGGATCAAACAACAACCAGGTTGTCTTTTCTAGTACCGACAATTTTGAACAGTTCGGTCGTGGTGGCACGGAGGTTTAAGACACCCGGTACACATGCACGGCAAGTACCAATGTGACTTTTCCCGAGTTATATGTACTTTCTAAGATTATACAGACACCACTGACAAATGGTGAAGGAAAACATCGTGAGGAAACCTGGACTTATAATTTCAAATTTTAAGTTTGAAATCGCCAACCCGCATTGAGTAAGCGTGGCGATTCATGCTCAAACCTGTGTGAGAAGAGGTTTTTGGTCAGCAGCGGCCATTTATGAGCTGTTGATGGTAAATTTGGAAAACAAAGTAAATCTCATTGAGATCTCTCGCTTAGAGCGGACTCAGGACTTGAACCTTATACAAACGCTCATTCAATATATGAAAGAATAAATTCCCAATTAATGGTAAACGTCTTTAAATGGTATATGGTGAGGGTATTATTATTTATATTGTGCTATAAGTAAAATAATATGTATTTTTATTGGATTTGATAATTTTAATAATGATATGTAATTTTTAATTATGTTGGTGAATGATGTATAGCTTTTTCCTATGTCTGATTTTATATATTATTATTGTTAGTTTCGTTGGTGTTGGTTTGTATAGTTTAAGGTGTTCTTAAATATAAATAAATAATAAATAAATCTAGGACCATAGTTAAATTTACCATTGCCTTTAGCCAAATGCCACTTTAGCGCTTGTCTACAGAGATAGTAGAAAACTAAATGTATGGGGATGACACTGACAATTGTGTCAAAGTTTACGTCAATTCCATATAATTTGGTTTTCTATTCTACATGTAGACAAGCGCTAAATGGCATTTGGCTACAGCTGTTGGATAGATGAAAGAAAGAATGTACCTTCAACCTGTTGATAGCTTTGTTCTTCAGAATGCGAAACCTCCATATGGACTTCCTGTAATAATGAGACAAAATAATTTATAGACAACCTCATCGGTAAATATGGCAACTTGATTTTATATTCTAAACTCAAGTACGTCGAAAATAGGCGGGCATAATTTAATTTAGAGATGACTAGTTTTTACCCGCGGCTTCACTCACGTCACAAAAGGATAAAAAGTAGCATATGTGACATATATCAATACACACAGCGCCATCTATACCAATATTTTGGTTTTCCCTCGGGAATATCAAATTTTTCCGGGATACAAAGTACCCTATTATTTAATCCAGACTTCTAACTTTACGTCTTCAAAATTTCAAAGCAATCGGTTCATTAGTTACGTCGTGAAAGCGGAACAAACAAACAAACAAACTCACTTTCCGATTTATAATATATAAGTAAGGAAGTGCTTTAATCCTTAAAGCACCAAAATGTCAGTGGGTTATGTATGTGTGCGTGTGTAATGAGTTACCACGTTATCAGACTTAAGAAATTGACAGATGTCCTTCGTGTCAGTGTGTGTGTGTCCTGCGTGTAAGTGTATAGTAGCCAGGTGCCACAGTCGTTGTTTCAAGAGACTGTATCCGCCATTTTTACAACGTTTTTGACTAAATAAGGTAGTTTCATAAATTTTATTTTAATGTCCGTCTGGTACGTTAATTTAAGACTTTAGACACGTATTTTTTCTTTTCTCACAAAATTAAATACTTTCGACGATATATTAATTTGAAATATCGTGTGACATCACAACGTGCCACATTTTGTAGCACGTTATGACGTAACGACCTCCCTCACTACTTAGTGCCATTTTATCTAAGTATTGCAACTTAGAGAAAATAAAAAAATACGTATAATATTATTTCATTATCTAACTGACGGACTAATTAGATTTTTAAAATTTATACCTTGAAAATTACCCAATTATAATTATTAGGATTAGGACATTTGTAGAATAAGAATAACACTTGTACAATAGAATAAGTGTGGGAGAGCCATGCTTCGGCACGAATGGGTCGGCTCGACCGGAGTGATACCACAGCCGTGCAGAAAACCATTGTGAAACAACCACAGCGTTGTGTTTCGTCGTGTAAATGAGGTTACCGGAGGCTCCATTTCGCCAACTTCCCGAATCCCTAACAATCCTCAAACCTCTTAAATCCGAAAGGCCGATAACGCACTTGTAAAGGCGGTGGTATCAACGGTATATTACAAATCTAATTAATTTATTCTCATCTCATCATAATCTTCATGCCTTATGTCGGAATACTGAAACGCTACTCAATTTTAAGTCGTGCTTAAGTATAGCTCTATCTCTACAAATTCTTTGTAAAATGACAGAGATGGCACGATATTTGAGCATGACTTAAAATTGAGTAATGTTTCAGTATTCCGGCATTAATTGAGCACTTGTCACTTAGTGGCATGTGTCTCGGAATGCTGCTCAAAATTAGCATGGTCGATTGCTCATTTTCTCTTTTTGCGAATTGACAGGCGTTGGGTTTTTGAACATTTTTGAGCATACTCCATTAAGTAAAGCATGCTAAAAGGTGTTGCTCATGCATTAGCATGGAATGATGACAGGGTATGAAAATGAGTATTTTGTTTACCTGATGGGAAATCTTGGTGAGCTGTTTGGAGACCATTTCCAGGGATTGCTGGATCACCTCCGGAAGCTGGGCAAGCGCTGCAAGTTGAGCTCGCATTTGGGCTAGTTGTTGATCTAGGCTGGCGTTTGGATCTGGAGAAAAATGGTAATATTATGATATTTATTCTGTAAACACGAAATCAGCCTTTGTAATATGCATGAATCTATATCTATACTAATATTATAAAGAGGAAAGATTTGTACCTATTTTTGTATGTTTGTAATGAATAGGCTCAAAAAGTACTGGGCCGATTTAAAAAAATCTTGTACCAATAGAATGCTACATTCTTCCAATTTGACATAGGCTACATTTAATTTTGAAAAAAATTAGGGATCCTTGGTAAAATTTGAACAATGTAACCGAAGGTGTAGAAAAATGAGTCTTAAAATGTCTTTCGTCGAATGCGCTGCCGAAACTATTAGCGATAGAACAAAATAATGTACAACAATATTGAAGAACATCATAATGGCTACAAAAAACTCCGCGGTAGCATATGTCCAACTATTGTAGTTATGACACTACAACAATTCAAATTTCCAAAAATAAATAATTGTCTACCCCGTGTAAAGCCGGGACGGTCTGCTATCCTTACTAATATTATAAATCAGAAAGTGAGTTTGTTTGTTTGTTTGTTCCGCTTTCACGTCACAACTACTAAACCGATTGCTTAGAATTTTTGCAGATGTATAGTTAAAAGTCCGGATTAAATAATAGGGTACTTTTTATCCCGGAAAAATTTGATATTCCCGAGGGAAAACAAAAGTATTGGTATAGATGGCGCTGTGTGTATTGGTATACGTCACATTGACTTTTAATCCTTTTGTGACGCGAGCGAAGCCGCGCGTAAAAGCTATTGTTATATATATATAAGGAACAAGAAACTAGTTTCTAAGATACTATTAGTAGTTTTTTTTTTTTTCTACCATGGGATAAATGCGTACCTATGATAATTACGGTGGCTGAGACTACTTCGTTGGCCGAGTGTTAGCAAATGCGACTGCCAGGCAAAGGGGCTCGGGTTCGATTCCCGGGTCGGGCAAAGTTTGTTTTTTTTTTGTTTATTTTATAAAACGTTGCCCCACACTAGGATTGTCTCCTGTGTCGCGGGTACGTTTACAAACATACAAGTTCACATACACATGACACCCAGACCCGAAACAACAATTTGTGGATCACACAAAGTGTTGTTCCGTGCGGGAATCGAACCCGCGACACGTTGCACGGCAGCCGGTTGCCCAGCCACCGCACCAACCATGCAGTCGTTACTGGGTTTTTGAAAATTTCTCAGTGGTAGCACGGAGTCTGGAATTGTGCCCGGTATATGGTAATAGACTCACCCCCTATTACATGGGACTCATAACATAAATAGTAAAAAGTGAGTGTTACATTGTACAGTGGCATTAAGTGCTGCAATGTGCACCTCTGCGTACCACTTCGCGGATAAAAGGCGTGATGTTATGTTGTGTTGTAAAAAAGGATCAATAAACCTTCTTCTGTCTACTTACCAACCATCCCTTGTACGCTTTTCACTAATTGTTGCGCCATTCTATTCTCCATCTCTTCTCTCGTCTCTTCTCTCTCTTCTTTAACTTCTGGGACAACTTCTGGTTCTTCTTCTTGTGCTTCTGCTATCGGTTCCGGTTCTGGTTGCTTCTCTTCTATGACTGGTGGGGGAGTTGGTTCTTTTGGTGGTGGAAGGGGTATACCTGTTGTAATTATAGATTTATTCTTCAGATAGTTCAGTATGCAACATTTAAATGACCATAAGAGTGCATGGTGTAATACTGCCTCGTTGGCTGAGTGGTCGCAAGTGCGACTGGGCAAAGAGTCTTGGGTTGGATTCCCGGGTCGGGGAAAGTATTAGTTGGTTTTAAAAAAAAATTCAGTAGTAGCAAGCTGGAATTGTGCCCGGTATATGGCAATAGGCTCACCCCCTATTACATGGGACTCATAACATAAATGGTTTGGGATTTAAGGATTAGGGAAGGAAGGTTGGGGTTTAGTTGAGCCTCTGGTAACTTCACTCACACGACGAAACACAACGCAAGCGTTGCTTCACGTCGGTTTTCTATGAGGCCGTGGTATCACTCCGGTCGAGCCGGCCCATTCGTGCCGAAGCATGGCTCTCCCACACTTAAAATGTTACTTTAATAGTTGCTGTAGAATTGTATTGTGTACCCGATTGAAAAAAAGTAACCTATGGAGTTTCTTGCTCGTTCTTCTACATAGGCATCTACACTTTGGAATGAACAGACAGCTTCACTTAGCTTTAATTTTTTGTTGACGTTGAAAAGTGCCTAATTGAAATAAATTATTTTGACTTTGACATTGTGTGGGAGCGCTTTACGCTTCGACAAGTCTAAAACCTCACCTGTCTCTTCAAGATCAGGAACCTCACTCTCCTTCAAAGGGTCGACAGCCTCCAGAAACTCCGGTACCTCTGGAATGAGGATAGGTTCCTCCGGCTCTACAGGAGGGAGAGAGGACTCAGTCGCTGCGCGTTCTTCCCAGGGCAGAGGACCAGTTTCAAAGTCCTGTGGAGAAGAATTGAGGGGATGATGGTGGTATGTACATTGTGTGGGTGGAAAATTTGTCATAGATATATGACAATGAAAGATATATTTATATAGGTATTGAGTTGTAACAATCACATACACAAAGACAAGTTTGATGATAAATTTATTAAAAACGCCATCTATTCAAACAAAAAAGTCATATTGAAACTTTTTTGATTAAATAACTATACTGAACTAGCTTTTGCCCGCGACTTTGTTTGCGTGGAATAGTGACTTTCGAAAGATTTTTGGTTTTGCCCACATATGTAGTTCCCGATCTCGCGGGATTTTTGAGAAGTTCCCGCTTCCGCGGGATTTTCGGGATAAAAACTATGCTATGTCCTTTCTCGAGTTCTAAACTATTTATGTCTGTACCAAACACACAAATTGGTTCAGTAGTTTAGGCGTGAAGAAAAATAGACAGACAGACTGTGAGACAGAGTTCCTTCCGCATTTATAACATTAGTATGGATAGAAAAATTGGTCGATGTAGAAAATAATACAGTCGACATATGTGTTGATTCGAGACTTATGTAGGTGTAAACATGGGTGGCTCACCACTCGACCAGAACCAGACCCGAGCGTTCGGCATCGAGCGGTCCGCGCGCGCCTCAAAGAGCCATCAGGCTACTACAGATGGGGCCCAATAGGGCTGATGCCGATTCGGAGCCGTGGAGAACATAAAAGGTTACGGAGACTCCGGCTCGAAATGCAGGAGTAGAAACGGGGTGGTTTTTAATCAATAAGAGTCTGACACTCCCTCCCGCCTCACCCAGGCGAGAGAAGTGATTCGATGATGGAAAGCTCTTTAAACACGCCGACAGTTGACGGTGAAAAACAAGTCTTATTTTCATAAAAGTAAGGAATAAATTATTTTATGTAATAAGAGTTGTAGTCAACCGCTCAAGGCTGATGTTGCATGAATGACATGGAAACAAAAACGCTTTAAAATTGTATGAACAATTTCTTTTTGTCTGCGTTTCGATAGTATTCCGTTTAAAACCTATATAATTATTATATATATTATTTGTATTTAAACTGACTTCAATACGAAAAATAAAAATTAACTGACTTCAAAAAAAGACGGGGTTAAAGTCAGTTGTTTCAAATGTAGTTTATCTCCATAGAAGAGACCTGCAGGCGACTGATTAGGAGAGTCAGTCGTCCGCTGTATGGGCGGGGGAATAGGCGTTAGAATAGGTGTGTTCACACGCGCGACACTCGTGGAAGGAAATCGCAGCTTTTGAGGGCTGCTACGTGGTGGGACCTGCCACAATTTAGTGGTAGGTCGAGGCTTGCCGGGTGCGGTGAATCCGCAAGGGCGTCGCCACAGGCAGAGGAGGAACACCGCGGGGGTTTTAGCCGGTAAGAGTCCGGCACACCCAGTCGTCCACACGGCGTGGGAAGTTAATGAGGATTTCCATAGTATTATATATAAAAAAAACATAGTTTATAAAATAATTATTACTGACTATTTGTAAAACCTTAACATCATTACTATGAAAAAAAAATCTGTATCTACTAACACATACACAGGACACATATAAGTAGATTCATCAACATATAAATGATTAATTTGTATGACAAACACAAATGTATTTGGATAGCCAAGTGCTTTTCTATATTCATTTCGTATATTATAGTAACGATTGACATTAAATATAACGGAAATATAACACAATACGCGATATAAGTGTAGCGATCAAATTGATTAAAATATAATCATGACACCGATCGGCATTTGTCTAAAATTGTAGAAATTATTTTATTTAGAAAATTTTGCCGCACATTAGGACTTTCTCCTGTGTCGTGGGTGCGTTTACAAACATACAAGTTCACATACACATGACACCCAGGCTCGAAACAACAATTTGTGGATCACACAAGTGTTGTTCCGTGCGGGAATCGAACCCGCGACACGTTGCACGGCAGCCGGTTGCCCAGCCACCGCACCAACCGTGCAGTCAAAGTCAATTGATAACAAATAAATGAATATTCATTAATGTTTGCGATCAATGAAAACCAATGTTGAAATAAAAAATATCAAAGGAGAATAGAACATTCACTGTATGTTTATGATGAACAAACACACAAACTACTTTATCAGCTGAAAATCCTGAAATGACGTTCAGAACTATAAAAAGTTTCAGCTTATACAAGGTGTTGTTTTAAAACCGTGGCATTTTCTAGGAGGTAACTCGGCTATCGATACTGAGTCCGAATCAATAAAAAACATTGTAGGTAAATATTTTTCATTTTTCTGTAAATCCGTAAGTGCAAACTACACGCCGCAGTCTTGTAACTAGTTTTATAACGCAGCTTAACACACACAAACTCAAACACGTAATTGATATTATTCCTAATTCCATAAAACTCCAATAAGAAACATTGCTGTCGTTTATTCTGAAATACTGTCGAACTTAAACGATTTATCATAGCTGTATTTTTAACTATTGGACCGAAACTTTCTCTTACATTGAACCTTTATGACTTCTGTGACATGCCCCCGAGAAATGCCACGGTTTCAAAACTACACCTTGAATATACTACCTTTAGTTTATACAAAAAAAAAACAAATAAATTACAGAGTTTATCATAAATATTCATTTATTTATAATTATATATAGTCAAGTATTAATAAATTATTAAAAACAGTCCCATACAAACCACATGAATTTTAATAGGGTAGTTTCCTAAATTTTATTGTAATGTGTGTCTAGTACATTAATTTAAAACTTTAGACACGTTTTTTTCTTTTCTCGCAAAATTAAATACTTTCGACGATATATTAATTTGAAACATCGTGTGACGTCACAGCGTGCCACATTTTGTAGCACGTTATAACGTAACGGCCTCCCACTCCTAAACTTAGCGCCATTTTATCGTAGTATTGCAACTTAATACGAGAAAATAAAATAATACGTGTCTAATATTTTTTCAATATCTAACTGACGGACTGATTAGATTTTTAATTTTGATACCCTGGAAACTACCCAATTAAAAAGGTTTACAACGATTAATCAAGATCGTTATTCAGTAATTGTTAAAAAAAGCCTCACATCGATTTATTTCAAGTAGTTAATTAATAAAATGTTAAAATGTTCAAATTTAACTACATTCACAAACGATTTATTAGTGTTATATATCTTATCTATTAGAAAAAAATAAAGGAGAGAAAATAGTTAGTGAAAATCACGATTAACAAATATCAAAATAGATATTTAAATAAATATTATAATTAAAAGCGTTAAGGGAATTCATTAAACAATCTAAATATAATTATATAGAACATTTAAAATAAATACGTATTGGTTAAATAAATAAATAAGTCTAACACCAAAATAATTATAAATGAACAAAATCTAACCACTATATCGAGACCTCTCCGAAGTTAGGCATTTTACTGAGTAAGCGAGATGCCATTAAGCACGTACGAATGCGATGAAAAGAGACAGATATATTTCGTTACAGACTTCAGTGAGGTCAAGATATATTGGTTCCTATTATTATTATTTATACCTCTGGTTTATAATCGGGAGCTACTTTAGGTTTAGCTTGTTTCACTATTTTCACTTTATATGGTTCCTGTAACAAATAGAAATATTATTTTATTAAGTATTTTATTGACTGCCTCGTTGGCGAGTTGTAAGTGCGACTGTCGGGCAAGAGGTATCGGGTTTTATTTCCAGGTCAGGCAAAGTATTGATGGGTTCTTAAAATAAATCTCAGTAGTAGCATGGAGTCTAAAATTGTGCCTGGTATATGGCAATAGACTCGCCCCCTATTACATGGGACTCGTAACATAAATAGTGAAAAGTGGGTGCTACATTGTACAGTGGCATTAAATGCCGTAATGTGCACTTCTGTCTACCACGTCGGGGATAAAAAACTATTTAAGAATAAGAAGTAATTATTATCATAACAAATATCATAGTAACGGTTTTTCTAAACGTAGTCTCATACTAAGACTCACTAGAATATGTCGTAGATGATTTTACAAATACAACTTTCATTTACACTACATCATATCTAACTATGTTTTATTTTGTACACACATACACATAACATCACGCCTTTTATCCCCGAAGGGGTAGGCAGAGGTGCACATTATACCACTGTACAATGTAACACCCACTTTTCACTATTTATGTTATGAGTCCCATGTAATAGGGGGTGAACCTATTGCCATATACCGGGCACAATTCCAGACTCCGTGCTACTACTGAGAATATTTAAAAACCCAGTAATACTTTGCCCGACCCGGGAATCGAACCCGAGACCCCTTGCCCGGCAGTCGCACTTACGACGACTCGGCCAACGAGGCCGTTTTATTTTGTACTAAAAATGTTTTCATAATTATTTTTAATGACCATCTGACCGTCCATAATTATACTCTACTTTAACTTCTGATATTACCCCGAAGACTAGGTAGATCTTATTTTAATTTATTATATCCTCTCGCGCGCCACTGGTACTCACGGGTAAACGCGCGTTCTCGTACACACGGGTAAATATTTTAATAGAAAAGCGAATTAACTATTCTGTTCAATCAAATAAAGAACGGGTTGGGTTAGAGTGTAGCCTTAGGGGCGCTATGGCGCGAGGACTTAGAAATTTTTCATCAAAAATGAGAATTTTTATAAGCGGCTGGTTTTTCATTTCTATCTTTTAGTATACCTAAAGATAAGGTGAACATTATCTGGGCACTTTTTATATAGGGCTTCAGGTTCGCCTGAAAATGAGCCCTAAAGGTGAGTTGGGGGAGTGTGTAAAAACACTTTTTGGGCACCCCGACACATTTGGTTAGGTTAGGTTAGAACTGTGACCCTCACAAGGCGCGAGGAGAGCGAGCGTAGCGAGCGGTGCCGCGGTAGCGGCCGCCGAGTGCTGAAAAGGTTTCCGCCAACTGACATTTAGTGCTCATTTACAGGCAAACCTGAAGTCCTAGACAAAAGATGTCCAGATGATTTTCGCTTTATTATTAGGTATACTAAGCGATGGAAATGAAAAACTAGTCATTTATAAGAATTTTCATTTCTGATGAAAATTTTTCTAAGTACTAAACTCCTTGCCCCTAAGACGACCCACTGACCACGGGTTAACTTGAAAATATACGTCCCACAAAAATATCCAATCGGTGCGCGTTTCTCGTACACCCGTGTGTACAATTGCGCGATGGGCACTCAACTCTCTCGTACACCCGTTTGTACGAGAAACACGCGAGAGGATATAAACTAAATATAAAATGTAAACCAAAATAAAATATTTTTATTTCCTATAAATACTCTTTCAATTTTTTTCATTTTTGTAGAGTTAAATCCCTAAATAAATAAAAATATCCCTATAATGGAAGCTTTTAAATCATTTCTATCAAGTACATTAACTATTTATATCCACTCTCAAAACATAAACAACAACGACACATACTAGTCTAAAACACCATAAATCAACAGAAAACAAGTTATACCCATATAATCAATATAGCAACCACGATAATAGCTATAACGATAAGCGATACACACATAACGATCAATCGTTAAACTAAAAAATAACGGAGAAACTCACTATGGGAACTCGCGGCGCGTGTTACCCCGACAAGAGTCGGAACAGAACTGATTTTTCCGGACTAAATTGTTGGGAAGATAATGCAAGTATAACATTGAATGTTAGCCAATAATAATTATATTTAATATCAATATATAGGAAGTGTTTTGAGTACACGGAAGTGATTGAAAATAGACATTAGTTACTTAACATTTGGCTACGATATTGAGTTATTTATTGATGTACTGACAAGGTGGGACGACCAATAATGAAATACTGGGTATGTAAGTATGTGTACTTCATTTATTTATGAAGTATACAGCTTCTATCAGCGTCTTCACTCTCATTCCCGTGGGGTAAAAAGTGGCCTGTGTTATTCGGGTTTTTTTTGTATTTATAATAACTATCGGGAGACATACTAAATTAACTAAAATCGCGGGTTACTCACGTGAATATACTGTGAAAAGCTCTACTAGTTTCGAAGCACAGAGGGGTTCATCCTCAGTGCGACGTCGCTGCGACCGCGCACGCTGCTCATGAGGAAGAACCCCTCTGTGGTTCGAAACTAGTAGAGCTTTTCTCAGTATGTTCACGTGAGTAACACGCGATTTTAGTTAATTTTTTTTTTGTATTTGTAGGGCCGATGTTTTCCCACTATCACGCCTGATGGTAAGCGATGATGCTGTCTACGATGGAGCACGTCGACCCATAAGCAACCTATTCACTCGGGCCTTGAAGCCACCCAGGTTATACCCTTCAGGAAATACAGACTCTGGTAAAGAATTCCACTCCTTAGCAGTACGCACAAGGAAGCTTGATGCGAAGCGCTTCGTGCGTGTGGGTGGGACATCTACCATGAATCGATGACGCTTCGCCGATTATGTTGTGGTACAGTGATGGAAAGGCCTAGGGGGAATCAAGTTATGCTATAGACTATACATATATAGAACCTACCCCTGTTCTTTTCATCCTGATTAGAAAATCTATGAATTAAGATCGATTTTTTGACAGAAACTCCACACAACGCATGTCAAATATTTATCCTTATCCACAGATTTTGTATCGAGATAAAATATTGACAGATAGACCACCTTTTTGAATCACAATTGGGTACTTTCCATAATCAAAAATAAATGATTTTGACTGTTCCAGCATATTTTTAAGAAATAAGTACGGTGTTTGACGCTAAAAAAACGTGACGTCACAATACACAATCTCGTACAAAATTCATAGAAAACTGTTGTTTTTGACAGTTCGAAAAAAGTATTGAATTTGACTAGTTGGCAAGTACACAATTGCATCGTTTGATGAAAATATGAAGTATGTGTTTATTAACTAACAAAAACCACAAACAAAAAGCAACCATATCCACTATAACTCACCGCGACAATTTGCGTATCCTCCGTCCACCCTGGATACCCAAACTTCGCCTTCGGCACCGGTCGCTTCGGCTTCTGCAGAAACGTCGTCCACTTCTTCTCTTCTTTCTTCTTCTCTTCCTGTCTCTGTCTCTCTAGTTCTTCATTTAATGCTTTCTGTGGCCGATGCGGGTGCGCGCGAGGTAAAGAAATGAGAAACTACAGTTATTGATTTAAACTGGGAGCGATCAGCGGGCATGCATCTCTGCGCGTGCAATCACGCGTGGGCGTCTTGGTCGTCGGGTACAAACGTGTGAACTGAACAAAAAAAAAGTATGGCGGACGCAGGATGCGGAACGCCACCGCTCCGCGCGCCGCCGTGCGGGCATGCGCCGAAATAAAATACGCGAACGCGATTGGTCCGTTTGAACATGCCGCGCTGAGGCTCCACAGACTATTTAATCAATCCAAACACAAATCAATACACTGTCTGTACTAATGACTTATAATAAACATTATGTTACCTATAACAAAAAACATTATGTTTCACAACAACATGACATTTCTTAAAATAATAATATTATTCGCCGGGCGGGCCGTCTAATCATCTTCAACATCCTGCCCCTTAGTGTTGTCTGAGCAACACTCATCACATAGTAAGAGAGCAACACGAGAGGCCGGACGCTTTACGACTCCGGTCTTTGTTTTGATAGCTACGACTCTTACCGTCCGTCGGATCCTGGGTAGACTGCTTGTATTACGCCTTTCGGCCAGATATTTCGGGGCGAAGCGGGATCTGTTATTACAACTAGGTCACCTACCTGTAACTGAGCTCCTTCGCGGTTCCACCTCTTGCGAGGCGCCAGGGTAGGAAGAACTTCTTTAATCCACCTAGACCAAAATAAATCCGCAAGGCGCTGGGCTATACGCCATTGCTTCCGCAAGTGCAATCTTTGTCGTCAAAACGCCGATTTGTGGTAAGTTAGATGACGATCCTAGTAAAAAGTGATTAGGTGTTAGTGCTTCTGGGTCTCTTGGATCACAGAAACATGAGTTAAGGGACGTCCATTGATCATATTTTCCACTTCACATAGAAACGTATCAGGGTTTCTTCTCTAGGGGTGCGCTCTTTGAGAACTACTTTTAGTGCGGTTTTTACACTCCTAATGAGCCTCTCCCATGCACCCCCTATGAGGACTGGCCGGTGGAATAAACTTCCAATCAACTCCTTTATTGATCGTGTCCGATATTAGCTGTGTGTTGGTTGTCAACCAGCTCTTTATAGGCCTTTTTTAGCTCAGTGTCTGCCCCTCGTAGGTGGTCCCGTTGTCAGAAAACATCGTACGTGGCCAACCTCTGCGAGCGGCCATCCTACGTAAAGCCATTATCATGAGTCAGTCGTAAGAGTCGGAACTACCTCGATATGCACAGCGCGTACTGTGAGACAAGTAAACAGCACACCGTACCTACGCACTCTTTGTCTTCCAACGACTACTTCTATCGGCCCGAATAGGTCAACTCCACACATGGTAAACGGTCTATGATGATGCATGAGTCGACATTCGGGTAAGTCACCGAGGCGCGGCGGCTGAGGTAAGGCTTTTTTAAAGCGGCAAATTAGGCATTTTCTAGCTACAGAACGAACCGTAGGTCTTAGTCTAATGAGCCAATATTTTTGTCGCAACTCATTGACTACCATCTCGTTACTAGAGTGAGCTGCGTTTACATGGTAATGGGTCACGATGAGCCGAGCGATATGGTCTTTTCCATCTAAAATTACAGGACATTTGGTATACTGATCCACATCCTTGGAGTTCATAATACGGCTACCTACGCGCAACAAATTGTTTTCATCTAGTATTGGGGTAAGTGAACGTAAACGACTATCTGTCTTAACTTGTTTATTTAATCTAAGCGAATTTATGTCATCTTGAAAAGAATGTACTTGTGAATAACGAAGTAATAATAATTCTGCTCTGTTCATTAATTTCTCATTAATTACACTTGTTGAACTCTTTTTGCATTTTTCAATAAATAATAATACTGTCGCAGTAGTACGTAACAATCGTAACCAGCTAGAGAATCGACTTGGTTCGGGAACAGGTAAGTCACATTTTATATTAACATTATCTTGAACAATGTTTACTTTTTCTAATGTATCGTCACTAATTATTATTTTTGTTTCAGGTCGCTGCGGCCAGCAGGAACGCGGTTGGCGCAGGAAGGATGGTCCAGTAAACCATTCAGAGTCACTACTCAATACGTAATCATTATTTTTTGTCCCCAGGTCCGCGACGTTTAAAGCAGTGGGTACATAGTGCCACTCGTCCGTCTTACTCAACTCGTCTATTTCTCCGAGTCTGTTTGCAATAAAAACTTTATATGATCTACATTTATTTTTAATCCAATGCAAAACTGTAGTAGAATCAGTCCAATAATATACTGAATTCGGTTGCAAACGATGTTCTGTCTTAATACTCTTAGCTAACTTGCATGATAATAAAGCGCCCTGCAACTCAAGTCGCGGCACGGTAACAGGCTTCAACGGAGTAACTTTACATTTACTAGCGATAAACGATACGGTAACGCGTCCATCGGTGCTTTCCCGGCGCCAATAAGCGACCGCAGCGTACGCGTTCGGCGATGCATCGCAAAACAAGTGAAGTTCCAAACTCGCTAAAGTATCGCCAGCGCTATCACTAGAAAAATACCATCGCGGAATTTTAATGTTATTTATTTCTTTAGCTTGAATTAACCATTTGCAAAATAAATCATATAAATCATCTGTTAATTTATCGTCCCAATTAATATTACTTTTCCAAGTTTCACGCATTAATATTCTCCCTTTAATCGTAAATGGTCCTAAGTAACCGTGAATATCAAAAATAGACATAACGATACGTAACATTTCGCGTTTTGTAGGTATACGTTTAAAAAGTAAAATATCTTCGGGTATACGCTTAAAAGATAAGTCCAACGCCAATACATCGCTGCGCGGGAACCACAATATGCCTAACGCTCGTTCTGCTTGTTTAGCAAAATTGAACTCTATTGCCATGTCATTAAGGCTGTCTTTAGGAATGTCACTGAGAACGGTAGGCACATTACTAAGCCAGTTGCACATATGGAATCCGCCTTGACTATGAATAAATGAAATTTCTTTTATCAATTGTTTAGCTATATTTACATCAGTAACACTATCTATGTAATCGTCCATGTATTGATTGTTTTTTATAGCATTTACCGCGTCTGGCATTTGTTCACTAAATCGCGACGCGTTTTTGTTTTGATTTATAAACTGAGCTATAAATGGGGAACAGTTTGCTCCGAAAATTAGTGACGTCATAGCATATTTACCTACACTACCGCTACCTTTCTCTTTCCATAAAAATCGTAAGGCATTTTGGTCATCACTATGAATTTTGATTCTTAAAAACATATCCTTTATGTCGCCTATTATTCCTATAGGATTCTCTCTAAATCTAAACATAATACCGTACAAAGATTGCAATAAATCGGGACCTTGAAGAAGGAAATCATTAAGTGACATATCACAACATTTTGCCGCGGCATCGAATACTAATCGTAATTTCTTTTTATTCGGGTTATCGACTCCAAAATGGGGTAAATACCAAATATGGTGGGATGTTTGTTCGTCTTTAGATCCGTTTTCATCAATTTTCTCGCGTAGTTATTGTTAAAAAGATATTGCATACGCTCGCGGTACCTACTTTCATATTCTGAATCTAACATTTTTCGTTCTACTACCGATTTTAATCGTTTTAACGCCATAGGATACGAATCCGGCATGATAAATTCATCATGTTTCCACGGAAGCCTGACCGTCCATTGTCCATTGACTAACTCGGCAGACTCGTCGACTATTTTGATGGCCCTTAATGTCTCTAAGTTCTGACGCGGTTTGCTATTAATACCGATTGAATCTAAAGAAAAAGAACGACGAATTAACTCATGTAAATCAATGTTTACGTTATCGTTATCAGATTGCATAGATAAAGACATGTTAGTTTGCTGCAATGATGTACTTGTGCATGCAATAATATTATAAGGTTCGCTCGCGCCCGTGTCGCTGCCGCTGCCAGCTGCCGATGAGTCGCGGCGGGCGCGCGCGATTGACTTACCTTGCGGGGTGAGTGCGAGCGGGCGAGCTGCCGCCGCTCGGGTCCCGCTGACGCTGCTGATATTGTTGGCGTGCTCGGCGCGCTTATCAGTAAAATCAGTTTGGCGTAAAGCTCCATGCACACACCACCCTAATAATGTTTGCGTGATAAACGGCCCGCTCGACTTATACCTTTTACAAACAATTGGCGCAATTAAATCATAATTATCTTGCCCTATTAACAATTCAGGTTTAACTGTACTAACAGAACACAAAGGATAATTAATATTAGGTACATTTTCGTAACATTCTACACTTGAGACAAATTGTACGGGTAAGTTAAATTCCTTAAGTTTGCGAGCACGTAGCTCGTACTTATCACCGTTACTGTTGCTGATGGCACATTTTATAAGTTCAGTTTGACATACCAGTTCAGAGTCCCATGCGCCAGATGCGCGCATTGTCACCGTCTTACCGTGGAGCCCGACCTTATCAGCAAGGTCGGCGGCGATAAGGGTTACCGTGGCACCGTCATCTAACAACGCATGCGTGTTGACACTCACTTTAGGTCCGTGAACGGTTACCGGCACTATTTTAAGCACTACTTTTGACCCGGTTAATGTCTGTGATGCATTTGGCACGTTAAGCACTGACACTTCGGAACACTGCGCGGCGCGGGTGTTTGAGTGAGCGACGAGTTCGCTATCGGGCTTCGGCGCGTCGCTGGGAGGCAGCGGCGGCGTGGATGATCCGTGGCGCGCTGCCTCCGGCTTCGTCCAGTGTAGCAGGCGATGGTGCGGCCCACCACAGGCCTCGATGTCGCAGCTCTCCGCAGAACACGTCGCTGGATCTTGATGTCGAGAACCGAGGCATTTGAAACATAGTTTGTTCGCTCGAACAAATCGCCATCGGTCTTTTCTCATTGCTCGTTTGAACTTGCCGCAGTCGGGTAGTGAGTGCTCGGCAGTTCTTTTGCAAAATTGGCATTTAGTCTGCGCTGTGTCGGGGTCATTGACCGTCATTGCTGTTAATACGGAATGTGGATGTTTCTTATCGGTTTTTTCGTTTTTATTATAACGTGAGTATTCGTTCTGGTAGTGTATGTAGCTCACTCCGGCCTCTGCTACCTTTTTAGCTTCGATGTAAAGGAATTCTGATAATAATTGTAATTTTGGAGTATCTTGCTGTAATCTTTCGTGCAGGTATTCTATCCACTTGTTAATTAAATTGGTAGGCATCTTTGAGACGACGATTGAAGATAATTGTGGGCTTCTTAAATAGTCTGATTGGTTCAGTGTTGTGACTGCTGTAACATAGTTTTTCACTTTAATTGCGAACTTGACTATTTCAGAGTGGTAAGCTTCTGGTAGCGGGGATAACTTTCGGAGCTGAACTGCCACTTGGCGCATTACGATCTCAGGTCTACCGAATCTAAGTTCGAGCGTGTCCATGACGTCCTGAGGTGAGGTGTTACCCATCAACAGTGCGGATGCTGCTTCCTTCGCTTCTCCACGTAAACACTTACGTAAGCGCCATACGTTTTCGGTATCACTAAACTTACAGATGCGCGACGACTCGTAAAATGCTTCTCGGAATTGGAGCCATTCTAAAGGGTCTCCGAAGTACTGGGGTAAATCCTTAGAGGTGGCGAGCCGCGTGAGTAGGGTACGGCCATTCTGAGTGGCCGTGGTCGCCTCGACTGCACTCTTGATGGCGCAGGTTAGCTCCCGTATGGCGGTGCTCGCGCCTGTGTCCTCGACCGTCACTTTGTAATCTCCATCGAGCGACGGGTCGGGCTCGGCAATGGACTTCTCCAACCAGCTTTCTACTTTGCATTTATAGGAGTTTGCCGACGACTGTGAACAACGTGAATGCAGATCTGCTACTTCCACGGCCATCTTCTTTTGAAGCAACTCCTTCTGAATGCGCGCTTTTTCTTTTGCTAATTGAGCTTGGGATTGAGCTTGGGCTTGCGCTTCCTCTAACTCAATCTCCGCTTTGGCTGTCTCATATTGAAGGCGCAGCCGTCGCGCTGTGGACGACGACGTGTGAGAACGTGCGCCATCGCGGGCGCCGCGCCGTGCGCCGCCGCCATTTTCGCCACACGAGTTCGCACGTGGTGGACGATCTGCGACGTCTTTGATCGTGCACTGCACTTCTGATTTCGCTTCTAGCTTCTTTTCTTCGTTAGCCGTTAATTCTTCCTTAGTGTGAGCACGTGTCCTAACGCCACGCGTCGGTGTACGAAATAACGACATTTTCTCGTTCGCGCGCTTGATCTTGTCCTTAGATCCGGCTCGAAGGACCACTTTGTGGCCGATGCGGGTGCGCGCGAGGTAAAGAAATGAGAAACTACAGTTATTGATTTAAACTGGGAGCGATCAGCGGGCATGCATCTCTGCGCGTGCAATCACGCGTGGGCGTCTTGGTCGTCGGGTACAAACGTGTGAACTGAACAAAAAAAAAGTATGGCGGAACGCCACCGCTCCGCGCGCCGCCGTGCGGGCATGCGCCGAAATAAAATACGCGAACGCGATTGGTCCGTTTGAACATGCCGCGCTGAGGCTCCACAGACTATTTAATCAATCCAAACACAAATCAATACACTGTCTGTACTAATGACTTATAATAAACATTATGTTACCTATAACAAAAAACATTATGTTTCACTAACATGACATTTAACTTAAAATAATAATATTATTCGCCGGGCGGGCCGTCTAATCATCTTCAACACTTTCAATACTTCTGAGTCTTTCAAGGAGTTGATCATTGGCTTGATTTTCTGGAAATCGACGCTGTCATCGTCCGCACGATGCATATGTGAGGAAAGTACTCGAGTCAGCCTGTTTTCAACCATTTTAGGAGATATTGTGTTATTATTGGTGTTCGTTTTGTAGTGTTTTTGGTTTGGTATGGATAGAAAGACCATGAAAAGAAAATATTTTAGATGGAAGAAATAGAAGACTGTAGTTTAGAAATAGAAAGATAAGAAGATTTGTTGTTTGGTATTATAAAAGAAGAATTCAAAGATCGAATAGATAAAACAGAAGAAGCGTATGAAGAATAATTTAAAAGAAAAGTTAATATCAGAGTGCCACGCACAGATAACTATCGCATTCGTATCGTAATAGTGTCGAGCGCTTTCGACGCTCTAATTGGCCAGTTCCAGTGAACCAACTCGATTCAAGCTTGGCACTCTGATAGGAGGGAATGGAATGAGACTTCTGCTGAACAAATGGACTAGTAGAATGCATTTATGTCAGCTTGGAGCTGTCATGTTCACTCAAAGATGATTTTGACTTCAAAATAACATTATGTCGAAAACTGCTCATTATGTTAAAAAGAGTGAAAAAAATCCTTGAAAGAAAATGATGTGATGATGTATTTTAACGAACAGTGGAAGATGGGACAGTGATGAGACTATATACCTATGTTTGTATGTATGATGACAAATATGTAAACAAGTACGTATGAAGAATGTAATGTGTGACTATTTACAAAAAATGGTTGAAAACTTGCCATTAATGTTTTTGTGATATTTATTAATAAATAAAGCTTATGATAGCGGCTTCGCCCGCGTACAAGAAGGATAAAAAGTAGCCACAATTTTTCGATTACTTTGACTGGATTTTAGTGTTACATTGTTCTCGCACAATCCAAACACCAAAACTATGTAACTAGAGAATTGTATTGTGAACCTGATTGAAAAAGAGTAACCTATGGAGTTTCTTGCTCGTCCTTCTCCATAGGAATCTACACCTTGGAATGAGCAAGCTTAACTTTTAATTTTACTTTTAACGTTCAAAAGTGCCTTTCTGGTCTAATTGAAATAAATGATTTTGACTTTTAACACGTTAAACGCCATGGGGGTCACCGATGACCGGCGTTAGCGGAGGATTTACCTTCAACAGTTTTTTATTGGCAGTCAAAGTCTTAACTTGAGCCTATGCGTTATTTGCTGTATACCCCTGTTTCAAATTTTATCTCGATCCTTCAGCTATTTTGCCGTGATGAAGTAACAAACAAACATTTCTATCGCATTATCATTATCATCATAGTTCATCACAAATGGGTACTTGCCTTAATCAATAATAAATTATTTCGACTGTTCAATACAATGATATTATAAAGAAGATACGCTACGTTCATAATAAGCGGCGTCCAAAAATTGTTGCGTTCTTATTACAAATGTACTTAAATGTCATTTTCAACTACGTGCGACAGATAATACGGAAAGTATGGTACAGAAAGAGATAGCTATTATAAAATTACGACAATTGTCTGAATTCGTTCGCAACAATTTTTGCGTGCCAGTGCGATATCTACCTCTTTTTATTATTTATAATATCATTGGTCAATACAATAAAATATTAAAAAATTATCACACTTTCATTAATTGATTTTATGATCAACTTAATTTTACTATTTTTCCAGCAAATTTTTAAGAAATAACTATATTGTTTGACGCTAAAAAACGTGACGTCACAATACACAATCTCGTACATACAAAATTCATAGAAAACTGTCGTTTTTGACAGTTCGAAAAAAAGTATTGAATTTGACTAACTAGTTGGCAAGTACACAATTCGTGCGTTCCCTTTTTTTTTTAAACGTTGCCCCACTTTAAGATTTTCTCCTGTGTTGTGGGTGCGTTTACAAACATACAAGTTCACATACACATGACACCTAGACCCGTAACAACAATCTGTGGATCACACAAAGTGTTGTTCCGTGCGGGAATCAAACCCGCGACTCGTTGCACGGCGGCCGGTTGCCCCGCCACCGCACCAACCGTGCAGTCTTAAATATAAAATGTTCTATGAAAATGCCAATGGTTGAAGTCGATATATAAATGAGACTTGTAATAAATCAAACTTAGCTTACCCCATGACGTGTGCTTCCCTAAGCATTTCTGCTTCCCCTGATATTAGTGTAGCTATCTTTTCTTCAGAAATACCCGGTTTTCCAAGCTCTTCTGCAAAATATTAAAACATGTTATAAACTGCCTCGTTTGCCGAGTGGCAAGGGGTCACGGTTTCGATTCATAGTCGTGCAAAGTATTACAAGGTTTTTAAAAAAACCTCAGTAGTAGCACGGAGTCTGGAATTGTTCCCGGTATATGGCAATAGGCTCACCCCCTATTACATGGGACTCGTAACATAAATAGTGAAAAGTGGTGTTACATTGTACAGTGGCATTAAGTGCCGTAATGTGTACCTTTGCCTACCCCTTCGGTCATAAAGTATAGTATAAAGAAGATGGATTTAGAAGTTGAACTTACTAGCGAGCTCTTCATCCATCACTGGTTCCTCTAGTCCATCGACTATTCCTTGTATAGTGCCTATTAGTTCTCCGCTCTCAGTTATATATGGAGACTGCCTTGGTTCAGAAGTACCCATAGGTTCCTATGGAGAAAAGTTAATATTTTTAATGATTTTATGCTCAAAGCAATTCAACTTAAAACAATAACAACAAAGGCTGTCTCGTTGGTCGTAAATGCGACTGCCGGGCAATGGGTCTCGGGTTCGATTCCCGAGACCCATTGCATTAAAAAATTGTCAGTAGTATCACGGAGTTTGGGATTGTGCCCGGTATATGGCAGTAGGCTCACCCCCTATTACATGGGACTCATAACATAAATAGTGAAAAGTGGGTGTTACATTGTACAGTGTCAGAATGTGCACCTCTGCCTATTTCTTCGGGGATGAATGGCATGATGTTATGTTATGTATGTAAATTCTTAAACTATACCTATTATGCACTTATATTTAAAATTACCTGTATAGGGACAAAATCTTGTCCTCGCCGCTGAATATTTTCTGGATCGAAGACTACCGGCCTAACCCTAGTTAGAGGATCTATCTTCTCTTCTACCACCTCACTAGACTCTGTTTTTAACTCTACTGCTGTAAACTCTTGTTTCAATTCTTCTTTCATCTCTATTTTGTCTGCTACAACACTTGTATCTTCTTTTAAAATATCAACCGCAGGAGTTTCTTTCTCTTTTACTATTACAGTAGATGTTTCTACAACTTCAGTGTCTGTTTTCGCATTTTCTTCTTTATTATCTTGAACATGAGTTTCAATTTCAACTATGTCGACTTTGATAGTATCTTCTTTATTGTTCTCTTTTGGGTTTTGAGGTTCAATTTCAATACTTATTCTTCTTGTTTTGGTTTCTTCAATTTCAGTAACAATTCCCTCGTTTTCAGGATTATCTGAATCTGTTTTGTTTCCAATTGTCATTGGTTGCATTGTTCTAGCATTTCTTCTATCTTAGTATCTAATTCATCAAAGCCGTTTTTAATTATCTCTTCTGATGTGTAAGATTCTTTATAGCTCTTTGAAATCTTTTCTTCTTTGAATTCTTGGACTTTAACCTCCTTTTTTACTTCTTTTTTCGTCTCAATTCCTACTTCTTCTTTGTATTCTTCTATGCTTTTTATGGTCTCGTCTATCGCTGATGCTAGTAGAGAGGATTTGCGCTCGATCTCCCTTATTTCTTCCTGTGAAAATATTGATTTATTTAGTTTTTAGAAGAATTTTAAGCAGAATATTATTAAGTTATATAAAAATGTATTCTTCACAAGTTATTATGAAATTTACTGTATGGAAAATAAATTGACAGTGTTTTTATACGTACACATTATCACAGCTGAAAAAAATTACCATAAATAATACAAAAATCGATTACGCCTAACGATTATTAACCAAATGAGTGTTGAATAATATGAAAATAAAACAAGATGGAGTCGATATAATTGACGTATTGGGCAAATAGTTACTGGTACAGAAACATCAAGCGTCTAAGGCTCAAGTTCAATACCTGTGCAAAGATACAATACTCACTTTTAAAATTCTTAAAACGAACTGTACGCTTCGTAATTATGCGAATTAATACCTTATCTACCAAAAACTGTATGGCGTGTAAATAAAATTAGGGTAGTAATAAAAGCTCCAATAAGAAAAGAAGAATTGTCCTTACTGAAAATATTAAATCTACTGCCTAAAATACTAACTTTCCGACTACTTTACATGACTGTTTATTGCTACAATACTAACCTAACCTAAAACGTCGGTAACTTAGTAATTTTGTCGGAGGTTCAATATTCAATTCGGAAGTTTAGTTTTGTTATTCGAAGATCCATTTTTATAGTCGGCCACAGATCGCTGGATTAATTTGTTTTTCGGAACCATTATTATTTTCCATAACATTAATATTCATAATCTATAATGCCTACAATGGAAAATGTTATTCACACAAAAACCAATGACCAAATCTTAGTCCAACAAAGCTACATACCTTCGAAAATCTGGATTATCACCACCACCATACAACCCTGGTTTCCTATACACTGGAAACCTAATCCTCCCAGCACCCCCCTTCAACCCTGGCTTCGAATAAACCGGACAAACTTTACCCCCACCGTTCAAAACTGGCTTTGAAAACACAGGAGATTTTGGCTCTTCAGTGGGAGTAGGCAAAGGATGGTCATACACAATCCTTTCTATAGTGGTTTCTATGTGAGGAACTAAATTCTTCTTAACTATATGTGGATCTTCTTCTTCTGGACTTAGAGTGCTATCTCTTGGAACAGGGGTCGCACTTCTGCTTTTTGGTAATGGTAGGGAAAGTTTAAAAACATATTCGTCTGTTAAAGGAGTCGGAGGGACTGTGGAAGGCGTTGGAGTGTCTATAGTACTTGGAGGCGTTGGTATAGATGATGATGATAATGTTCTTTGCAAATCAGTTTTCAAAGAAAGCTTTTTGTCAGTTGATTTGGCTGTGAACGATGCTTCTTGGGACACCTCCTGTGTTGATGTTATCTCTTCTTTTATAGCAGTTTTGCTTAATGATTCTTCTTTGATTTGCGATATGTCTGCTATAGATTCTCTCTTTTCGGTTTTGCCAATGTGAGTGCTTATTGAAGATGTTTCGGAAATTTCTTTAGAAGCATCTATAGCTATAGCATTTCCTACTCCTACAGCGCTTACAGTGGATTTGGCTATTAATTCTGATATGTCTTCAACTTCGATTATTTCTGGTGATAACACACTGTCTACTGGGACTATTTTAACTATTTTTAACGCAGCATATTCGTCGTGCTCAGTTTTTCTTTCTTAGGCGTAAGTTTAATCGTTTCTGTTATTTCAACCGTTTCTATAGGCTTCGGTTCGTGTACTTCAAGCTCTATTGTAACGACTTTCTCATCAAATTGACTTCTTCTATTTTGACATCTTCTTTCTTTACTTCAGCGGCAACAAACTCTGATTTAGTTTCCATAACACTGATTTCAGTTGATTCAGCAACTGATAGCGATTCATTGATATCTACAGATACTTTTTCAACCTTTTCCACGCTTTCTTTAATTTCAACTACTGGTTCAATGATCTCTTTGATTTCTTGGACCACTACTTCTTGCACATCAGTTGTTTGTACTGCAGATTTGTGTTCAAACTCTTCATGAACGAGTTCTTTAGTATCATGGATCACTTCTTCAATCTTTTGCACCGTCGCAGCGCTTTTAGCGGTCACAGTTGCTAGTTCATGAGTTTCTTCAATGACTTTAGCGGTTTCCAGTTCTCGTAAAGCGCTTTCTATCGCTACGTTTTCAGTACTGATAGTCTCAATAGCTTCGATAGCAGTATTAATCTCTTCAGCGCTTTGTACTGATGAAGTTTCTGAGAAATCGGTCACATGTTCTTCAAATATGGCGTCTTTATTAGTATATACGTGTGATTCTACAATGGCTATGTATGTTTGTTTAGGAGATTTAGACTTTCTAAATGTTCTTTCTTCTTTCGTCTCAATTACGCTCTTCTTTGCTTCAGTAGACGTAAATTCCTTTTTAGATATCTCGGTTCGTTCTTGAGATGTTCTTCTGCTGTCTACTTTAGACAGCCATTCTAGAGGATCGCTTTCTTTCATAACTTCTTCTTCGATTTGACTCCTGCTTCTAGATCTTCTGCTCTTTTGGAACATTTCTTTTTTATCTTCTTCTACGGCGATGGTTTGGAATTCAGAAATTACTGCGTCCATTTTTGAGTCATCTCCGGTGTTAATTTCTTTTCAGAACGCTGTGCCATTTCGGCTCCTGTCGCAATCTTTTCAATCTTCTGTTCCTGTTTTTGTTCTACTTTCTCTACTTTGACTTCTTGTTTTACTTCTTTAACAGGCACAGGCTTGATAATCTCTCTCTTTTCAATTTTCTTCTCTTGCGACTCAATCTTCACATCTTTTTCGATCTTCTGCGTCACAGATTTGACTTCTTTCTTCTCCACAACTGGTACTGGAGTCACCAATTGCCTTCTGTCCTGTCTTTTTTCAACTACTCTCGCTTCTTCTGCTCTTTCTGCCTTCTGTACTTGAGAAGACTTTTGAACAACATCTGCGCTTTCATAGCTGCGTTTTTCAGTATACGATTGGTCTAGCTGATTGAATATTGGCTGTGATAGAAGGAACCTGGATAAAGCTACCATCACATCAGTTAGATGGATAAAGAACGTTTGTAAAAGTAAATTGTAATGGTAAGAAGAGTGTACAGTACCTCTAATATTGGGTATAGTTTGCAAACCTATAGTATAAGCTCTCTGTTCTGCACTACTCTTCTCGATTTCACACCAGAAGCAACTGATTTCGCTATCTTTTTGAATTTGGTCTTACTTTCAGAAGACTCTTGACAGAAGACTCCTGTCTGCTGGCTCTTCTGTGTACTCTTGTTGGTATTCCTGTGTTATAAGAGATTTTCTGTGCACATCCATTTTGCTATCTTCTGTAGATATTGTTTCTGATTGTTCAGTTGCTTTAACGTCTTTTCTAGACATCTTTCTGCTGTTTTCTTCTTCGTTTATAATCCTTTCTTGTTTACTCATCTTCTTTCGGCATATTCAGATGTTTCAGTCTTGTCAATTATTTCAGAAGATTGTTCAGACATTTCATATTTTGAAATGTCGTTTTTCTCCGTCTCTGAAATTAATTTTTCAGATTTTTCAGTAGACAAGAGTTCTTCATCGATTTCTTTCTTGATTTCCTCAGCCACTGATACAGCTCTTTCAATGCTATCATCCACAACTAACATGGCAGTTTCTTCTATTTTCTCAACATCTATTTCTTGCCTCATCTTCTCTATATACTGCAATTCTTCTCTTAAAGACTCTTCCTCAATTTCTTCTCTACTCATCTCTTTCTTTTCCACAGTTTAGAGTCAATTCTAACTCGATCTTTCCGAAATACCTTCTTCAATCTTAACTGATTTCTTTTTAACATCTTCGAAGCACTTTCTTTGACGACCACATCTTTAGTTTCTTTCAAATCTTTAATACTAGCCTCACATACTCTGGTTTCTTTAGTCACATCAACAACTTCTAAATCTTTACTCAAACTCTTAACATGTTTCTCATATTTCAGTAACTTTTCAACGACTTCAACATTCTGTTTAAACCTCGTCCCATCTGGATCATACTGTTCGGAAATCGGCAACTTATATCTGCTTTCACCCAACACATTACCAAACGAATTAAGCAAGTATTCAGGGTCATTATCATTAGGAGTGCGCCCAAAATTATCTCTATAATCAGGATTTAGGATTATGGGGTCTTCTAGAGGTGGAACTTCAGGGACAGGTTCGGTAGAAAACGGTCTATAAGGCTTTGTAGGGGTCAGAAAAGGGGAAGAAGTCAAGGATCTGGATTCTAAGTCAGATCTTGGATCGAGGTCATGGCTACCGATGTCAGAAGGGTCTACAAATTGTTGTATTTTGAAGACTACCTCAGTCGGTTCTGATTGTAGGCCTAAATCTTCCGGTTCGTAGTACAACGGCTCCGTGTCGTCTAGGACCGGATCGTAAAGGCCGCTGTAACAAGCGAAAAAGGAACTTATTATAGATATATAGTGATAAATCTACATATTAACTAGTATAGTGTTGTTTGTTTCATAATTTAGGACAGGTTGTCCTTGCTTGGTCTTTAAATAATTGTGTAATACGATTTTTATTTATAATTATATCCATCAAATCATTTTTTTGGCATTGATAGCCTGAAACACAGGTTTAAATAAACCTAGTTCGGGTAATCCCTATATATACTTAGAACGTTATTTCCTCGCATGTATATTGTATAAGACTAGATTAAGTAAACTATTACGAGTGTTATTATTAAGACTTTTTATTACTATAAAATCTGAGCGAACTGTAATTCTAAATGTGTTCTATGTTGTTTTTAATAAATTTTATTTTATTTTATTATCACTTAGTGTTGGTTGACTTTGACATAGCATCGAAAAAAATTTGAAGTGTTCAAAGAAAAACATGCAATTGGAAAGCGGTACCGATGACCGCTTGGGGACTCGGTTGTATACTTATGTACTAACATTTTCAATAGCATTGTTGTGTCTATAGTATCTTGATATGACTATAGACAATAAAGTGACCTCACTCACACTCTCGCCACTCATTTTTAACTCACTTCACTTGCACTCACTGACAGACTGACAATTTCTATTTTGACGTCACAAAAGTGTCTTTATGAAAGAAATTGAAATAATTGCCTTGATTTTAAACTACTTTTCACACTTTTTGTTAGGTACGTTTGAAAGTCAACGTATAATTTGGAAATATGTAACACTATCAAAAAATCATTGGCATTGATTAGCTTTGACTTTGAACACAACAAATTTTGGCACTCAAATTTTGATTAAGCAACTAAACGTCAGAAACTTATTACACTCAAATTTTGATGTATACCTAAAACCAAAAATATGATTTTGGAAACTTAAACAGTAGATAGGTGTAGATAGATATCACTGTTAAGAAATCCAATAAATATAATGATAATATATCACTCAGATCAAAATCAATAATGAGTTTATAACTCGGTTTTATTACGTCGACGTGTAACGAACTATGTAACAAAATCTAAGAATCTGAATTACACACACTTCTAATGGTTGTATCGTCATTAGCAATTAACACAGTTACAAAATCAAATATCTGAACTGAAATAGTCAACGCAACATCAGATTCTAATCTAGAAATATTAGGCAATGTTACTCCGAACGAAGATAAAAATAACCTAGAAATTGGCTTGTTAAACTATCGTGGTGGCCCGGAGGTTTAAAACGCCCGATTCTCATGCATGAGGGTGCGGGCTCGAAACCTACCAACGGCAAGTACCAATGTGACTTTTTCCGAGTTATATGTACTTTCTAAGATTATTTAGACACCACTGACAAACGGTGAAGGAAAACATCGTGAGGAAACCTGGACTTGTTATTTCTGATTATAAGTTTGTAATCGCCAAACCGCATTGAGCAAGCGTGGTGATGAATGCTCAAACCTTCTCCGTGTGAGAAGAGGCTTTGCTCAGCAGTAGGCATTTATAGGCTGTTGATGATGATAAAACTATTGTGACAGTTGAGTAGTTATAAATACCACTGTCATTATAGGTCTGAAGTTTGAATTGTCTTATAAAGTTTGGCTTTTTTAAATATTTCGCCTAGTGGTGCACGATGATGTGGTATATGATGGAGCACGTCTACATAACCAACCTATTCACTCGGGCCTTCAAAACACTTAGGCTACAGTCTATCTATCTTTATATTGAAACAAAGAGTTTAGTTTTTCTTGTATAGAAGCACTATTTTGGATTAGCAGTATGTTTTTTTTGGGACAAGCCTGCCACAACCTCCCATAAAAGCTACAACTCCTGTACACCAGGATCTACAGTAGATACAACCATGAAAACACCGGAACACTGAAGTCCGGCGCGTCCCAGGGACATGAGTAACTGTCTTGGTTCCCGCAACGAAGTGAATCAGAAGGCAGTATGTATATTTGTTGTCCTTAGGATTATTTTCTTTTTCGATCTCGTTGCTGGATTTTGGTGTTACAATAATGTAACACCACACACGACTTCACCCGAGGTCCCTATTGATAAAAGTAGGCTATGTGTTATTTCAAACTTCTGCTCCAAACATCTCGATCCCTACAGCCGTTTTAACGTAATTGAGTAAGAAATAAATATACAAACTGACATAAGTAGTTACGCGTTTATGATTTTAGTAAGATGAATAGATTAAGCGGATATTACTAGAACTCAAATAGAATGTTTATTTATCGTAATAAAATATATATTACAATTTTAAAGGCAACGGCTAATAAAAATGTTTGAGTAACTAGATCAACGTGTGGGAGAGCCATACTTCGGCATGAATGGGCCGGCTAGACCGGAGTGATACCACGGCCGAGCAGAAAACCGACGTGAAGCAACGCTTGCGTTATGTTTCGTCGAGTGAGTGAGGTTACCGGAGGCCCAATTACCCCCTTCTCCAGTCTCCCCGATCCCCGAATTCCCCACAATCTTCAAACTCCTAATTCCCAAAAGGCCGGTAACGCACTTATAACGCCTCTGGTGTTCCAGGTGTCCATGGCGACGCCGATTGCTTACCATCAGGTGATCCGTCTGGACCGTTTACCGGCTTATCTCATAAAAAAAACAAACTAAAGTCGGTGAATAAATGAAAAAAAAAGTATATAATGCAAAAAAAAACTTACTGATTCTTATAAACCAAATAAAATTTCATTTTGTTAACCCCAATCAATAGGTAATAAAAAACACAAATCGAACAGAATAATAAAAATATGTCGATCGTTTCGTACTACGCACAAATTCACACACACGCAATTCGAAAAACAAAAACCAAATAGAGATAAGCAACTAGTTTATATTCAAAGATAAATTAAAAAGGACAATGTGTAGTCTATTTCTGATTGACATTCATCGATAATTTCGTAGCCATTGTCAATAGATGCATAATTAGATCTGGCAAGGGACGTCTCGGAAGCACGGTAGAGATGCACCAAGTATGGATCAAATATAAATAAATAAATCTATATATATAAAATTCAAGGGTGATTGACTGACTGACTGACTGACATAGTGATCTATCAACGCACAGCCCAAACCGCTGGACAGATTGGGCTAAAATTTGGCATACAGATAGATGTTATGACGTAGGCATCCGCTAAGAAAGGATTTTGATCATTTCCACCCCCAAGGGGGTAAAAAAGGGGATGAAAGTTTGTATGAAACTTTGTCAGTTTTTAACCGATCGGGTTGAAATTTGGCATACAGATAGATGTTATGACGTAAGCATCCACTGTGAAAGGATTTTGATAATTTCCACCCCCAAGGGGGTAAAATAGGGGATGAAAGTTTGTATGAGACTTTGTCAGTTTTAAACCGATCGGGTTGAATATTGGCATACAGATAGATGTTATGACGTAAGCATCCACTGTGAAAGGATTTTGATAATTTCCACCCCCAAGGGGGTAAAATAGGGGATGAAAGTTTGTATGAGACTTTGTCAGTTTTAAATCGATCGGATTGAAATTTGACATGCAGATAGATGTTATCACATAGGCATCCGCTAAGAAAGGAGTTTGATCTTTTCCAACCCTAAGGGGGTAAAAAAGGGGGTGAAAGTTTATATGAAGCTTTGTCAGTTTTACACCGATGCAGATGAAATTCGGCATGCAGGTAGATGTTATGACGTAGGCATCCCCAAGTAAGGATTTTGATTATTTCCACCTCCAATGGGGTAATGTAGGGGATGAACGTTTGTATGAAGCTTTGTCATTCTTACACCGATCGGGTTGAAATTCGGCGTGCAGATGGATATTATGACGTAAACGTCCTTTAGAAAGGTTTTTGAAATTCTCACCCCAAAGTGGGTAAAATAGGGGGTGAAAGTTTGTATGACACTTTGCCAGTTTTAAATTGATCGGGCTGAAACTTTGCATGCATAAAGTTACTATGACATAGGTATCTCTTTAGAAAGGATTTTGATAAATTCCACCCTAAGGGGATAAAATAGGGAATGAGAGTTTGTATAAATCGTCTTAGCCATTGAATTTAGATTCATTGAATCTTTTTGAATTACATTCGGTGAACGATGATTTGGGACCTAGGTAACGTTTGATAGTTTCTATCACAGATGTCCCACGGGAACGAGAACTATGCGTCAATGCCCCAGGACTCTCTAACTCTTAACCACTGAACTTATTTTAGAGAGATTCGGTACAACAATAGTCGATAGAATAGTTTTTATTACTCAAACCTTACGTGATCGGGCACTGTACTGGTAAGATCCCTGCGGGATTATTTATTTATTGAAACTACGATAAATCATTTCAAAATAGGTAAATCTTACTTGGGCACTGAATTGATTCTGATTAATTCTGTCAGAAGTCATTAATCTACGCGGACGAAGTCGCGGGCAACAGCTAGTCAAATTATAAGTTTAATATCACAATGTGATTGCCTCGTTGGCCGAGTGTTTGCAAGTGTGACTGCCGGGCAAGAGGTTTCGGGTTCGATTCCCGGGTCGGGCAAAGTATTACTAGGTTTTTAAAACATTCTCAGTAGTAGCACGGAGTCTGAAATTGTGCACGGTTTATGGCAATAGGCTCACCCCCTATTACATGGGACTCGTAACATAAATAGTGAAGATTGGGTGTTACATTGTACAGTGGCATTATGTGCACCTCTGCCTACCCCTTCGGGGATAAAAGGGATGTTATGTTATGTTGACACAATTGATTAAAAATTTATTATAATTTGACTATGGGTTGATAGTGACGTAAAAATTAACTTAGTCATAGATCTGAACAATTATTGAAATATGAAAAAGTCCTCCGCGGCTCCGTAGCGGCATCAGCCCTATTGGGCCCCATCCGTGGGGGTCTGATGGCCCCTAGAGGCAGGCGCGGAACGCGACGCGCCGTACGCTCGGGCCTGCTTCTGGTCGGGCGGCGACTTACCCGTGGTCGCCGTCCGCAGACCCGTGCCTACGGTGGCCGGAGAACCGCTCATGGACACAAGAAGTACCAGGAAAGTTAAACTTACATTGTCTTTTAAACTGTCAAACACCGAGCGGTCACCGGTGACCGCAACCTAATATTCTTTAATTGTGTCTATAAATACGGTACACAACGAGTTAAGAAACTCCAGGATATGTAGAAAAATTAACTAAAATCGCGGGCTACTCACGTGTATATACTGAGAAAATCTCTACTAGTTTCGAACCACAAAGGGGTTCTTTCTCATGATTTCTCTCTTTACATTATTCTCACATGATTGTACAATATTGGAATATGTATCAGAGCAATGTAAAACAGACTTTTTTTAAAAAGAGTAACGAATGGAAGTTCTTGCTCGTTCTTCTCCACTCGAATCTACATTTTGGAACGAGCGCCTAGCTTCACTGACGGACAGACTGACAGACTATTATTTCTTTCATATTTGTTGACGTTTCAAAAGTACCAAATTATGGTTTAATTGAAATAAATGCTTTTGAGTTTGAGTTTGAGCAGCGTGCGTCGCCGCGATTTAGTATGTCTCACGATTTTTTTTTAAGCGGGGAAATCATCGAATGACTGCTCCCGCCTGGGTGAGGCGGGAGGGAGTGTCAGACTCTTACTGACTAAAAACCACCCCGTTCCTTCTCCTACACGTCGAGCCGGAGCCCCTGTAACCCGTTAGGTTCTCCGCGACTCCAGTATGTCTCACGATAGTTATTATAAAAACATGTAGAAAAAAATTGGTTGCCTGTAAAGTCGGTATACGGGCGAAAGTTTTACGTGACAACGACTTTGAGTGGTAAAATAATTTTAATGTGAATATTCATTCGCGTGCCTTTCACTTTTTATGTCTGTCTCTCTCGCTCTTAGGCGGGCTAACCATGCCCGAGTGGAAGGGACGCGTGCCTCTCACTCGCTCTCATTGTGAGCGCATAACGTGAGCGGAGCGTAACGCAGTTTCTGGAAGTGTCACCCGGCAAACCAATTTATAAGACGTTGTCACGTCAAAATGTTTGATAGCTCACAATGTGCTCGTTAATTTGATAACTTGGCGACTTTTTGAACATTTAGTTTTTATGATAGACTTCGTTTATAAATAGTTATCAGTTCGGTATTTAGGTCTCGCTACAAATAAATACGACTCCGTAACGTTTTAATACAAGAGGTGGTAAGCAGAGGTATATTATGTAATGTTTTTTAAGGGGGGAAAATCATCGAATGGCTTCTCCCGCCTGGGTGAGGCGGGAGGGAGTGTCAGACTCTTACTGACTGAAAACCACCATGTTCCTCCTGCGCTTTGAGCCGGAGCCCCGGTAACCTGTTAGGTTCTCCGTGGCTCCGTATTGGTTGGGCCCCATCCGCGGTGGTCTGATAGCTCTATAAGAGGCGCCCAGAACGCGTCGCGCCGCACTCTCGGGTCTGGTTCTGGTCGGGCGCCGAGCTAACCATGCTCGCCGCCCGACCAGCTACTCATTTTAATGCCCTTCTCATCAACCTCTCTAAAATATAAAGGAACCTTTTAGCTAAGATAGGTGATACTGTTTTTTCAGTTTACTAAAATTTCGTTTAGTCCTGTATAGTTTTGTATAGTTGTTTTTTTATCAAATATTTGTAAAGTTGGTAAACCTATAATTGGGTACGTGCCAACTAGTCAAATTCAACACTTTTTTCGAACTGTCAAAAACGACAGTTTTCTATGAATTTTGTAAGAGATTGTGTATTGTGACGTCACGTTTTTTTAACGTCAAACAGTAGCGTACTTATTTCTTAAAAATTTGCTGGTAAAATATTAAAATTAAGTCGGTCATAAAATCAATTAATGAAAGTGTGACTATTTTTTAATATTTTATTGTATTGAACAGTCGAAATAATATATTTTTGATTAAAGAAAATACCCAATAGGCGATTGTATAAGCCCAATACCTGGGTATTGTTACCTTTGTTATATCTTAATAACTACTAGATATGTGTAAGGAAGCTATTGGTTTACCTATTTAAATTAATAAATAAATACTTAACCAACAATAAGAGACGTCACAGTACAAATGAGGGGTCCATTTAAGTACTCCTTAACACTAAAGACCAAGTTTAGTAAAGAGGTTGTTTTTGTAGGTGACCACCAATCTTAGAGACCGATTAGTCACTCTGACTCAATCTAACTCATTCTCACTCAGTTTCACTCACTTCTATAGCCTTGGACACACTCACCGCAGGACTCCAACTGTGAGGCTATGCCCTGACTCCTCGACTCTTCGGCTGGCGGTCAGCAGAGACATGTCGATGGCTTCTTCTCCGTTCAGCGTCAGGATCGTGTCACCGTTCAGCAAGCCAGCGCGCTTCGCCGGGGAGTCAGGTTCTATCTGTAAAGGGGGTAGACAGGGGTATTATTGTACAGTTTTTCTAGTACAATGTCTCATTTGCCGAGTGGTCGCAAGTGCGACTGCCGGGCAACGGGTCTCGGGTTCGATTCCCGGGTCGGACAAAGTATTACTAGATTTTTTTTTAAATCTCAGTAGTAGCACGGAGTCTGGAATTGTGCCCGGTATATGGCAATAGGCTCACCCCCTATTACATGGGACTTATAACATAAATAGTGAAAAGTGGGTGTTACATTGTACAGTGGCATCATGTGCACCTCTGCCTACCCCTTCGGGGATAAAAGGCGTGATATTATGTTATACATATAAATAAATCGTAGAAAAGTCAAAAATGTACATTGAATATTTTTTTTAAAGAATAACTTGTAGTGTGGTCTACGGTCGATACGGAAGTCTGTTTGTCTGTTTGTATGTCCGGGATGATCGCAAAAAGTACTGCATGGATTTACTTAAAATTTTGTTAGATTATTACTAACAGGTCGGGTCAACATATAGGCTACATATAATCACTCTATTACCTACGGGGTCCCAAGCGTAAGGCGCGTCGCGATCCGCGCGCGCCTCAAAGAGCCATCAGACTACCACGGATGGGACCCAATAGGGCTGATGCCGATACGGAGCCGCGGAGAACCTAAAGGGTTACCGGGGCTCCGGCTCGAAATGCAGGATAAGGAACGGGGTGGTTTTTAGTCAGTAAGAGTCAGACACTCCCTCCCGCCTCACCCAGGCGGGAGAAGTCATTAGATGATTTTCCTCCCTTAAAAAAAATCACCTACAGGGTAAGCGCAGGAAATCACTATTCCACGCGAACGAAGTCGCGTGCACAGCTAGTCTACATATAAATTACACAAATCAATAGCAGACTGATATCTATTAGATCACTTCCAATGATTAGTTTCGAAAGAGGACAAGGGCATGTGGCACCCAGCCAAACTATTGTGAATTGGCAGGTACGAATTATTTGCAGCCAATGTCAATCTGAGAGTGACATGGGACGTGTTGAGAGTAAATACTTCTTATACTAGCTTTATTTATTTACTAGCTTCTGCCAGCGGCTTCGCCCGCGATCCCAGGGGTAAAATGCCTATGTATCACTTCAGACCATAATCTACCTCTGTTCCGAATTTCATTCCGGTCCCTTCAGTCGGTTTAATATGACTGAGTAACAAACATAACCATAAACTCAAATATTTTCATTTATAATAAGCTCAAATCAACATCAAGTCAAGCTAAAATCAACCATTGGCCTTTCAGTTACAGCGTAAAGTCTATGAATGAGTATTGTAAACGTTAGAGTAGACAAATACAATCAGAAATCACCGAGTTGCTTGGCTATCGGGAGTTTAACGTGTTATTGTGAGTCAACCATAAAAGATAGACATATGCTCTCCAGGAATATTTTTTATATAATTTTAAGGAGAATATTTCCGTCATACATGATTTCTATGTAGCTTTAACCTATAAGCCTGCAAACGCGACGGAAGCTTAAAAAATGGAGTAACTTCTCCCGTTTTCCCAATATTTCCTTCACTGCTCTGCTCCTATTGATTGTAGCGTAATGAAAAGTATACTATAACCTGCCCAAGAGTATGAAGAATAATTGTGCCAAATTTCGTTAAAAGCCGTCGAGTAGTTTTTGTTTCCATAACGAACATACAGACAGACAGACAGACAGACAGACAGACAAAAATTTTACTGATTGCATTTTTGGCATCAGTAGCGATCCCTAACCACCCCTTGATAGTTATTTTTTAAATATATTTTATGTACAGAATTGACCTCTCTACAGATTTATTATAAGTATAGATTTATTAACGCTTCATGCACAAAGTGTACACAAGGCGGACTAAATGCCGCAGGCATTTTCTCCCAATCTGACCTTTGGGTAATGCAGAGAATAGTGAATGGTAGGAGCAAGAAGCAAGCAACGATTTAATTGAGAAAATAGAAGATTATACTAACATATTTCAGATATGAACATAAATAAATATAATAATATATATACCTACACACGAGTACAATACAATATACATACATACATACATACATACATACATAGACTCATAGTATATAAATATGAACATAATTACTAATACTATAAATAATTAGTGTGATGAATCAGCCAACCTCTTCAAGAGAAGTTCGCATATTTTCTGTGTAAATGTAAGCTTTACCCCGCGACTTTGCCATTAAAAGTTAAAGCATTGATTTCATTGTTACATTGTTCTCGCACAATCCAAACAACAAAACTATGTAACTAGAGAATAGGGATGATGACAGGGTATGAAAATTAAAAATCTAATTAGTCCGTAAGTTAGGTAATGAAAAAATATTAGACACGTATTTTTTTACTTTGTCGTATAACAAAACAATGCTTAGATAAAACGAATCAAAGGAGGAGTGGGGGCTAAAACGTATTAACTTCTACGTATAAAATGTACATAGAAGTGACGTCACGCGACATTTCAAATCAATATATCGTCGAAAGCATTCGTTTCTGTAAGAAAATAAAAAATACGTGTGTAATGATTTAAAATAATTTACCAGACGGACATTAAAATAAAAATTTCAAAAAGAGTAACCTATGGAGTTTCTTGCTCGTTCTTCTACATAGGAATCTACACTTCACTATTTATTTTTTTTTGATTTGTTGACGTTCAAAGGTGCCTTCTGGTTTAATTGAAATAAATTATTTTGACTTTGACTTCAATTAAACCGTAATTTGGTACTTTGAAACGTTAACAAATATAAATACCTCTAAATAAATAGTCTGTCAGCCTGTCCAATCTGTCAGGGGGCCAGTGTGTCCATCTGTGAAGCTGTGGGCCCACCCAGCTTCACAGATGGACACACTGGCTGTTAATGGAACTTCATAAAAAGGGTTTTTTATGGAGCGGCAAACTAATCTAATTTGTTTTTTTTATGGAATAGGAGGCAAACGAGCAGACGGATCACCTGATGGTAAGCGATCAGCGCCGCCCAGGGACACCCGCAACACCAGAGTGGTTACAAAAAAGTAATTTAAACTCAAAAGTCAAATAAATATTTCAATTAGACCAGGATGCTTACTCCTGAAACCAATCTCAATGTCAATGCAATTTCAATATAATTATATCTCAATAATTATTAAATGTCAATACTATACAACCACAATCGTAGCTGTTACAATAGCATTCAGAATACGGAATATAAAGACAAACTCAATACCGTTTAGTTCATTCAATATCCACGCAATACGGATGCAATGGGCGCTAGTGTTGCAACTCAAGAGTACGGCACAATATCAATGTCGATTGATCGGAATTGGATTCAATAGTAAGCCCCATGAAGGCAATTTTGAACGTCAACAAAAATGTGAAGCTGTAGATTCCTATGTAGAAGAACGAGCAAAAAACTCTATAGGTTACCCACTCTTTAAATTTTTTTATTTACAGTTTTGCACAATGCGTATACAATGGCGGACTTAATGCCAAAATCTTTTCCAATCAGGTTCACGATTCAATTTTTAGTTACACAGGTTTGTTGGTTCAATTTTATTGTATGAAAACAATGCAACACCAAAATCCTACGTGCATAGCAAGATTAAATAAGTGTGGGAGAGTCTCGACCGCAGTGATACCACGGCCTCACAGAAAACCGACGTGAAGCAACGCTTGCGTTGTGTTTCGTCGAGTGAGTGAGGTTACCGGAGGCCCAATTACCTTCCCAATCTCCCAATTCCTGAATCCCCAACGATCCTCAAATTCCTAATCCTCAAAAAGCCGGTAACGCACTTGTAATGCCTCTGGTGTTCCAGGTGTCCATGAGCGACACCGATTGCTTATCATTATGTGAACCGTCTGCTCGTTTTAATCTAAACTCGCCAAACTTTAACGTTTCATTGCGAGAGACGCTCATTAAACAAACAATTCAATTATGTTATAACTAGCGGACCCAACAGACGTTGTCCTGCATATCCACTTGAATGTATGAAAATTCATTCAAATTAGTTCAGCCGTTTAGGGTAACTAACCTAGACATCGTCTGCAGCGCCATCTACCGGGCTGATTTGTGACTCTAAACCATCCAGGGCGCCATTCAAACACGTACAGAAAAATTCATTTAAATCGGTCAAACCGTTTAGGAGGAGTTCAATGATATACACACGCACAGCAGAATTATATATATAAAGATATGTAAGTAGGTGTAATTGCAATAAGGAGCCGCGGAAAGCCTAACGGGTTACCGGGGCTCCGGCTCGAAGGGTAGGAGTAGGAACGGGGTGGTTTTTAGTCAGTAAGAGTCAGACACTCCCTCCCGCCAACCCAAGGCGGGAGAAGTCATTGGATGATTTTCCCAATTCAAAAAAAAGGTGTAATTGCAAATTTTTTCTTAACATTATTAATGCAACAATTAATGGTTTTCTTAACACTTTCTTATTATTGCTGTCGGGGATGGGATAGATAGGGGAGGGGATAACTGGGCTTCCGATAACGCACTCACACGACGAAACAACGGTATGGTTGTTTCACGTCGGTTTTCTGCGCGGCCGTGGTATCACTCCGGTTGAGCCGGCCCATTTGTACGCAGCATTGCTCTCCCACATAATATGTCATGCGATTTCTTGTGGTTAATCAATAAAGTCAAAGTCAAAGCATTTATTTCAATTAAACCATAGTTTGGTACTTTTGAAACGTCAACAAATACAAAATAAATAATAGTCTGTCAGTCAGTCCGTCAGTGAAACTAGGTGAAGCTAGGTGCTCATTCCAAAAAGTAGATTCGAATGAAGAAGAACGAGCAAGAAACTCCATTCGTTACTCTTTTTAAAAAAGTATGTTCTACAATGTCTCTGATACATATTTCAATACTGTACGCATATGTAAGAACAATGCAAAGACATGCTTGACGAATTATAATACCATCTAATCGAAACTTCTCAATAAGTAATACTTTTGAAAACTACTTATTGGCCATTGTCTTGGCTCCTATTACCTACATGACTTGATGGTATTTATAATAACATACGAGATGAAAGATGAGCAAAGCCTCTTCTCACACGGAGAAGGCTTGAGTATTAAATACCACGGTTGCTCAATGCGGGTTGCTGATTTCAAACTTATATTCAGAAATTATAAGCCCAGGTTTCCTCACAATGTTTTCTATCACCGTTTGTCAGTGGTGTCTGAATAATCTTAGAAAGTACATATTACTCGGAAAAAAGTGACATTGGTAGGTAGGTAGGTTTCGAACCCGCACCCGTATGCATGAGAAACGGAGTCTTAACCTCCAGGCTACCACGACACTCCATTATTCATAAACAAAAATAATGTGCATTACCTGTTGTATCGTCAAAGGCATCTCTTCATCAGCTCCACCGAAGATCTGGAACCCCCATGGTTCGTCCACATCACGAGATAAACGGACGTCTAACGCCATCTATTAGAAAGTATATGAATTATAGTTTGTTGATTATATTATTTTTTGTTTACAATATTATTTCAAAGTTTATGATCTAAACATCTTATGTTCTAACTGTACAGTCGAACTGTACAGACATTAAAATCGGTGTGTAGAGTAAACACCGATTCACCGATTCATGGTAGATGTCCCACCCACACGCACGAAGCGCTTCGCTTCAAGCTTCCTTGTGCGTACTGCTAAAGAGTGGAATTCTTTGCCAGAGTCTTTATTTCCTGAAGGGTATAACCTGGGTGTCTTCAAGGCCCGAGTGAATAGCTTGCTTATGAGACGACGTGATCCACCGTAGACCACATCATCGCTTACCACCACCAGGCGAGATAGTGGGCAAACGTCGACCCATCAAATATAAACAAAAGGTTAAATTTATCAAAAAACCGTACAATCTCCTTTGATACTTTTCCTAATAGGTACTGATTCCAATGATGATGACTGCTGCACAACATAATAATATAAACATAACATAACATCACGTCTTTTACCCCCGAAGGGGTAGGCAGAGGTGCACATTTATGGCACTTAATACCACTGTACAATGTAACACACACTTTTCACTATTTTGTATGTTATGAGTCCCATGTAATAGGGGGTGAGCCTATTGTCATATACCGGGCACAACTCCAGACTCCGTGCTACCACTGAGAAATTTTAAGAACCCAGTATTACTTTGCCCAACCCGGGAATCGAACCCGAGACCCCTTGCCTGGAAGTCGCAATTGGGATGATGAAAGAGTATGAAAATCAAAAATATAATTAGTCCGTAAGTAAGGTAATGAAAAAATATGAAACACGTATTTTTTTTATTTTGTCGTATAATAAAACAATACTTAGATAAATCGAATCAAAGTTTAGGAGTGGGGGCTAAAACGTCATTTCTACGTATGACGTACATAGAAGTGACGTCACGCAACATTTCATATCAATAATATAGTCGAAAGTATTCGTTTCTGTAAGAAAATGAAAAAATACGTGTCTAATGATTTCAAATAATCTACCAGACGGATATTAAAATAAAAATTAGGCATCTGACCTATTGAGACCACTCAGCCAACGAGGCCGTCACACATACGGCTTCAATTCCCGTATGGCCACACGAAATAACTCAGTACAATCCACAGATAAGAAGGCACTAATCTCCAAAACTACTGGTTTCAATTAAAGTCTTTTTGTGTTGAATAGTCCATGTCAACATTATGATAATTTCTAGTTTTTATTAAGGGGCAAAAATCATCGAATGACTTCTCCCGCCTGGATGAGGCTCGAGGGAGTGTCAGGCTCTTACTGACTAAAAACTACCCCGTTCCTACTCCTGCACTTCGAGCCGGAGCCTCGGTAACCCGTTAGGTTCTCCGCGGCTCCGTATCGGCATCAGTCCTATTGGGCCACATCTGTGGTGGTCTGATGGCTCTTTGGCGCCGAACGCTTGGGTCTGGTTATGGTCGGCTGGTGAGCCACCCATGCTTGCCGTCCGCAGGCCCGCGCTTACGGTGGCCGGAGATCGTCCCGCGATCCCTGACGCTCGGAGTGTCCTTTGCGACGGCTGGGCTGTGAGGAGGTAGCGCTTCGCTGCCTCACGCGCCCCGCCTCTTCCTTAGCTAGCATGATTACTTCGCAAAAGGAGGAGACGGCAACCCAGACAATGTCTAGTTAGGGTATTTGTATGTAAATCTGTCTATAATCGCACGCACGACGCAGGATGTAACCTATATAGTGTAAAACCACATAAAACATATGAAATTTACCTTTAGTTTAATCCGAAACGAGTGTAGCACGCCACAGTTAAAAATTAACTGATTGAATCTTTGGCACCCGTTACTATTGACACACATCTTTAACTTAACTGGGTTAGAACCTACTTTCAATTTGTATTTAGACCATTAGTCGATCTAGAATAATATATATATATATTATTCTATATATGCCACATATATATGAAGCAAAATGATTCTTTTACAAACCACGTTTAAACAATTAACTAAAATTACGAGTTACTCACGTGAATATACTGAGAAAAGCTCTACTAGTTTCGAACCACAGAGGGGTTCTTCCTCATGAGCAGTGTGCGCGGTTGCGGTTCGCTCGAGTGAGCTGCGCGACGTCACGTGGGTAACCCGCGATTTTAGTTAATTTAGTATATCTCACGATAGTTATTATAAAAACATATACGTTTAAAGAAACCGACATCAACTCCCTATTTTTTTGCAGTATTTTTTTTATAGCATAAGCCGGTAAACGAGCAGACGGATCACCTGATGGTAAGCAATCGGCGTCGCCTATGGACTCCTGAAACACCAAGGCGTTACAAGTGCTTTACCGGCCTTTTGGGGATTAGGAGTTTGAGGATCGTTGGGAATTCAGGAATTGGGGAGATTGGGGAAGAGGAGAGTAATTGGGTCTGTTAATTAATATACTAAAACCTTCTCCTAAGTGTAACAAACGCTTTTATGGAAACCGCAACAAAATCGGTTCAGTCAATTGCGCTATAATCGCGCACAAACATGCATATATACAGGTCAAGCCGATGACCTCCTTCACGCCTTTTATCCCCGAAGGTATAAGCAGAGGTGCACATTATGCCACTGTACAATGTAACACCCACTTTTCACTATTTATGTTACGAGTCCTATGTAATAGAGGGTGAGCCTATTGCCATATTTCTTTTTGAAGTCAGATAATAACACCTTTTATCCCCTAAAGAAATAGAAAGAGATACACATATATCGTGTAACACTCACTATTACCAGTTATATTTTGAGTCCAATGTAATAAGGGGTTTTTTTTGGGGGCATAATCATCTAATGATTTCTCCCGCCTGGATGAGGTGAGTGTCAGACTTTTACTGACTAAAAACCACCCCGTACTTACTCCTGCACTTCGAGCCGGAGCCCCAGCAAACCGTTAAGGCGCGGTACCTTCGCTCCGTACCATGATCTGTACGCAAGAGGTCGCCGTCGCCGATGTGATAAGGGATGAGATTATTGCTTATTATGCTAGAGGCGTACATAAACCCGCGACGCGGCTACTGTCGCGAAATGCTGCTCAATAATATGAGCCTCTAGCATGGCTTGAAACTTTTTATTTTCAAGCCCGATACGTTTTACCGAAACCGCTACAACTTCTGTATACCAGGATCTACAGTAGATACAACCATGCAAACACCGGAACACTGAAGTCCGGCGCGTCCCAGGGACATGAGTAACTGTCTTGGTTCCCGCAACGAAGTGAATCAGAAGATATTATAAGAGGAGAAGAAAAACGATAGTTTCCAGTTCCCTCGGTGAATTACTGCTGGATACAGAATTATTTAAGCCTAAAGATATAAAAGAGTCAGCGCACAACTGGGCCCATTTGCCACTCAACATGTAAATTTGATTTGAAACTAAGTGGGTCCTGGTTGGGTGACATAGAGTTAATTGGGGGAGAGGTATACACCTCTCCCCCAATTAACTCTTCCTCATCATACGATGATGAGGAAGTCAACCTCTGCTGCCAACATCTTCAAGGAAGAAACAATAAACTTTTAAAAAAAATTCAAATCGCGATGGCATTCCTTTCTATCTAGTTGGCTACAAAAATTTAATTAATCTTGTTCAACGGATTGGTAAAAAAATGCGTTTATTAATAATTTTAGTGTTATTTTCCTTTATTTACATAGTTACGTGTAAAACCCACGTTAAGGCTCTAACTGAATCCATGGGTCAAGAGGTCATTGAGATTAATAGCCCTGTAAAAGGTAATGAATCATAATTTTCTCTATGGCATAGGCCAACAAGCCGGACCTGATGGTAAGCAATCGGCGTCGCCCATGGACATACGGAACAAGTGCATTACCGGCCTTTTGGACAGGCTCTCCTCTCCAGTCCTGACGGACATATTTTATATTGACCAGATTGGCGATATATTAAAGAAGGGCCAAATTAAAAGTACCCTTAACCGACGAGCATGCATTAAAAGATTGATGACTGTTGATGAAGCGAAAGAGGTATGTAGGAATCGTAGCAATTGGCGTTCCATAGTCTCTGCCTACCCCCATGGGAGACCAGCGTTAGGTTATTTATGTATGTCATCAGTCCCTCTTATATGGTGAAAAACAATGCAAACGTTGTATCACGCCGGTTTTCTGTGAGGTCGTGGTATCACGACTTGATTTAGTGGTTTCAAATAAATAATTTTACTGCCTCGTTGACCGAGTGGTTGCAAATGCGGCTGCCGGATATGGAGTCTCCAGTTTTTATTAATTTCTCTGTAGCACGCAGTCTGTAATTGTGCCCGGTATATGGCAATAGGCCCACCCCTTATTACATGGGACTCATAACATAAATAGAGAAAAGTGGGTGTTACATTGTACAGTGGCATCAAGTGCCGTAATGCACACCTCTGCCTTCGATAAATGACTTTATGTTAGTAAACAAATAATTACAAATTAGAAAATTCTTTGTGTGATCTACAAATTGTTATTTCTATATCTGTCTGTGTGAACTTGTATATTTGTAAACGCACCCATGACACAGGAGAAAATCCTAGTGTAGTTTAAGGATTTAACTGCCAATCAAAAACTTTTGAAGATATATATCTGCAAAACATCAGTTACAGGTGACAACAAGGCGATTCAACATGTTATGAATAAACTAACAAAACCGTATGATATGAATGCTTTTCATCATTTTACAGAACTGCCCATGGGTTTAGAAGAAGAACCATCGTCAGATAAAGAAGATAAAACAAAAACTAAAGAACCTCAATCGCTGGAAGGAGAGTATAAAAGAATGTCAACGGTAAGTCTCTACACTACATGAGTCACTGTTTACATGTTACTATTAGCTCATGACGATACCTAAGTACGTATCGCCTGGACAGTCCACGCTACCATCAGTTGACTGAACAATCTCTACACTACATAAGTCACTGTTTACTTGTTACCATTAGCTCATGACGATACCTAAGTACGTATCGCCTGGACAGTCCTCGCTACCATCAGTTAACTGGACAATCTCTACACTACATGAGTCACTGTTTACATGTTACCATTAGCTCATGACGATACCTAAGTACGTATCGCCTGTACAGTCCACGCTACCATCAGTTGACTGGACAATCTCTACACTACACGAGTCATTGTTTACATGTTACCATTAGCTCATGACGATACCTAAGTACGTATTGCCTGGACAGTCCACGCGTCCATCAGTTGACTGGACAATCTCTACACTACATGAGTCACTATTTACATGTCACCATTAGCTCATGACGATACCTAAGTTCGCATCGCCTGGACAGTCCACGCTACCATCAGTTGACTAGACAATCTCTACACTACATGAGTCACTGTTTACATGTTACCATTAGCTCATGACGATACCTAAGTACGTATCGCCTGGACAGTTTACGCTACCATCAGTTCACTTGACAATCTCTACACTACATGAGTCACTGTTTACATGTTACCATTAACTCATGACGATACCTAAGTACGTATCGCCTGGACTGACCACGCTACCATCAGTTGAATGGACAATCTCTACACTACATAAGTTACTGTTTATTTTTGGTATATTTTAGATAAGCGGCAAAGAAAATATGAAAGACGTGGACAGGATTGATGGACTAAACACGGAAAGTGAAGAAGACAGGATAGAGAAAGAACTGGCAGAAATATACAAGGATACAGCTGGTCAGTAGAGTATTGAGTCTTTTCTAAACTAAAAGTCGCGGGTTAGTCACATGAAATTACTGAGAAAAGCTCTACTAGTTTCAAACCACAGAGGGGTTCTTCCTCATGAGCAGCGTGCGCGGTCGCGGCGATGTCGCGCAGCCTCCTGACTAGCGTTGGCGCAATGCATTATACGTTCACCAGTGGCGTGGATAGTGGATTTAATGTGGTTCGGAGGGTTCAAAACCTACCAACGGCAACTACCAATGTGACATTTTCCGAGTTATATATACTTTCTAAGATTATTTAGACACCACTGACAAACGGTGACGGAAAACATTGTAAGGAAACCTGGGCTTATAATTTCATTATATTATAAGTTTGAATTCGCCAATCCGCATTGAGCAAGCGTGGTGATATTCAAACCTGTGTCAGAAGAGGCCTTTGGTCGGGTGGTTTTTAGCACTTTTTAGTCAGTAAGAGTCTCACACTCCCTTCCGCCTCACCCAGGCGGGAGCAGTCATTAGATAATTTTGCCCCCTTAAAAAAATCCTAAAAACGCGGGCGAAGCCTCTGGCCAAAGCCAGCGATCCAAGGAACCATATGTAGACTCTTTGTTGTAATAAGGTAAATATTATAATCTTAAGTTAAATAATATAAGTAGCGCCATCTAGTGTTAAGTTGGCAAGTTTCTCATAGACGTCGATATATTATCTGTGTTCTTCCCTTTTGTCGTCTGCATGGCGCCCATCATGTGCTTTCTGTGAGATTTTTAATAAAACTACGAAATATAACAAGCATTATCTATTATTCAACCACATCCACCACTTCAACACTCTTCAATAAAAGAATACGAGGAAATCAAGTTTTGTTTATCTTTTTTGTGGCTTCTACTAAGAAACGATACTAATTTTATATGATACTATGAAAAGTGAAATACAGATTAGATATACAATAAGTTTATCATATAAAATCAAGCGTGACTCATAGCTGATAGTAATTTTACATGCAGTACTATTGACTGCCTCGTTGGCCGAGTGGTCGCAAGTGCGACTGCCAGGCAAGGGGTCTGGGGTATGATACCCGAGTCGGGCAAAGTATTGCTGGGTTTTTAAAAAAAGTCTCAGTAGTAGCACGGAGTCTGAAATTGTGCCCAGTATATGGCAATAGGCTCACCCTCTATAACATGGGACTCATATTATAAATAGTGAAAAGAGGGTGTTACATTGTACAGTGGCATTAAGTGCCGTAATGTGCACCTCTGCCCACCACTTCGGTGATAAAAGGCGTGATGTTATGTTATTAAGTAATATTGGGATTGTGGGAATCCACTACTGGACTATAATACAAGATGATGTTATTGTTTCGATTCCCGCACGGAACAACTCTGTGTGATCCACAAATTGTTGTTCCGGGTCTGGGTGTCATGTGTATGTGAACTTGTATGTTTGTAAACGCATACACGACACAGGAGAAAATCCTACTGTGGGGCAAGGTTAAAACAAAATTGTAAGTAGATTAATTAAGCTGATCGCTTACCATCAGGTGATCCGTCTGCTCGTTTGCCTCCTATTCAATAAAAAACATAACATCACGCCTTTTATCCCCGAAGTGGTAGGCAGAGGTGCACATTATGCCACTGTACAATGTACCACCCAGTTTTCACTATTTATGTTATGAGTCCCATGTAATAGGGGGTGAGCCTATTGCCATATACCGGGCACAATTCCAGACTCCGTGCTTCTACTGAGATTTTTTTTAAAACCCAGTAATACTTTGCCCGACCCGGGAATCGAACCCGAGACCACTTGCCCAGCAGTCGCACTTGCGACCACTCGGCCAACGAGGCAGTCAATAAAAAATCAATTTAAAAAAAGTCATTCAAATTAAAATTTTTGACACAGATTATAAAAGCGAAAGTGGCGAAGATGAAGTAGCTAAAGAAGTATCAGTAGATGATCACACACAGGAGGCTACAGTCCAAGAATTTAAATCCAAATATGATAGCGACTACAAGAATGACAGCGGTGAAGAAACTGACGACACCTCAACAACTCCTGATGAAATTACAGAAGAACCTATACCTACTGCTGCAGGAGATGAGCAAACCGACCGACCTATCGCAAGATCACGGAACAAGTAAGGTTTTAAGTCGCTGTTAAAGTCAAAATTCGCATCAACCACTTCATTTTTCTGCACTTCCCTATGGTTGACTGTAGTCGCGGAGAACCTAACGGGTAACCGGGGCTCCGGCTCGACGTGCAGGAGAAGGAACGGGGTGGTTTTTAGTCAGTAAGAGTCTGACACTCCCTTCCGCCTCACCCGGGCGGGAGCAGTCATTCGATGATTTTCCCCCTTAAAAAAAATGGTTGTCTGTTAGAGAATGCCTTAAGGCATTAAGTCCGCCATTCACTGTTGTATTTTGTGAAGAAGAAAATAAATAAATAAATAAAAATCAAACCTCGTTGGCCGAGTGGTCGCAAGTGCGACTGCCGAGCAAAGGGTTTTGGGTTCGATTCCCGGGTCCGGCAAAGTATTACTGGGGTTTTTAAAAAAAAATTCTCAGTAGTAGCACGGAGTCTGGAATTGTGCCCGGTATATGGCAATAGGCTCACCCCCTATTACATGGGACTCATAACATAAATGGTGAAAAGTGGGTGTTACATTGTACAGTGGCATAATGTGCACCTCTGCCTACCCCTTCGGGGATAAAAGGCGTGATGTTATGTTTAAAAGTCAAATCATTTAGACCAAAAAGGCACTTTTCACCAAAAAGGCTTTGCTCAGCAGTGGGCATTTACAGGCTGTTCATGTGTGATATGAAAATTTTGCCCGATCCGGGAAACGAACCCGAGACCCCTTGCCCGGCAGTCACACTTGCAAACACGGCCAAAGGGGCAGTTAAGCAAATTAATAAAAATAAAAAAATACATCTTCTCATTTTCAGTTTCAAACTCCACCCTGACTCCACAGGCAAGGCTGACATAGAGAGGTTCAGGACATCTGTTGATGAAATTAACTGCAATGTTAATAAACAACTACTCAATCAAGTCCGCGACGAACAGGATAATCCAAGCAGATTTACAGTAAGATTTCAAAATCATAGGACAGGAGATGTCTTTGCCGTACCTAAGGAGAACCTAACGGGTAACCGGGGCTCCGGCTCGACGTGCAGGAGAAAGAACGGGGTGGTTTTTAGTCAGTAAGAGTCTGACACTCCCTTCCGCCTCACCCAGGCGGGAGCAGTCATTCGATGATTTTCCCTCCTTAAAAAAAAAAAAAAAAAAGGGCCACTTTCTTTGCCGTGCCATCCACCGGAACACCATGTTGGCACAGCCAGCCGCCGCTAACAAATGTCCATAGAGATTTACACACCTGGTTGCTTACTCTTGAAACCAATCTCAATGTCAATGCAATTTATTTTTATGGCATAAGCCGGTAAACGAGCAAACGGATCTCCTGGTGGTAAGTAATCGGCACGGCCTCACAGAAAACTAGTATGAAAGAATGTATGCATTGTCTTTAGACACGTGAATGCCATTATCGTGAAACACACAACATTAAGTTTAAATGTATTCTTCCTGCAAATGGGAATTTTCGCGTGGAATCGTCTTTTAAACGAGCAGGCGGATCACCTGATGGTAAGCAATCGGCGTCGCCCATAGACACCTGGAACACCAGAGGCGTTAAAAGTGCGTTACCGGACTTTTGGGGGATTACGAGTTTGAGGATCGTTGGGAATTCGATTGGGGAAGGGGAGGGTAATTGGGCCTCCGGTAACCTCACTCACACGACGAAACACAACGCAAGCGTTGCTTCATGCTGGTTTTCTGTGAGGCCGTGGAATCACTCCATGTAATCTAATAAAATCTCAATAATTATTCAATGTCAACTATACAACCACAATCGTAGCTGTTACAATAGCATTCAGAGTACGGAATATAAAGACAAACTCAATACCATTTAGTTCAATCAATATCCACGCAATATGCATGCAATATGTATGGCTTTAATGTTGCAACTCAGGAGTACGAAATTTCACGAATTGGATTCAATAGTAAGCACCTGGTATCTGCTTGGTAGCGCAACCATTTATGTATCGCGACCAGTTTGGACACCTCCACAGAATGTTATTGGTCCCTTACCCACGGTGATCACGCCACCACTAATAACTGCAGTGCTGTATTGTGTCTCGCTTACTCAGCCTCCAGTCTGGCGACACTGAAGCACAATTGGTAGCGCTGCCATGGTGTCCCGGGGAAATTTAGCCCTAACTACCGTAGTCAAATGATTATTTAAGTTATTATTTTTGTGGTATAAGCGGGACGGATAATCCCTGAATTTCCAAGAATCGTCTAATTCCTAATCTCTTAAAGGTCGGTCTTCTTCTCGATAGATGCTTCATTTCTGAAGGTCGTGCCCCTGAAAGGCTTTCATTGCTCTCTGTGTTATTTCCCTCCATCTTGTCCTGTTTTCGGCTTCTCTCAGGGCTTTTGTAACAGAGAGTCCAGTGTAGTTGGTAACTTGGTCACACCATCGGCTAGGTGATCGGCCACGTGGTCTTTGTCCTTCCACCTTACCAACAACAACCAGTTTGTCGAGATTATCTGACTGGCGGCGGGCAATGTGACTGAAATAAAGGTCGGTAACGCAATTGTAATGCCTCTGGTGTTCCAGATGTCCATAGGCGGCGCCGATTGCTTACCATCAGGTGATCCGTCCGCTCGTTTACCGGCTTATCCTATGTAAAACGCGGGCCTGCGGACGGCGAGCATGGGTGGCTCCCCGTCCGACCAGAAACAGACCCGAGCGTACGGCGCGTCGCGTTCCGCGCGCGCCTCAAAGAGCTATCAGACCACCACAGATGGGGCCCAATAGGGCCGATGCCGATTCGGAGTCGCGGAGAACCTAACGGGTAACCGGGGCTCCGGCTCGACGTGCAGGAGAAGGAACGGGGTGGTTTTTAGTCAGTAAGAGTCTGACACTCCCTTCCGCCTCACCCAGGCGGGAGCAGTCATTCGATGATATTCCCCCCTTAAAAAAAAAATGTAAAAGTATATATATTAGTATGTAGTTTCCGATAAGCTACTCTATTCTGTAACTGTTAATTCCAAGTCTCGAAGTGCGCTCGATCGCTGTCTCGCCCGTCATTGGTCGAGATATTCCAACCAATGACATGACGGACCGTGATCGAGTTCACTTCAATCTTTTGAATTGATGATTAGTTAACTAAGACTAGCAATTTTTAATTTTGGTTGACATAAATCAACAATTTACACTACCTTCGAATAAATATTTCCTCTAACGAACCGAAGCGGTAGATTTCCCCAAGAAATCCCGAATAGTGCTGGTTGTCACGGTATACCGATGCTGTGCTGATACAGTATTAGTTTTGCTCTACATATGACAGGTCAGCCAGTCCAGCCATTGTCCCTGCAACCAAACTGTAATATACTAACGATGTTTTTCTATTTTCAGTCTATATATCCCAGGACCATTCCTGGTTCTGATGTCAGTTCTAAGGCGTTCTACACCATGGCCAGTCAACTGCCACTAATTGCAGCTATTTTAGGCATATTTTTCGTATATATTTAATCATAAAAACGTTAATTAGTACCCACTAAACACATTAAGTCATTTAGCTATATAATTCATTTGTTAGTTCCTTGATAAAATCGTGGCGTTCCCCAGGGTATCATACTGGGACCTATAATTTTAATTTCTTATGTTAATTCGATATGATTGGAAATAAAAATCTAATTAGTCCGTCAGTTAGGTAATGAAAAAATATTACACATGTATTTTTTTTCTTTTCTCGTATTAAGTTGCAATACTTAGATAAAATGATTTAAAGTTTACGAGTGGAAACTCAGTCATGCCTAGAAGTGACGTCAGACTAATTACGTCATTCAAGTATAAAGAGTGACGTCTCGCCGTACTTTAAATCGATATGTCGTCGAAAGTGTATAGCCTTCCGAGAAAATAAAAAAATACGTGTCTAATTTTTTAAAATAATCTACAAGACAGATATTTAAAAAAATGTCGCCATCCCTATTTAGTTTTGTTTCTTCATATGTAATTCTTATTTTTGCATAATTTCTGTGTAAAATATATCATCGTACCTGTATTTATCAAATTTATTGTTCTAAATAATAAATGTTTTTGGTTCACTATCTGTCTTAATTATTCTACAACTTCTCGTCGAATTAGAATTGTCACAATCTCTATTTCCTGAAGGGTATTCAAGGACCGAGTGAATAGGCTGCTTATGGGACGACGTGCTCCATCGTAGACCGCATCATAGCTAACGACCAGATGAGATATGGAGCCAGACGTCGGCCCATCAAATATAAAAAACTAGGTATAATATAGAGCGGGTTTCCGTGCTATTTTTTTTTTTGGGTGGGATAATCATCGTATTACTTCTTCGGCCTTGGGTGAGGAGCAAGGGAGTGTCAGACTCTTACTGACTAATAAACACTTCGTTCCTACTCCTGCACTTGAAACCGGAGCCCCGGTAACCCGTTAAGTCCTCCGCGGCTCCGTATCGTGCTTAGGGTAGCCGGAGATCGTCTCGCGGTCTCCGACACCCGGATTTTTTTTTTCTATCATAAGAACTCTAAAAGAAACTTCTCCTGACAATAACAAACACAACAAAAAAAATCAAGCAAATTGGTCTTTCTTAAGTTATGGCGTGACAACGGGAAACGGGTTTCATTTTTATAAACCTACTAGCGGACCCGACAGACGTTGTCCTGCATATCCACTTGAATGTATAAACACAAATTCATTCAAATCAGTTCAGCTGTTTAGGATAAATAACCTAGACAACGACTGCAGCGCCATCTGCCGGGCTGATTTGTGAATCTAAACCATTCTCAGATCCCCTTGAACACACAAAAAATTTCATCAAAATCGGTCTAGTCGTTTGAGAGAAGTTCAGTGACATACACACTCACAAAAGAATTATATATATAAAGATAGAAGAAGAAGAAGATAAGATTTAGATATTGGTATACAGGGCCTGAATGTGCACCTCTGCCTACCACTTCGGGGATAAAAGGCGTGATGTTATGTTATTTAGATATAATAAAAATCGATAGAACTACCAACATATAACTAATCTTATCAAGCATATATCGCGATATATAGCGCTTATCTCTTCAGCAATGCATACAAAAAACTGCTGAAATTAAACCAGTTGTATACTGAATAGTGTTTGCGTCACACATCGAAATTGTAGAAGGTAATTACTTTAAACAATTTTTCATTAAAATCGTGTGCATTTACGATCTAGTCTAGATTAGGCGACGTAATAGAAAAGAAGTGTGGGAGAGCCATGCTTCGGCACTGCTGGGCCGGCTCGACCGGAGTGATACCACGGTCTCACAAAAAACCGACGTGAAGCAACGCTTGCGTTGAGTTTGAGTCGTGTGAGTGAGGTTATCGGGTGCCCAATTCCCCTCCATTCACTCCCTTCCCCAATCTTTCCAATCTATGAATATCCAACGATCCTCAAACTCCTAATCCCCAAAAGGCAGGTAACGCACTTGTAAGAAAGAAAGAAACCGTGTTCCGTGTGTCCATGGGCGACGCCGATTGCTTACCATCAGGTGATCCGTCTGCTCGTTTACCGGCTTATCCCATAAAAAACATTCATGTTCTTCTATTTTTATTCTGATATTATAACTGTTTGATTCTTTTTTATTTCTTTTTGTGTGTGTGTGTGTTAATGTAATTGTGTACATGCTAACTAGTCAAATCCAATAACTTTTTTCGAACTGTCAAAAACGACAGTTTTCTATGAATTTTGTACGAGATTGTGTATTGTGACGTCACGCTTATTTGGCGTCAAATAGCATACTTATCTCTTAAAAATTTGCTGGAAAAATTATAAATTAAGTTGGTCATCAAATCAATTAATGAAAGTGTGATTACTTTTTAATATTTTATTGTAATGAACAGTCGATGTAATTTATTTTTGATTAAGTTATGTACGCAAGTGTAAAAAAGTGTTAACATAACAATACTAAATAAATAGTCGTGGTGGCCCGTAAGTTTAAGACGCCCGCTTCTCATGCAGAGGGTGCGGGCTCGAAACCCGCCAACGGCAAGTACCAATGTGACTTTTTCCGAGCCATATGTACTTTCTAAGATTATTTAGACACCTAAATTAAGTAAAAACGCGGGTTACTCACGTGAATATACGTCGCCGCGACCGCGCACGCTGCTCATGAGGAAGAACCCCTCTGTGGTTCGAAACTAGTAGAGCTTTTCTCAGTATATTCACGTGAGTAACCCGCGTTTTTACTTAATTTATTTAGACACCATTGACAAACGGTGAAGGAAAACATCGCGAGGAAACCTCGGCTTATAATTTCTAATTATAAGTTTGAAATCGTCAACCAGCATCGAGCAAGCGTGGTGGTTAATGCTCAAACCTTCTCCGTGTGAGAAGAGGCCTTTGGTCAGCAGTGGACACTAATAGGCTGTTGATGATGATGATGAATAAATAAATAAATAACCCAATGCTTATCAATTCTTTCGGAACAAAATCATAACTAAGGTATGGTTTTTTTATAAGTTAAGCCGGTAAACGAGCAGATGGATCACCTGATGGTAAACAATCGGCGTCGCCCATGGACACACGGAACACTAGAGGCGTTACAAGTGCGTTACCGGTTTATTGGGAATCAGGAATTTGAGGATTGTTGAGAATTTAGGGATTGGGGAAATTGAGGAGAGGGTACAAGTAATTGGGCCTCCGATAACCTCATTCACATGACGAATCACAACGCCAGCGTTGTTTCACTATAGTTTTCTGTTCGGCCTTGGTATCACTCCGGTCGAGCTGGTCCATTCGTGGTACATTCGCTGGTACATTCGTTTCGGGAGCGTTCGCTTACACCCTGCGAGTCAACGGGCCAAAGCTAGTGCATACGTATTATCTCATTTAAAGTACCACCATTAGTCATACGATATACAGATAAGAATGATCATCATAATAAACGGTTTATCAAATGTATAGGAAACTTGAAATTGTGTGCTTGAAAACATTAGTCACTTAAGGCCGATTTTTTCAACACCATATATTATTAACTAAAACCACGGGTTACTCACGTGAATATACTGAGAAAAACTCTACTTGTTTCGAACCACAGAGGGGTTCCTCCTCTGCCTGTAACCGGGACCCGGGACACCCTTGCGGATTCACCGCACCCGGCAGGCCTCGACCTACCACTAAATTGTGGCAGATCCAGCCACGTAGCAGCCTGAGGGCTGCGATTTCCTTCCTCAATTGGCGCGCGTGCATACACCGCTTACGCCTACTCCCGCCCATACATCGCGGAGAACCTAACGGGTAAACGAGGCTCCGGCTCGACGTGCAGGAGAAGGAACGGGGTGGTATGTAGTCAGTAAGAGTCTGACACTCCCTCCCGCCTCACCCAGACGGGAGCAGTCATTTGATGATTTTCACCCCTTAAAAAAAATAAAAAAAATAAAACTCCCGCCCATAGAGTGGATGAACACCCAGGACTTATCATAACTATTCATGAACCATTGTTTATTATTTCACAGGTATAAGTGGCGCAATAACTTATTGGGGTTTTATTTTCAAATAAAAAAGTGAAGTATGTCTCACGAAGCATTTGCTGAGGCCGGCGCTAACCCGGGTATCGAAATCTGGACCATAGAGGTAAGAATATACGCCTAATTGATTTTAAACATACTCACATAATATCACTCACCCCCTATTACATGGGACTCATAACATAAATAGTGAAAAGTGTGTGTTACATTGTACAGTGGCATTAAGTGCCGAAATGTGCATCTCTGCCTACCTCTTCGGGGATAAAAAGGCGTGACGTTATTCTTCCATACTAAAAACTTACAAATGTCAATTTTGAATGCACGTTTGGCGCCGTGGCTGGGCTACTGGCTGCCGCGCAGCGTGTCGCGGGTTCGATTCCCCCACGGAACAGCTCTTTATGTGATCCACAAATTGTTGTTCCGGGTCTGGGTGTGATGTGTATGTGAACTTGTATGTTTGTAAACGTACACACGACACAGGAGAAAATCCTAGTGTGGGGCAAAGATTAAAAAAAATCTACGGTTAAAAATTAACTGATGATTGTAAAATTGGTCCATAAACGTAGCGTGTAATAATTTTGTTTTATTGTTTTAGCAATTTGAACCCGTCGCTATACCATCAAAATCTTACGGCAAATTCTACAATGGAGATTCTTACATAGTCCTCAAGGTATGTATTAAACTGTCAAACACCAAGCGGTCACCGGTGACCGCGACCTATTGTTCTTTAATTGTGTCTATAAAACCGGTACTCGACGAGTTAATGGACATTATTTGAACATAATATGTAAGTACGGTCAGAGGTCAAAAGTCCACTGCCACCGTAAGACTACCATCGGTTGCGCTGCAGCGCTTATACATGCACACGCATATTTTTATCCGTGTGCGTACGCATGCGTGTGTTTATGCGTACGCGCGCGTGTTTATGCACATTAATAGGCACTTTTGGCAAGGGCACGCACCGTTAAATGTAATTTATTTATTTATATCTTGTTTTTATTAATTTTTAATTATTGTGTTAGTATTCTATTGTCACTGTTTTGTTATACGTTGTCGTTTCTTTGTGTTTTTTCTCTATATCTATATAAATATGTGTATTTATTTTTTCTTTTCTTTTTAATTTTGTATTTTTTGTATCTGTTATATCAGTATTAGTATCAATAAATGTTTATTGCTATATTACATGCCTCTCGATGTACCTTGGACCCGTGTCAGTGGTACGGCGCGAGGGCTTTTCTCGTAATCAATCAAAAGCATTTAAGTGGCGTGGTGGCCCGGAGGTTTAAGACGCCCGCTTATCATGCATGAGGGTGCAGGTCCGAAACCTACCAACGGCAAGTACCAATGTGACATTTTCCGAGTTATATGTACTTTCTAAGATTATTCAGACACCACAGACAACAAACAAACGGTGAAGGAAAGCATCGTGAGGAAACCTAAGCTTATAATTTCTAATTATAAGTTTGAGTTCGCCAACCCACATTGAGCAAGCATGGTGATTAATTAATGCTCAAACCTTCTCCATGTCAGAAAAGGGAAGGTCAGCAGTGGCCACTTATAAGCTGTTGGTGATGAATGAAAAATGTTTTTGAAAATTCATGTATTACTTAAACAATTTTTTAACAGACATCAGGCCAAAGTAACGCCACTTTAAGCTATGATGCCCACTTCTGGCTCGGCAGCAAAACAACTCAAGATAAGAAGGGATCAGCAGCAATCTGGACAGTGACCCTGGATGATATGCTGGGCGGCAAGGCAGTACATCATAGAGAGGTTCAGGGACACGAGTCCAGCAAGTTCATTGGATATTTTAAACCTGGTAAGTTACATTTCTCTCCATTTTAATGCCGTAGACCCCATCATCGCTTACCTAGAAGCATGGCTCTCCCACGCAAAATAGGATTGAGCAAATAGCTTCTCTATAAATTCTTTGTTGACGTTCAAAAGTGCCTTCCTGGTCTAATTGAAATAAATGATTGACTTTGACTTGTATTGTTTTTCATTTCAGCAATCAGATATATGGAAGGCGGCAATGAATCTGGTTTCACTGAAGTAGAGACTAACGCCGGTGCTGAAAAGAGACTGTTGAAACTTTCAGGATGTGAGAACATGAGGATTGAGGAGGTAAGTGAGGAAAGGGAGATTGACTGGCGGCGCCACTGTCGAGTTTGGGGGGTTTAAGGAACAGTGAGTAGAGTTTCCTAAGGGATCTTCCGACCAGTGCCTCAAGTCTGCTATTTTTATAATTGTTGTCAATACAACACGATCGCATTGTCATTTTGCTAAAAGTTCTTAATTCGCTAAATTCAATGGTCTCATAACGGAATTGTAGCAGAATGACAATTCGTATGCGCATTTCCGTTTTCTCCCGTTCCCTTTCCCAGGATTTTCAGGACTTTTTCTGTCTTAAGAACCTTCTCCAAATAATAAGAAATACAACAAAAAAAGAATCAGCCAAATCGGTCTAGCGGTTCTCAAGTTGTGGCGTGACAATGGGACGACGTGAAAATGACGTTTCATTATTACATATATAAAAGATTTTACAAAATATTTACCTGTGTTATGCACTCTGGAGTATCTGTCATTACCTACGAGATTAGCATTTCATGTCATTAATTTCTATGGTGTGTCAGTGGTTGACCATTGGAAAGTCATAATGACGCCATTACATTAGTAGATTACTAAGTCAAAATCAACGAATTTTGAAATCAAAGATGGATCGTGGCGCGGATTCTATAACCGCACGGAGCAATTCTTTGTGTTATTCAAAAATTATTGTTCGGGATCTAAGTGTCATGTGTATGTGAACTTGTATGTTTGTAAACGAAGCGAAGCGAAAAACGAAAATCCGTTTCGTAGCTTTTGTTTTATACTATGTAGTAAGTAAAAAAAACATACGATACCGTAGTCATATAATCGTTAACACATATATTATGATAATACGATTGTTTATCAAAATTATTTTGCAATCTCTGCTGATTTTATTGATTCTATTTAAACCTACTTATTGAATGCAGTCATTTCTTTTATAAAATAAATGAAGTCATCAAAATAAATAAATTAATATGATGCCATACGCTCTTACTTGTCGCGGAGAACCTAACGGGTAACCGGGGCTCCGGCTCGACGTGCAGGAGAAGGAACGGGGTGGTTTTTAGTCAGTAAGAGTCTGACACTCCCTTCCGCCTCACCCAGGCGGGAGCAGTCATTCGATGATTTTCCCCCCTTTAAAAAAAAAAAAAAAAAAAAAAAAAAATACGCTCTTACTTACTTCGTTTTTGGGACTTCCGGCAGAATTTTGGTTTTACCCACATAGTTCCCGATCTCGCGGGATTTTCGAGAAATTCCCGCTTTCGCGGGATTTTCGGGATAAAACTATCCTAAGTCCTTTCTTAAGTTCCAAACTATATCTGAACCAAAATTTCACACAATTGGTTCAGTAGTCTAGGTGGGAAGAAAAGACAGACAGACAGAGTTGCTTTCGCATTTGTAATATTAGTTTGGATAATACGATTGTTTATCAAAATTATTTTACAATCTGTGCTGATTTAATTGATTCTATTTAAACATACTTATTAATTTATTGAATGCAGTACCTAATATCGTTTATAAAATAAAATGAAGTCATCAAAATAAATATGATTTCATATGAATATATGAATGTTTATCAAAGATTATTTATTTGTATTATCTAATCGATTTATTATAGCCTTGACTTTTATTTTGACGACTAAATATTTACTTAACAACAATGCTATTGACGTCTAAATACCGGTAATGATACGAATGCAGTCATCGCGTGATATTGGAATAATGGAAACGCAAGTTTATACACAGTGGAATCTTCGGCCTTCGTCTATCTTTCGTCCCGCCGCAAAACAACATGCCATAGAGAGTACCTTCGATGTATAAAGTATTAAACAAAAAATAGAGATGCAATTGTTTTGTAGTTTAAAAAAATACATGGTAATACGCACATGAAACACTAGACGTTACCGGCTCGACCGGAGTGATACCACGGCCTCACACAAAACCGACGGGAAGCAACGCTTGCGTTGTGTTTCGTCATGTGAGAGAGGTTACCGGAGGCCCAATTACCCTCCCCTTCCCCAATCTCCCCAATCCCTGAATCCCCAACGATCCTCAAACTCCTAATCCCCAAAAAGCCGGTAACGCACTTGTAACGCCTCTGGTGTTCCAGGTGTCCATCCATAGGCGACGCTGACTGGGATCAGGTGATCCGTCTGCTCGTTTACCGGCTTATACCATAAAAAAAGACGTAAATTTGTAGGCACTATTCGCATCGCACGTGCCACCCGACGAGAAATACCTCTTCGACAATCACATGGCGTGATGTTTTGATAATGTACTATGAGTTCGTATGTGCTTTCGAAGTTTGCTATTTGCAATGGTTCACCAGTTCGTTTTTACCGACTTCTAAAAAGGAGGAGGTATACTATGTTCGGATGATTGCAGTTCTTTTTTTTTTGTATTTTCGCTGATTACTTCGCCATTTGTGAACCGATTTCCAAAATTCTTGTTTAGTTTATACTCCTATTTCCATGAGGATCTTATGATGGAATCCTAGGGAAACCGAGAGGAACTTTCGAAAATTCTAGGGGCGAGTAATGCGTCTATTACGTTTTTCAAAAAGGATTTTTAAATACTACAGTTTCATAAGGGTCTGGAGTCGACTTGATGATGGAGCCGACAGACAGTCGAGACTCCTCAGCGGTTTATATTAACTACCTTGTGTTTTGGATTGATTCATTTGTATTGATGAGAATTTTACACCTACATAGAGTGGGGCTGTCAATAAGTGTCTGATGATGAAGAAGTGTAATGGTTAAGGGAACTCTTCAACGGTTTACGGTAAATACCTTGTGTTTGGGCTTGTATAATTTGTTTTGATTAGAACTTTGCACTTATGTGGATTATAAATGGCAAAATGGGTTTATGTAGCTTTTCGACTAAAAATGACAAAAAATAAAAATCTGCATTTAAAAAATCTAAAACTAATAACAAACAAAAATTAAAAAGCAATAAATAGCTATAATTAGTACTGATTTAATTTTTTTAAGGGGGGAAAATCATCGAATGGCTGCTCCCGCCTGGGTGAGGCGGGAGGAAGTGTCAGACTCTTACTGACTAAAAACCACCCCGTTCCTTCTCCTGCACGTCGAGCCGGAGCCCCGGTTACCCGTTAGGTTCTCCGCGACAATTAGTACTGATAGGACCACCCACTGATAGACTGCAAATTTGTTTGTTATTTTATTTACATTTTATTTCCTTGTAAAATTATTATATCACTAAGACAGACCCATTTTTCTTCGGGACGAAAACGAAATAGATATCACGGTGAATACTTTGTCTCGCCCCCATTCCTAAAAACCATAACCCAATTCTTCTTCACCAGGTACCAGCAGAGTCCTCATCCCTGACCAAAGACCACTGCTTCATCTTGGAAGTAGACCATGATATCTTTGTGCTGATGCCTGAAGGTGCCAAGGCTACCCAGAGGAGGAAGATCATCAGCGTGGCCAACCAGCTGAGAGATGATAACCACAACGGAAGAGCTACCATTGAAATTATAGGTAAGAATATTGTTAACCTGCTTCAAAAAAACGTTATTTATTAAGGGGGGTAAAATCATCGAATGACTGCTCCCGCCTGGGTGAGGCGGGAGGGAGTGTCAGACTCTTACTGACTAAAAACTACCCCGTTCCTACTCCTGCACTTTAAGCCTGAGCCCCGGTAACCCTAAGTCACGATGTTTTCCTTCACCATTCGTCAGTGGTGTCTAAATAATCTTAGAAAGTACATATAACTCGGAATAAGTCACATTGGTGACCATTGGTTGATTAAGAAAGCACCCAGCAAAAGAAGTGAGCATCGAAAATCTCCGGTGTTGAGTGTACGGCGCGTCGCGTTCCGCACGCGCTTCAAAGAGCCATCAGACCACCACAGATGGGGTCCAATAGGGCTGATGCCGATACGGAGCCTCGGAGAACCTAACGGGTTACCGGGGCTCCGTCTCGAAGTGCAGGAGCAGGAACGGGGTGGTTTTTAGTCAGTAAGAGTCTGACACTCCCTCCCGCCTCACCCAGGCGAGAGAAGTCATTCGATGATTTTCCCCCCTTAAAAAAAATCCTCCGGTCTACCATGACCTAATTACTCATACACTATGACGTCATATAATCTAATTAAAAGGATTTACCGGACTTTCCCAAGCGCTATTTGAACAATATACAAGTGAGTCATCAATTGAATCAAATGATACCTCCTTTCGTTACTCACTGTTTTCCTCAATATTAATAATTCATTTATCTTTGCTAATATCAGGACAGGAAAAGATTAAATTATCTTTATGTTTATACTTTCGAGGATTAATTTCTAGACTGATGCATACAGATATATAAAAAGATAAGATTTGTATTAATAAAGTACCGGCTGATTAACTTAGAATGTTGTTCCTGTCCTTATTTATTTATTTTATATATTTTTGGGTACGTTCCCCTGTGATAGTGATGCGGACGAATACTTTGACGCCTAAATTGAGGGTATAATTTTTGTTGTTTCCCTTTTTTTACTTTCGTTATCCTTACTATCCTTATCCTTACTTATATTATAAATCGGAAAGTGAGTTTGTTTGTTTGTTCCACTTTCACACCGTAACTACTAAACCGATTGCTTTGAATTTTTGCAGACGTAAAGTTAGAAGTCCGGATTAAATAATAGGGTACTTTTTATCCCCAAAAAAATTTGATATTCCCGAGGGAAAACAAAAGTATTGGTATAGATGGCGCTGTATGTATTGGGATATGTCACATAGGCTACTTTTTATCCTTTTGTGATGCAAGCGAAACCGCGGGTAAAAGCTAGTAGATAATAAAGGTAACAATAGATATTGGGCTTATACAGTCGCCAATTATAGGTTAACCAAACTTTACAATCAAGGGATAAATAAAAACTATACACACAAACAAGGACAATACAATTTTAGTAACTGAAAAAAAAAGAAACTAATTACTACTTACGAAATCAATACTCTTATTTTAAAGGAACATAAAATTAAAGACTTTTAAAAGAACTTTAAAAACATTGATTATAACAAAATTCAACATTAAAAAAAAAAGAAAAAAAACATTAATAACTTATCTCATACAAGCTTCTGTCAGCGGCTTCGCCCGCGTTTCTATTGGTTCAAAAGTAGTACCAAATGTCATTTCGATCCCTTCAGGCGTTATGACCTGGTGGAGTAATAAACAGACGTACAGACTTTCACATCTCATACTTTATTATATTATTATATAGGTAATAATAAAGCGGAAGAGTTTGTTTTTTTGTTTGTTTGTTTGAACGCGCTAATCTCCGTTACTACAAGGCTGATTTAAATAATTCTTTTTGTGTCGGATAGCGCATTTATCGAGGATGGTTATATAATATATACATAAGCTATAAAACATCACTTTACGACCAATAGGAGCTGAGCAGAGCGTGTGAAACCGCGCGGAAGTAGCTAGTTCAGAATATTAATAAGATTGCTTGTACGGTTGAATTCTCTTGTATCATATGTTATTTTTATATGGTTCCTTGTATTCAAAATATTAACAGTTCAGGGCGCCTACTCTTGACACTATTACACTTATAAAATCTCAACAATGATTCAATGTCAACACTATACAACCACAATCGTAGCTGTTACAATAGCATTCAGAGTACGGAATATAAAGCCAAACTACCATTCAGTTCATTCAATATCCACGCAATACGGATGCAATGGGCGCTAGTGTTGCAACTCAAGAGTACGACACAATATCAATGTCGATCGATCGGAATTGGATTCAAGAGTAAGATTATAATGTCAATAATTTTTTTACAGATGAGTTCTCATCCGACGAGGATTTTGATCTCTTCTTCCAAGCTCTTGGATCAGGATCTAAGGATGAAATCGCCAGTGATGATTCTGGCACAGTAAGTATAAACATTAACTCATGTTGTATAGAGATTGTCCAGTCAACTGATGGTAGCGTGGACTGTCCAGGCGATACGTACTTAGATATCGTCATAAGCTAATGGTAACATGTAAACAGTGACTCATGTAGTGTAGAGATTGTCCAGTCAACTGATGGTAGCGTGGACTGTCCAGGCGATACGTACTTAGGTATCGTCATAAGCTAATGGTAACATGTAAACAGTGACTCATGTAGTGTAGAGATTGTCCAGTCAACTGATGGTAGCGTGGACTGTCCAGGCGATACGTACTTAGGTATCGTCATGAGCTAATGGTAACATGTAAACAGTGACTCATGTAGTGTAGAGATTGTCCAGTCAACTGATGGTAGCGTGGACTGTCCAGGCGATACGTACTTAGGTATCGTCATGAGCTAATGGTAACATGTAAACAGTAACTCATGTAGTGTAGAGATTGTCCAGTCAACTGATGGTAGCGTGGACTGTCCAGGCGATACGTACTTAGGTATCGTCATGAGCTAATGGTAACATGTAAACAGTGACTCATGTAGTGTAGATATTGTCCAGTCAACTGATGGTAGCGTGGCTGTTTGTATAACATATTTGTTTTTCTTTCAGACTTACTACCGTGATGACATTTCTGCTGTCTACCTGTACAGAGTTATGCTTGGTGATGGTTTTGATGTTGTGGCTCTGAATAAGCCGTACAAGCAGAGCCATTTGACTTCCGATGTAAGTATTGCCATCACGATCGTCATCAGACCAGGTTCTTGCGTCACTGAAAATATAGATATCGGCAATATGGACAAACATACACACACAATATGGACAATCATAACCTATACAATTATATGTAGTATTACATGTATATATATTTATTACATAACATTTATTTATTTATTACATAGAGAAATTATTATTATACAAGGTGTAGTTTTGAAACCGTGGCATTACTCGGGGGCATGTCATAAAGGTTCAATGTAAGAGAAAATTTCGGGCCAATACTTAAAAATACGGCTATAGTAAATCGTTTAAGTTCGACAGTATTTCAGAATAAGCGACAGCAATGTTTCTTATTGGAGCTTTATGGAATTAGGAATAATATCAATTACGTGTTTGAGTTTGTGTGTGTTAAGCCGCGTTATAAAGCTAGTTACAAGACGGCGGCGTGTAGTTCGCACTTACGGATTTCCGTAATTTACAGATAAATTAAAAATATTTACCTCATCATCATCAACAGCCTGTTTTCGTCCACTGCTGGACATAAGCCTCTCCAATGGCACGCCACTGAGCTCGATCTTCAGCTCTACGCATCCAACCACTACCAGCCACTTTACGTATATCGTCACTCCACCTAGCTGGAGGGCGCCCTACACTACGTTTGCCTAGACGCGGTCTCCACTCTAGAACACGTCTACTCCAGCGGTCATCGGTTCTTCGACAAATGTGACCGGCCCACTGCCATTTCAGCTTGCTAATCCTTTGGGCTACATCTGTAACTTTAGTTCTCTGTCGGATCACCTCGTTACGGATCCTATCCTTCAGAGATACTCCGAGCATAGCCCTCTCCATAGCTCGCTGCGCCACCTTAAATTGGTGGACCAGTCGCACTGTTAGTGTCCACGTCTCGGCTCCGTATGTCATGACTGGTAGGACGCACTCGTTGAAGACTTTCGTCTTCAGGCTTTGCGGTAGAGTTGACGAAAGACCGACAGAGTTTCCTATACGCCGCCCAGCCAAGCTGTATCCTTCTACGAGCCTCCCTCTCGAAGCTGTTTCTACCAAACTGTAGGGTTTGTCCTAGGTAGACATACTCCTGAACAACCTCGAGAGTAGACCCATTCAGGGTGATCGGCTCCGGAAGAACATGTTCATTGAACATCACCTTCGTTTTGTCTAGGTTCATCCGGAGTCCAATGCGAGCAGAAGAATCAGCCAGGCCGTTCAGCATACATTGTAGGTCTTGCACGGTTTCAGCCACAATGACGATGTCATCTGCAAATCTCAAGTGTGAGAGATACTTGCCGTTTATATTTATACCCCGTCCCTTCCAGTGCAGCGTCTTGAACATATCCTCCAAAGCATTGGTAAATAATTTGGGAGAAATAACATCGCCTTGTCTTACTCCCCGATGCAAATAGACAGGTTCAGACTGCTGGTTCTGTACTTGGACGACCATAGTTGCAGTATCGTATAGATCTCTCAGCACTTGGACATATCGCCAATCGACTTGGCACCGTTGCAAGGACTCATAGGAAAAATATTTACCTACAATTTTTTTATTGAATCGCACTCAGAATCGATAGCCGAGTTACCTCTTAGAAAATGACGCGGCTTTAAAACAACACCTTGTATATGTTTTCAAATATTTAGTATCTTTTAATACAGTTTGTAAATTGTATTGGTTGTTTGTATATTTATCGACTGCCACGTTAGCCGCAAGTGCGACTGCTAAGGTGTCTCGGGTTCGATTCCCGGGTCGGGCAAAGTTTACTGGGTTTTTAAAAATCTCAGTAGTAGCACGGAATCTGCAAATGTGTCCGGTATATGGCAATAGGCTTACTCACTATTACATGGGACTCATAACATAAATAGTGAAAAGTGGGTGTTACATTGTACAGAGGCATTAAGTGCCGCAATGTGCACCTCTGCCTACCCCTTTGGGGATAAAAAGCCGTGATGTTATGTTATATGTATATACCTATATTTGTTTTCTCTTCCGTTTTGTTTGTTTTACCTACACTGTATGGATTATCCCCCCCCCCCCTTTACAAAGATATTTTATCCACAATAAGACACTACTGCTCACCACTTTACTAATGCTCTACTTTCCTTGCAGGAAGTCTTCATCCTGGACACTCCATGCTCAGGGGTATACATTTGGATTGGATCTGAAGTCAGCTCCGATGTCAGGAAGGCATACCATGATATTGCAAACCAGTACTTTGAGGCTAAGAATTACCCTTCTTGGGTAGGTAACATTGTTTAATGGATTTTTTTTTAAGGGGGGAAAATCATCGAATGACTGCTCCCGCCTGGGTGAGGGTGGGCGACGACGATTGCTTACCATCAGGTGATCCGTCTTTTAGTTTGCCGATCTACCGCATAAAAAATCCTTTGGATACTTTTGCCTTATCACCTTCGAGGCTTTTTATTTTTTTTAAGGGGGGAAAATCATCGAATGACTCCTCACACCTGGGTGAGGCGGGAGGGAGTGTCAGACTCTTACTGACTAAAAAACCACCCCGTTCCTTCTCCTGCACGTCGAGTCGGAGCCCCAGTTATCCGTTAGGTTCTCCGCGACTGTTTTATGGAATAGGTTGACAAATGAACAGACGTATCACCTGATGGTAAGCAATTGGCGTTGCTGATGGAGCACCAGAGGAATTGTAAATCTATTTGTGGTCTTTTGGGGGTTTCGGAACTTGGGGATTGGGGATTTGCGGATAAAGAATTCGCTAGTAACTTCAGTATCTCAAAAAAACAGGATATGTTTATAGATCGCTGATATATATATATATATATGATTGTAGATTATAGAACTACCTCATTAGCCGAGTAGTCGCAAGTGCGACTGCCGGGCAAGGGGCCTCAGGTTCGATTCCCGGGTCGGGAAAAGTATAACTGAGTTTTTTTAAATTCACTAGTAGCGCAGAGTCTGGAAATGTGCTCGATATACCTACAACAATAGGCTCACCCCCTATTACATGATTATAGAGATTACTACAGAGATTTTTGAAAAAATCGAGTAATACTTCTTGCCTGGCAGTCACACTTGCGACACTGCGACGAATATATCGTCGAAAGTATTTAATTATGTGAAAAAAGAAAAAATACGTGTCTAAAGTTTTAAATTAATGTACCAGACGGACATTAAAATAAAATTTAGGAAACTACCGTATTGGTATTTGTACCGTTCTATTTATATAAATAAACAAAAAAATAATAATTTTCGTTCTAGGTAAACGTGACCAAAGTGGCAGAAGGCTCCGAATGCTCGACCTTCAAGCAATACTTCATCAGCTGGAACACTGTCATCACCAGAAGTATGGGACCCGTATCCGATGGTAAATATCTTTTCCCTTAATTAAGAAGAGCTGAAGCTTGTGTTCAGAACCATCAAGAAAAGAGCGTATTCCTTTTTAAAAGGCCGGCAACGCACCTGTGACTCCTCTGGTGTTGCGGGTGTGCGGGGCGGCGCTGATCGCTTACCATCAAGTGATGATCCGTCTGCTCATTTGCCATAAAAAGCTGTTGCTATAAGCCATTTCCGTTCTTTAAAAGGTCTCCTCTGATATGGTTTTTGCGTGACGCGTGAACATACAGACAAATAAACAAAAATTTTTTTAATCACAATTATGAGTTCGGGCTCTATTTAGTAACAGCCCCTAATATTTTTTTTTAATATTTTCAATATACAAAATTTACACTTCTACAGTTTTATTACATGTATGTATAGATAGATATAGATTATAATAACTATCGTGAGACATACTAAATTAACTAAAATCACGGGTTACTCACGTGAATATACTGAGAAAAGCTCTACTAGTTTCGAACCACAGAGGTCAATGAACTGCGCGACGTCGCCGCGACCGCGCACGCTGCTCAAGAGGAAGAACCCCTCTGTGGTTCGAAACTAGTAGAGCTTTTCTCAGTATATTCACGTGAGTAACCCGTGATTTTAGTTAATTTAGTATGTCTCACGATTGTTATTATAATCTATATCTATCTATACCTACATACATATTATAATCACAGAACATTTAAAGCTTTATATGTTCTGTGCATACCTCTATAATAATGTAGAAGTGTCAATGAGATATAGATTCTTGCCAAGCTGTACGTCTACCAAATACTCGAGAACGATCTAACTACAACCTCTTCTTCGCAGATGCTGGTTACGACTCTGATGATGCAGAGCAGACTCAGAAGGTCGCTCAGTACATCGGTAAGAGTGCGGCAGCGAGGGAATACATGCCTGACAATGGAGAGGGATCTCTTACTGTCACAAGGTAAGCCAGTTTTACTTTTTAAACAAAGCTAAAATTATAATACGTCTGTAGCGGGTAGCACAATAGTGTTAGTTTTTTCTTTCGAGGAGGGAAAGTCATCCATTTATTACGCCAGGACACACACGTAGACAAGAACTCAGGTACACACAAAAGGAAGCCATGATGCGCCGCAGAAAATAAAAAATTTAAAAGATAGATAAGTCCAACACTGAACATATAACATATATATAAATATTAATTGTACAATTTTTACTTTTCTACGATTTTATTATATGTACATAGATATATAACTATAGATAGAGTGGGCCTATTTTAAAACACCACTACTGCTGATCCTTTGAGCGTGGACAAAAAACTGTTGAAGGCAAGTCCTCCGCTCACGCCGGTCACCAGTCAAAACTATACCATAGCATCACGCCTTTTTATCCCTAAATGGGTAGGCAAAGGTGCACATTACGGCACTTAATGCCACTGTACAATGTAACACCTACTTTTCACTATGTGTGTTATGAGTCCCATGTAATAGGTGGTGAGACTATTGCCATATACCGGGCACAATTCCAGACTCCGTGCTACTACTGAGAATTTTTAAAAAACCCAGTAATACTTTACCCTACCCGGGAATCGAACCCGAGACCCCTTGCCCGGCAGTCGCTCTTGCGACCACTCGGCCAACAAGGCAGTCTATACATACATATGTGAGTACTGAATTTGTGATTTATAAACATGTTTTCTTTATCCCCAGGGCTGGAGATGGCGCTGATGTGACAGAAGACTTTACCTCCGGCTGCGGTATGCTGTACCAGAGCGAGGTCTACGTGATCAAGTACCAGTACACTGAGGAGGACGGAGACGATGCTTACATCGTATACTACTGGATTGTAAGTACTGCTGTTCAAAGTCAAAGCATTTATTTCAATCAAACCATAGTTTGGTACTTTTGAAACGTCAACAAATACAAAATAAATAATAGTCTGTCAGTCAGTCCGTCAGTGAAACCAGGTGAAGCTAGTTGCTCATTCCAAAATGTAGATTCGAATGGAGAAGAACGAGCAAGAAACTCCATGAATACGATACTCGCGCAGAGATAGATAGAAAGAAAAGAAAGAAAAGAATAGAAGCAGTGCCGGCGTTAGGGGGCGTGACGAGGGCGTTGACCCAGGGCGACAAATTCTAGAGGGCGCCAAGGTCTGAAGTTGGAGTCTCTTGCCTCTCCTGGTGCAAACCCTCAGAACTGTGCTCTACGCTCTGTGCTCTCTGTACTGCTCTGTTTTTTTGGATGGATTTTTTAAGCCTGCTGATGGACTGCCTCGTTGGCCGAGTGGTCGCAAGTGCGACTACTGGGCAAGGGGTCTCGGTTTCGATTCCCGGGTCGGGTAAAGTATTACTGAGTTTTAAAAAAAAATCTCAGCAGTTGCACGGAGTCTGGAAATGTGTGCCCGGTATATGGCAATAGGCTCACCCCCTATTACATGGGACTCATAACATAAATAGTGAAAAGTGGGTGTTACTTATGTGTGCATCTCTGCCTACCCCTTCAGGGATAAAATGAGGGATGTTATGTTATGTTAGATTTTTGAGGATTTGTAGTCCGCGTCGTTAACTCTGGGTAACGCTAAAGGAAAGTTGAAATTCTTAATATAATTTTACTTGGGATCAGTAAAAAACTGACACTTGATATTGCTTCCCTCAAGTGGGCGCCACAATATTTTCGCCCGGGGTGTCAGTGGCCCTTACTGCACTGAATAGAAGAGTATTTGTTTAATATGCAAAGTGTCCCTGAAGTCGACGATCAAATTATACCAGGTGATCAGCAAGGTTCCTATCCAACAGTTATCAGAATTCTCAGTCATATTTTTTTTTATGGCATAAGCCCGTAAACGAGCAGACGGATCACCTGATGGTAAGCAATCGACGTCGCCCATGCACACTTGGAACATCAGAGACGTTACAAGTGCGTTATCGGCTTTTATTAGATTAGGAGTTTGAGTATCGTTCGGGATTCAGGGATTGGGGAGATTGGGGAAGGGGAGGGTAATTGGGCCTTCGATAACCTCAATCACACGACGAAACACAACGCCAGCGTTGCTTCACGTCGGTTTTCTGTGAGGCCGTGGTGTCACTCCGGTCGAGCCGGCCCATTCACACACATATAGTTTCTAAATACAATGACTTATGTCTTATCCAAGAAAAAGTACACCCTGAGCCAGTCTTTTGACTCTTGTTGCTGCAATTCTTTATTCTTTAGTCGGTATTTTTACTTCCGTTATCCTGAATAGTGGTCTAGTATTATAGAATCATAATTTTTTGAAGCAACTGTTCTAGTTTGGAAATAAATATCGTTTTTTGACGAACCAAGTGTTCTTAATAAATATTTCACCTTGAAGAGCCTTTAGTGTTTAGAGTGTCCATGGGTGACGCCGATTGCTTACCATCAGGTGATCCGCATGCTCGTTTAACCGGCTTAATATCTCATCAAAACCCTCAATATTCTACCCCTCGCTTCTTGCAGGGCTCCAAAGCATCAGCTGATGACAAGCAAGCTGGCGCTGAACTGGTCTCTCAGCTGGAAGATGAGCTTGGAGACGATGCTGCAGTCGTAAAGGTGCCCCAAGGGAAGGAACCAAGGCATTTCCTCAGCATTTTCAAAGGTAAGTCTTGTATATCCTACTCGCTACTTCCACACCGGTTTAATCGCTGCTCAGTTCCTATTAATCGTAGCGTAATGTTTTGAAGCCTACAGCCTTCCTCGATAAAGGGACAACACAAAAATATTTTTAAACTCGAACTCGTAGTTATGGCGCCTCCAACAAACAAACATACATACATAACTTCACACCTGTCCACCATGGGGGTAGGCAGAGACTATGGAACGCCAATTACTACGTTTCTTAAATATTACGTTTCATCAACAATCATCAGTATTTTAATGTTTCCTCATGCATTCTCAGAAAACTATCTGTTTACAGGTTTTGCCACATTTTGAATGGAACTAAGTTTTCTTATTAACTCGTCGAGTACCGTCATTATAGAACAATAGGTTGCGGTCACCGGTGACCGCTTGGTGTTTGACAGTTTAACTGTGGGTAGAGACGCAGGCCCGTTTGGGCGCCAACTCATTCATAAATGGAATTGACGCCCAAAAGGGACTGGTTGTATGCTAAAACAATATTTTTAATTATTTGCCGACTTAAAAAATAAGTAAGTTCATAATGTTGGACCCGTATATATGTATGTTTGTGCGTGATTTTAAGCTGTAAGAGTTAAAATAAATAAATAAGATTATCTCGCGATTGGCTTAACCGATTTTGGTACGGTTTTCAGAAGACTGTTTGTTACACTTAGGAGAAGATTTTAATATATTAACAACAATTAACCGACTTCAAAAAGAGCGTTCCTATAATGTAGTAAAAGAATTATTCGATGTATTATAAAACTCGACGGTTTCACAACCTTGAGTTCTTGCAAAAACTCGAAATGTTAATGCTTCTACCTTGCTAGGCTCATTTGATGATCTGATCGACTTACGTGAAATACGATAAAAGACAAAGTCACCGGCGTACTCTAACCAAACGCATGTAACGAAACCATAGCGCGATTCAGGAATACTAAATAATTGTACAACGCCATCTATCGAGCATAGAGACAACGTTATTTATCAAATCATGTTTCTTAACGTGTTTAGGTGGTGGAATTCATGATTTGTTTGTTATTGTTATATTTTTAATCTATGTATAGTTGTGAATATTTAGACAAATTTTAGATATTGTATTGTGGAGAGCAGAAAGCAGTTGCTACATGTAATAAATAAGAGTCTTTCAGCCAAATGTGGTTAAAATTTTAATACTTGAAAACAATATTGTTATACAGTAACCGACTTGAAAACATAACGGGTAACCGGGGCTCCGGCTCGACGTGCAGGAGAAGAAACGGGGTGGTTTTTAGTCAGTAAGAGTCTGACACTACCTCCCGCCTCACCCAGGCGAGAGGAGTCATTCGATGATTTTCCCCCCTTAAAAAAAATAAAAAGAAGCCTCGGAGGAGATAAGGCAAAAGTATCCAAAGGATTTTCTATGCGGTAGGTCGGCTAACTAAAAGACGGATCACCTGATGGTAAGCAATCGTCGTCGCCCACGGACACCTGGAACACCAGAGGCGGCGTTACAAGTGTAGGTATTTCTTGCCTGGACAGAGCCTCCGATAACCTCATCTACTCGGCTGCAGACAATACTGGTGTCACGCCGGTATTCTGTAAGGCCGTGGTATCATTTTTTTTGTAATAAGCTGGTAAACGAGCATACGGATCACGTGATGGTAAGCAATCGGCGTTGCCCATGGACATTCGAAACAACAGAGACGTCACAAGTGCGTTACCAGGCTTTTGGGGATTAGGAATTTGAGGATTGTTGGAGATTCATGAATTGGGGGAGATTGAGAAAAGTAGGCCTCCGATAACCTCACTCACACGACGAAACACAACGCTGTGGTTGTTTTACGTCAGTTTTCTGTGAGGCCGTGGTATCACTCCGGTCGAGCCGACCCATTCACTCTCCCACACAATAATTAACACTGATTTCTCTTCACAGGTAACCTAGCTATCGTGTTCGGAGGCAAGGACTCGGACTACAAACCAACAAACGCTAAAGGAACCTACGATGAAGACAGCATCCGTCTATTTAGGGTGAGAATTATTATAATTTGACACCTATAAAATTGCCTCGACTGCCTTATTGTTCAAAGTGTCGCAAGTGCGACTGCCAGGCAAGGGGTCTTGGTTTTCAATTTCCGGGTCGGGCAAAGTAATACTGGGTTTTTTTAATCTCAGTAGTAGCACGGATTCTGGATTTGTGTTCGGTATATGGCAATAGGCTCACCCCCTATTACATGGGCATCTTAACATAAATAGTGAAAAGTGGTTGTTACATTGTACAGTGGCATTAAGTGTCGTAATGTGCACGTCTGTCTACCCCTTCGGGAATGAAAATGCTCTAATAAAAGTATATGTTTATGTGTAAATATACATCATCATAATGCCTTGCTGGACGTAAGCTACTGAGCTCGATCTTAAGATCCACACATCCAATCAATCCTTGCGGATGTCTACACTGCCACTTCAACTTGCCATTTGGAGTACGTCGATAACTTTAGTTCGCTGTTGGATCACCTCGTTACGGATCCTTCAGAGAGACTCTGAGCATAGCCCTCTCCATAAACAAGACAAACCCTAAAGTTAGGTAGAAACAGGTTTGAGAGAAAGGCGGAGAACGATGCAGCTTGGCTTGGCGGCGTATAGGTAATTCTATCGGGTCTTTTCGTCAACTCTACCGCATAACCTGAAGACAAAAGTCTCAACGAGTGCGTCCTGCCAGTAATGACATACGGAGCTGAGACGTGGATACTAACAGTAGGACTGGTCCAACAATTTAAGGTGGCGCAGCGTGGTCATTACAACCGTTTAACATATGCAATTATTTCTAACTAGCTATTGCCCGCGACTTCGTTCGCGTGGAATAATGATTCATAGTTTCTCCCCCGTAGATGATAGCGTGATATTATGTAGCCTATATGTTGACTCGACCTGTTAGTAATATTCATGCAAAATTTGAAGTAAATCCACGCAGTAGTTTTTGAGTTTAGCCCGGACATACATACAGACAAACAGACAAAAATTCTGAAAACCATATTATTATGTTTGGCTTCAGTATCGATTGTAGATCACGCTCCAAATATTCTTTTTAAAGAATATTCAATGTACAATTTTGAATTTTCTACGATTTTATTATACCATGCTTCGGCACGAATGGGCCGGCTCGACCGGAGTGATACCACGGCCTCACAGAAAACCGACGTGAAGCAACGCTTACGTTGTGTTTCGTCGTGTGAGTGAGGTTTCCGGAGGCCCAATTACCTTCCCCTTCCCCAATCTCCCCAATTCCCGAATCCCCAACGATCCTCAAACTCCTAATCCCCAAAAAGCCGGTGACGCACTTGTAACGCCTCTGGTGTTCCAGGTGTCCATGGGCGACGCCGATTGCTTACCATTAGGTGATCCGTCTGCTCGTTTACCAGCTTATGTATGCCATAAAAAAAATGTATAGATTTAGAGATGTATTAATTATTTTTGTCTCCAGGTGGAAGGCACAGACCTGAGTGACATGCGAGCTATCCAGGTCGGGGAAACAGCTGACAACTTGGAAGATGATGATGTCTACGTGCTGGAGTTAGCTGACATCGTCTACGTATGGATTGGGAACGTAAGAATTATGTTTATGTATTTTTTACTTCTTTAATAAAATGAGCGAATTAGGTAAAATTAGGTAAAATGACCAGATTGGCGATATATTAAAGAAGGGCCAAATTAAAAGTACCCTTAACCGACGAGCATGCATGAAAAGATTGATGACTGTTAATGACTTTAATCATTAAGAGTGACAATAATACAGACTTAGAAAAGGATACTGCCCTAGCGCTGAACAACGCAGTTAATTATCTGGTGAAAAATAACTTACAAATTAATATTGCTAAAACAAATGTAATACAATTTCAAACACACAAATCAAATACAACAAATAATCTAGACATCCAATACAAAAACTCTCACCTAACTACTGTGGATAATTGTGTATTTTTAGGTATAACAGTTGACAAAAATTGCAGCTGGAAACCACATATTGATAAAATTGTTGCAAAAATTGATCGTTTTGTATATGTACTAAAAAGGATTCGACAAACAACAAATCATCAGACGACAATGCTTGCGTATCATGGCTATGTATCGTCCGTACTTCGTTACGGTATATAATTTGGGGGAACTCAGTGGAGGTTGATAGAGTCTTTAAATCCCAAAAAAAAAGCATTCGAGCAATCTGTGTGTCAAATGTTAAAAGCAACGAATGTGACATAATATTATTGAATGGTGAGAAATTAGAGTTTGTAAAAGAGACAACTTTCCTGGGAATTACTGTAGACGACAAATTGCAATGGGGTCCTCATATTACATCATTAGCGGGACGATTGAGCTCTGCAGCGTATGCTGTCTGGAAGATACGACAGTTAACTGACATAGAAACGGCAAGACTAGTGTATTTCAGTTACTTTCATAGCATTATGTCGTATGGCATTTTGCTGTGGGGACACGCTGCTGACATTGAGTCTATCTTTGTATTGCAAAAGCGCGCCGTCAGAGCTATCTACAACCTAGGTCGTCGCGAATCTCTCAGAGAAAAGTTTAGGGAGATCAACATTATGACCGTTCCATGTCAATTTATTTATGAAAACATCATGTATGTTAGGAAAAACCTACAGTTATTTGGTAAAGTGTCGGACAGACACCACTATCAAACTAGACATGGAAATAGATTAAGTCAGCCAATTTCGAGATTGGCGAAAGTAAGTAAGTCGTTCATGGGATTCTGTGTTAAATGTTATAATAAGATACCAGGCGACATACAACACCTAAATGAATCAAAATTTAAATTATGTATAAAGAAAACTTTATGTAAACAAGCGTATTACAAACTTAATGATTATATAGTTGATAAAAATGCTTGGATACAGGCTAGTCCGGCTCCACAGGATAACAAAAAACACTGATGTTTTAATGAAATTGTAAATAATACAGCCATTTTGCTAAATTGTATATTATTTAACTTAGATAACCATTGTGAATGTGAGAGCCCTGTAATTAACTTAATATTAAATTAGACTAGTAGAATGCATTTGTGTCAGCGTGGAGTTGTCATGCTCACTCAAAGGTCTCATTGGCGGTGGCGCGTGCAGTGGATCGCTCGATTCCCTACAATATGGTTGATTTGGGCGGTGCTGGTGTACGTGTCATGTTCGTGAACGGGCGCCGTCAACTGGGACTGGTCAGCTCCAGACTGTATTATTTATTGTCTTTAAGGTTATTTTCTTTTTCAATCACTTTGACTAGATTTTAGTGTTACATTGTTCTCGCACAATCCAAACAGCAAACTATGTAACTGGACAATTGTATTGTGAACCTGATTGAAAAAGAGTAACCTATGGAGTTTCTTGCTCGTTCTTCTCCATAGGAATCTACACTTTGGAATGAGCAAATAGCTTCACTTCTAATTTTATTGTTGACGTTCAAAAGTGCCTTTCTGGTCTAATTGAAATAAATGATTTTGACTTTGACTTTGACTTTGTGGAGCTCATTTTTTAGACAGCTGTAAACCACTGTTTCAAAAATTAAATATCCTACCTTTACCATGTCTATACATTTTTGAAATATGTACTTTTGTAAAAAGAAATTACATTCTATTTGAAACTCTGGAAGACAGACCAAATAGCCGAACACGGCATAAAGACAGACTTCGTTTACCACGAATAAAATTAAAATTATTTAAGAAAAATGTATATTGTATGTCCATAATCATTTATAATAAATTACCAAATAGTTTACAAGAATTACCATTGACATTATTTAAGAATATGCTTTTTAAACTTTTGCTATCCAAGTGTTACTATAGTATTAAGGACTATTTAGAAGATAAGACGATAGAATCTTGATAGTGTAATTTTAATAATAAATTTGCACGCCATATACGGCAGGATACGCTGGAAAAAAAAAATTACTGTAACACCTTTTGTACCGTATTTTAGCAAATAAACATTTTTGATTTGATTTGATGATTTGAAGCGAAAGAGGTATGTAAGAATCGTGGTAATTGGCATTCCTTAGTCTCTGCCTACCTCCATGGGACACAGGCGTGAAGTTATGTATGTATGTATGTAGGTAAAATCGCGGGTTACTCATGTGAATATGCTGAGAAAGGTCTACTAATTTCGAACCACAGAGGGATTCTTCCTCATGATTCTCGCAGCGCTAGTAGTAACACCGAGGCGAGCGCCAACGCCAGCCAGTGAGCTGCGCGACATCGCCGCGACCGCGCACGCTGCTTATGAGGAAGAACTAGATAATTGTATTGTAAACCCGATTAAAAAAGAGTAACCTATGGAGTTTCTTGCTCGTTCTTCTCCATAGAAATCTACGCCTTGGAATGAGCAACTAGCTTCACTTCTAAATTTTTGTTGTTGACGTTCAAATGTGCCTTCCTAGGCGCTTACTCTTGAAACCAATCTCAATGTCAATACAATTTCAATCGAATAAAATCTCAATAATTATTTAATGTCAACACTATACAACTACAATCGTAGCTGTTACAATAGCATTCAGAGTACGGAATATAAAGCCAAACTCGATACCATTTAGTTCATTCAATATCCACGCAATACGGATGCAATGCGCGCTAGTGTTACAACTCAAGAGTACGACACAATACCAATGTCGATCGATCGGTGTTATGTATGTTATTTAATCAAACGAAATATCAGTAAAAGAGAGAAGGCTATCGACACACACATTTATTCGTATTCAATTGTTTTACAAATTCGCGGGCTCCGCCACGCACATAGATAATCTATCACCATAGACTATAGTATAACTATGACCATAGAGTATACCACAGATACACAACAATCGGAATTAGATTCAAGAGTAAGCCCCCTGGTATAATTGAAATACATGATTTTGATTTTGTTATTATGGAAACAAATATGATTTCTCATCAGGAATCGAATGACAAGGAGAAAGCAGCAGTGAAAACCTTTGTGAAGATGCTGGTAGGAGAAGACAAGGAGATCACTACTGTAGAACAAGGAAGTGAACCGCCGGAGTTCTGGGATACTTTGGGTAAGTAACTGAGACGTTATTATTAAATGACAATTTTATTTATTTATTTATTTACTCGCGTCACAAAAGGATAAAAAGTCGCCTATGTGACTATCCGTTCAACTACCTTCAGTTAAAAAATCACGTTAATTAGTACTTCCGTTCTGCCGTTTAAGACAGGCAAACAAACAAATAGCTTTCCGCTCGCGTGGAATTCGGTTATATCGCGCTATTTAGATTTTTCCAATAAGTAGGTATTTCGTTGACTGGTTTTAAATGACATACAACGCCATCTATACGTACATACAGCGCCATCTATACCAATATTTTTGTTTTTCCTAGGAAATATCAATTTTTTCCGTGATAAAAAGTACTAAGTAGTATTTAATCCAGACTTCTAACTTTACGTCTGCAAAATTTCAAAGCAATCGGTCTAGTAGTTACGGCGTGAAAGCGGAACAAACAAATAAACTCACTTTCCGATCTATAATATTAGTAAGGATTTATTTTCTTCCTCACAAAATACAACAGTGAATGGCGGACTTAATGCCTTAAGGCATTCTCTGACAGTCAACCATAGGGAAGTGCAGAGAAATGAAGTGGTTGATGCGAAGCCAGAACACAATTGAAAAAATAAAAAAAGTTATGTAATATGTATAGTACACACATAAATACCTATAGAATAAATTATATTAATACAATATTTTATAAATCTGTATAGACATATACATACCATATAATATATACTATTAAACAAATACTTATACCTACTGCATAAATTTTATTCTACAGTTAAAAATTTCATCATCGTCATCAACAGCCTATAAATTCCCAATGCTGAGCAAACCCTCTTCTCACACGGAGAAGGTTTGAGCATTAATCACCACGCTTGCTCAATGCAGGGCGATTCCAAACCTAAAATCAGAAATTATAAGCCCAGGTTTCCTCACGATGTTTTCCTTCACCGTTTGTCAGTGGTGTCTAAATAATCTTAGAAAGTACATATAACTCGGAAAAAGTCACATTGGTACTTGCCGTTGGTAGGTTTCGAACCCGCACTCTTATGCGTGAGAAGCGGGCGTCTTAACCTCCGGGCTACTAAGACGACGAAATTAAAAACGAAGTTAAAAATTTACTGACGATTGAAAAATCGACCCTAAATATATTCTCGTTTACAGGAGGCGAGCCAGAAGAAAAGAGCGGTTCCGGCTGGAGGAACGCTGTCAACCGAAGAGTGACAGCCCCTCGTACTCTCACAGCTGTGAACGTCAGCATTACCAAGAAGATAACCTTCGAAGATCTGGACACGGAGTTCACGCAACAGGTAATATTAATACTTTATTTCAGACCACTGTGTCTAAATTTTTAGTAACAATGTTCTTATAGACTATATGTAGATAATGTTAGTGATACTTAAAATTACCCACTACAAAACTGTCGTGTATTTGTTATCTGTGCAAATAGATTACTGGCCACTTGTAATGACAATAGTCTATGGTTGTATATTGTCTATGCTATTTTTTTTTAAAAAAAACAGTGTGCTAATGGCGGTCTGCAGTTTTAGTTGTTCCTGCATGTAAACATTTTATACAACAAAAACAAAACAAATAATTCATCAATAACCAACAATCACTATTGCGCCATTCCGTGAGAAATGGAGGAACAATGACTGATGTAGACACAGTCCAGCCGACCCGCGATCATGTTGAGGACGCTGTTGGCGCTGCATCGCACTCTACGCACCAGAGATGCGCATCTCTTACGCATCGTAGCGTAGACGCAGTCCACGCTATGTTCAGCAAACATCCCTGATGCACTACAGAATCGTCTCAGCCCCATCAGCATCCTAAACGCATTATTAAATTATTAAATATAATAAATCGACTGCTGGGCAAAGGGTCTCGGGTTCGATTCCCGGGTCGTGCAAAGTATTACTGGATTTAAAAAAAAATGTCAGTAGTAGCACGGAGTCTAGAAATGTGCCCGGTATATGGCAATAGGCTCACCCCCTATTACATGGGACTTATAACATAAATAGTGAAAAGTGGATGTCACTTCTGTGTGCACCTCTGCCTACCCCTTCGGGGATAAAAGGCGTGATGTTATGATGTTTTGTATTTAATATTTAAATATTTTGTTTTGACGTTCAAAAGTGCCTTCCTGGTCTAATTGAAATAAATGATTTGATTTTGATTTTGATTTTGATTTTGATTTTGATTTTGATTTTGATTTTGATTTTGATTTTGATTTTGATTTTGATTTTGATTTTGATTTTGATTTTGATTTTGATTTTGATTTTGATTTTGATTTTGATTTTGATTTTGATTTTGTATTTTGATTTTGATTTTGATTTTGATTTTGATTTTGATTTTGATTTTGACTTTGACTTTGACTTTGATGCTACTTGTCGTGATTGATATGGTCTTTTTCTCAACAACTCCATTTGTTTCCAGGATCTGTCTGATGATGGAGTATACGTTCTGGACACTGGTGAGGAGCTTTACTTGTGGCAAGGAAAGAAAATCCCAGAGCGAGTCAAGATGGCCCGTAACGATATTATCAAGGTACTTATTCCAGTTAGGACTGAAGGACTGCCTCATTGGCCGAGTAGTCGCAAGCACGACTGCCGGGTGGGGTCTCGGGTTCGATTCCCGGTGAAAAGTGGGTGTTACATTGTACAGTGCCATTAAGTGCCGAAATGTGCACCTCTGCCAACCCCTTCGGGGATAAAAAGGCGTGATGTTATATATATATATATTTTATTATTATTCCAATTATTAAACTAATTAACCTGATTATATAAAAACCGAATTTGTGTATTGGCACCCAACTGGGCCTCCCTGAATTCTCTTGGTAGTCCCATTTGGGCGCCAATTCGTTTTTTTTATAGTATACTAGCGGACCCAACAGACGTTGTCCTGCATATCCACTTGAATTTATAAACAAATATTTATTCAAATTAGTTCAGCTGTTTAGGATAAATAACCTAAACAACGACTGCAGCGCCATCTGCCGGACTGATTTGTGAATCTAAACCATTCCCAGATCCCTTTGAACACACACAAAATATTTCATCAAAATCGGTCCAGTCGTTTGATAGGAGTTCAGTGACATACACACTCACAGAAGAATTATAAGAAGAGATGTATGGTGGCAAACGAAAAGACAGATTACCTGATGGTTAAGCAATCAGCGCCGCCTATGGACACCCTCAACACCAAAGAAGTTTCAAGTATTTTGGGTTTTGAGGGAATAGGGCCTCCGGTAACTTAACTCACACAACGCTTCGATTGTGTCACGTCGGTTTTCTGTGAGGCCGTGGTATTACTCCGGTCGAGCCGCCCCGTTCGTGCTGAAGCATGGCTTTCCCACACTTAAACTTTTGATAATATTATAATATCTTCTGATTTACTTCGTTGCGGGAACCAAGACAGTTACTCATGTCCCTGGGACGCGCCGGACTTCAATGTTCCGGTGTTTTCATGGTTGTATTTACTGTAGATCTTGGCTTACAGGAGTTGCAGTGGTTTTGGGAGGTTGTGGCGGGCTTGTCCCATTAAATATATATATATAAATCGAAGAAACTTTAGGCTGATTTTAGTCTAACGCTGACTGTCACCGTTCATAACTTAGATCTTAGTTTGACACACGACGACCAAGCCGTAGCTTTATCCAATAGCGCTGACCGACGCACGCGTTATTCTAAAACGCTTTATAGAAGTTCATAGATTTCGGCTCTCAGCGCCCACGATCAGCGTGCGATCAGTGACTCTTAAACCAACCCCAGTACTTGCCAACCATTTTTTTTTAATATTATTTTTTGCCTACCTCAGCCGAGTAGTCGCAAGTGTGACTGCCATCGTCTCGGGTTCGATTCCCGGGTAGAGCAAAATATTACTGGGTTTTTAAAAAAATCTTAGAAGACTCTCTACATAATCCTACCACTGTCTCCCGAGGGGGTAAGCAGAGACTATGGAACGCCAATTGCTATGATTGGCACATAGCTTGACTGCCTCATTGGCCGAGATGTCGTCAGTCGGGTAAAGTATTATTGGGTTTTTAAAAAACACTCAATAGTAGCACGGAGTCACCACTCACCCCCTATTACATGGAACTCATATGGAAAAGTGGGTACCTATTGCATTGGACAGCCGCATTAAGTGCCGTAATGTGCACCTATGTCGACCCCTTCAGGGAGAAAAGGCGTGAAGTTCCGTTATTATTATTTAAAGCTTCCAGCCCTAATCTTCTCTTTTATTCTTCTCCAGGAATACATAGAAGATGACGGTTTAGACCGTACAGTGGACAATGCTTTAGTGGTGTACGTGAAGCAGGGTGAGGAGCCAGGAGCGTTCAGGAAGCTCTTCCCTGAATGGGATAGCGCCATGTGGGACGTAAGTAGTGTTTTTTTTATAAGATGGGCAAATGTTTATTTATTTAAGGATCTGTCATTTCTGATTGTGGTATCTTTTATATGGGACTCATAACGTAAGTAGTAAAAAGCGTTACATTTACGACATCAACTGCACTTACTGCACGGTGGTTGGGTAACCGGCTACCGCGCAACGAGTCGTGGGTTCGATTCTCGTACAGAGAAATTCTTTGTGTGATCCAAAAATTGTCCTGTCGTGTGTATGTGAACTTGTATGTTTGTAAACGCACCCACGACACAGGAGAAAATAGACATAGGACAAAGTTCTTAAAAAAAAATGCTACAATAATAACTAATAATATATTATTATTTCTTCCACAGAACCAAACGTCTTACGAAGATATCAAGAATGAAACGAAAGCAGCGAATTCGAAGTGAAACAACCCGAAGAAATAAAAAAGCTAACCCTAATTAAAAAAAGGAGTTTTTACATGTAATTGTAAGGATATAAATATAATCAGAAAGCATTATTTTATTATACATTCTTTTATTAAAATAATATATACATTAAAACTTTTTTATATACACATTTCGAGTTTCATTTTCTCCTTTATTTTTTACTAGCTTTTACCCGCGGCTTCGCTCGCGTCTCCAAAAGATAAAAAGTAGCCTATGTGACATATACCAATACACACAGCGCCATCTATACCAATAGTTTAGTTTTTCCTCGGGAATATCAAATTTTTCCGGGATAAAAAGTACCCTATTATTTAATCCAGACTTCTAACTTGACGTTTGTAAAAATTCAAAGCAATCGGTTTAGTAGTTACGGCGTGAAAGCGGTACAAACAAACTCACTTTCCGATTTATAATATTAAGTAAGGATATACCTAAATATAATCAGAAAGCATTATTTTATTATACATCCTTTTATTAAAATAATATATACATTAAAACTTTTTTATATACACATTTCGAGTTTCATTGTCTCCTTTATTTTTTGACGTGACAACGTCTTATAAATTGGTTTGCCGGGTGACACTTCCAGAAACTGCGTTACGCTCCGCTCACGTTATGCGCTCACAATGAGAGCGAGTGAGAGGCACGCGTCCCTTCCACTCGGGCATGGTTAACCCGCCTAAGAGCGAGAGAGACAGACATAATATTTTACCACTCAAAGTCGTTGTCACGTAAAACTTTCGCCCGTATACCGACTTTACAGGCAACCAATTTTTTTTTGTAGCTGTCATTTTCTGTTGTCCAATTACAGTAACTGTCAAATATTGAACGACCAATAGGGTTACACTGGCTAATTCCCTATTGGACGAGAAACGAGAGTATCACACTTGAATGATTTTCCCCCTCAACAAAAAAATTGTACATCGCCACGTACGATGATGGATTGAATCAAACAGAGAGAAGAAGCGCGGTGGTGGTGCCGTATGCAAGAACGCTTATAGTTTCAAACAAAACAAATGGTATTTTCGCTTACAAATTGGCGCTAGTGTGACCTCTCGTTTCTCGTCCAATCCTTACTAATATATATATTAATATTATAAATGGGAAAGTGAGTTTGTTTGTTTGATTGTTTTTCAAGCCGTAACTACTAAACCGATTGCTTTGAATTTTTGCAGACGTAAATTTTGAAATCCGGATTAAATAATAGGGTACTTACTTTTTAACCCGGAAAAATTTGATATTCCCGAGGGAAAACAAAAATATTGGTATTTTTTTTTTTTTAAGGGGGGAAAATCATCGAATGACTGCTCCCGCCTGGGTGAGGCGGAAGGGAGTGTCAGACTCTTACTGACTAAAAACCACCCCGTTCCTTCTCCTGCACGTCGAGCCGGAGCCCCGGTTACCCGTTAGGTTCTCCGCGACTCCGAATCGGCATCGGCCCTACTGGGCCCCATCTGTGGTGGTCTGATGGCTCTTTGAGGCGCGCGCGGAACGCGACGCGCCGTACGCTCGGGAAAAATATTGGTATAGATGGCGCTGTGTGTATTGGTATATGTCACATAGGCTACTTTTTATCCTTTTGTGACGCGAGCGAAGCCGCGGGTAAAAGCTAATAAGGAATAAGCTAGTGTAACCCAATTGGTCGTTCAATATTTGACAGCTGCTGTTATTGGACAATAGAACATGACAGCCATGAGCATACAAAAAAAACGGCAGCCCCTATTGAAATTGAAGTATTTGACTTTAAAAATATTATTTTGCATAGTAGTAGTAACATTTAGTTTCTATACATATAATAGGGATAGTTTCCTAATTTTTATTTCAATGTCCGTCTGGTAGATTAATTTAAAACATTAGACACGTTTTTATTCTTTTCTCACAAAATTAAATACTTTTGACGACATATTGATTTGAAATGTCCCGTGACGTCACAGCGTGCTACAAAATGTACCACGTTATGACGTAACTACCTCCCACTCCTAAACTTAACGCCATTTTATTCAAGTGTTGCAACTTTATACGAGAAAATAAAAAAATACGTGTCTAATATTTTTTCATTATCTAACTGACGGACTAATTAGATTTCGGTGCGCCTGCCAAAACTGATATATGTGCAAATATTTAGTTTTTTTTTCTTAGCTATATGTCCTTTAAATCGGATAGCGCATCGATTACAAAAACAAATATGTGTTATTTCCCTCTAGAAATCGATTAGACCAATCTTATATGTGCACTTTCTGGTCATGACAAATTGGTTATGTGTTCGATTGGTTACGGGTTATGTGACATAAAACGCACATGTCAGAAGTTGCAGCATCACATAGATAGTTTGGCAGATTGAATATCAACAGTTTTAGTTTAAAATTTTTACCGTTTTCTAAGATAAATCTGATATGTGCACCAAAATGGAAAATAAAATTATTGGGGATGAACAGTACATGTTATCAGTTATTTTTATCATAATATTTGCCATCATACTGCATTTTTAATTTATTGCTAAGTCCACCAACCTTTCAGTGTGAAAAATAGTTTATTGTCTCCCCCTGAAAACTTGACTAAATGCACATAACATATTATATAATTCGTATCCGTAGAGTATTTTTGAGAAAATAAAGATTTTTTATTTATTTATTTACTTTTATTTATAACAGTTTTGGCAAGCGCACCAACGTTTTGTTTTTTCTTAACCTGGAAACTACCCTTTCATTAACTAGATAAACAAATAAAATTACACACTAAACCGTAGCAATACACTGATTAATTATCTGAACTAGATTCTTATTCTCTAACGCGGCCGCTATCCTCTCCTTGTCAGCAAGCTGCTTGTTCACCGCATGTTCAGATACATGGGAGCCTTCTGAGACTTCTACGGTGACTTTAAACCGGCTTGGTAAGGCTCGGAGGAGACGGACTCGGATTGAGAGGCCTGGAATGTTTTGAGGTTATGGTTAAAATGTGGTACAATACTAATAATAGGCCACAAAGTATCCCTAATCTGGAACATCACTAATGAATGTGGATTCTATTGGATTGTGTACTGCTGGAACGCAGATTTATATTTAGGCAAAACAAAATACCTATGTATTTTTAATTTATTAATATATTATTACTAGCTTTTACCCGCGGCTTCGCTCGCGTCACAAAAGGATAAAAAGTAGTCCGTGTGACATATACCAATACATACAGCGCCATCTATACCAATATTTTCGTTTTCCCTTGTTTAATATCAAATTTTTCTGGGATAAAAAGTATCCTATTATTTAATCCGGACTTTTAACTATACGTCTGCAAAAATTCATAGCAATCGGTTTAGTAGTTACGGCTTGATAGTGGAACAAACAAACAAACTCACTTTCCGATTTATAATATTAGTAAGGATGGCTGTACGGTTGGCACAGTGGCTAGGCAACTGGCTCCCGTGCAATGTGTCACGGGTTCGAATCAACTTTTTGTGTTCTCCACAAAATTGTTGCCCTGGGTCTGTGTGTCATGTGTATGTAAGTTTGTATGTTTGTAAACGCATCCACGACACAGGAGAAAATGCTTTTTTTATAAACAATAATAATAATTGCTAGAAATTAAATGATAATTGTCTTATTTTTGAAAACTGCTAGAATAGGATATTTTTACTGGCTGACAAGAGCGGAAGGTAAACAATACTTCATATCATCTATTACCAACCTCAAACATCACTTATCTTACAGATAAATAAAATTGGAGTGTCTGTTTGTAATATTACACACACCAAAATAACATTTTTTACAATTTTTGTCTGTCTGTCTGTATGTTTGTACTAGCTTATCTCTGGAATGGCTGGGCCAATTTTGACAGGACTTTATTGGCAGGTAGCTGATGTACTACGGAGTCACCTAGGCTACCTTTATTTAGGAAAATTGAAATAAAAAAACGTATGTCCTAAAATTTATATTTTATGCAGAGGTAGTTGTGGGCAATAGCTAGTACATAAAATATAAGCGCTTCACATCAAGCTTACTTATGCGTACTGGTAAGCAGTGGAATTCTTTGCCAGAGTCTGTATTTCCTGAAGGGTAAGTATAACCTGGGTGTCTTCAAGGCCCGAGTGAATAGGTTGCTTATGGGACGACGTGCTCCATCGTAGACCGCATCATCGCTTATCACCAGGCGAGATAGTGGTTAAACGTCGGCCCATCAAATATAAAAAAAAAATATCTTACCTATCAAGGTAGCCATGCTACAATGCGGTATGGTCGGCGTAAAACTAACCACAACAGTATTATCCTTGTTATCCACCTTAATATTACTTTCCTCCACAACCCTCAGCTCTTCCAGAGTCAAAGGGTGTTCAGGATCGTTGATATTGCGAATTAAATCAAAGATTTCGCGTTCATCGAACAAATCTTCAATGTCCTCATTGTAGTCTTCTGAAGTCTTTTCCTCTCTGAACCCTTGTCGTAGACGTTTGGGTTTACATTGTCGGCTAGTTTCGTCATTTTGTTTACAAAATTAGTGTTTTGCAAAAAGAAAATAGAGAAAAGAAAAGTAGGTACAGAATCAATGTCAATGTCAAAAACACGTAAGTTGTTGTTGTGATAGTGATGTGTTCGTTTAGAAATTATTTTAGTACAGCTGCAGCCTCAATTCAGTCAAATCAAGGTTTTACTATTGTAAAAAATATATTTATTTGTACTATATGCGTTTAGCACATAAAAGAACCGGAAATGAAACAACATGCAACATGTTACTAATAAGACAGGAATAAGAAAAAATAAAGGTACATCATAACGTTTTTGAAACAAACACTAAACAGCAATTTCTAAACGTACTCTTAACTGACATCCTGGGCGTTTCAAATAAATCTGTTACTTTGGTAGAACTTGTGACATACAAATATCGCTTTCTTTTTTTGTCTAAAACAATATATATTAAGCTGTCTCTTTCACCTACTGCAGTTAAAGATCTGGAACGTAACTCTGACAGCAGAATTGTAAGATCAATAATTTACTTAAGACTCGATTAAACCCTTGTTTTTAATAAAAAAAAATTGTGTGGGGCGTATCATATCCTACAAAATCACAGAGGAACACAGGACACGTAAGTTTACACTTTATATCCAGTTAAAACACGCCTAAATTCTTTTAAATACTCAATTTCCTAATTAGAAAGTGTCGTTATCTAGATTCATCTTAAATTGTTAGTTTTTGGATTAAAATTCCATGTTAAACTAGTTATTTTGTTGGTATAGTGGACGATAAACGATTCTACGTATATAAAAGTCAGATAAACATGGTTAAAATGTGATATTTAGTTACTTTTTCTACGAAATCATTTTGGGGTGTTATCAAGGGGCGTTTGTGATATTGTGACGTAATTTCATCCCTTGCGGAGATGTAAGGTTGAAATTATATCGTATCCATGGTATTCTTCATAAACATGCTATTTCAAAGTATAATATACAAGTAAAGCTTGTTTTAGTTAAGTATTTCTAATTTAAGTATGAGTTTGTGTAAAACAGTGAATCTCACGCTCGTGGTGCTGTTATCCGACTGTCCTTATGATATTTTTAAATTTTATTGATATACAAACTTGTCCTGACAATAAGGAAGGTAACTAAAAAGGATTTATCCAATTAGTACAGTTGTTCAGGAGCTTGGAGTAGTTAAATACTAGTTCAGGAGTCATCTCAATTAACCCGTCGAGCGTCCGCGTTCCTTATGATCCAACGGGTGCACACGTGACATTTGGAGAAAGAAAGAAATAAAGAAAGAAAACGCATTTATTTGGCCATTGGCACATGAAAACAAGGATTATTACAATAGAAATAAAAAATACAGTCAAAATAAAAACAAAACATTAATAATACATTTTATAAAAGAGAAAGCAGCATGGAGCATTTTTTCTTATGATCCACTGGGTGCTCATAAAGACGCTCAAGGGGTTAATATTTTCTGTATAGTTACTGCTTTTTCTCTCATTTTTAAAGTGTTCTCAACAGCATCTGTTGACCAAGAGATCTTGGGTTTTTATAGGATGAGCCTATCAACAAGCAAATAGATTACCTGATGGTAAGCATTTGGAGAGAGTGGAGTGGGAAAGAGGGGTTAAAAACTTTGTGATGTCACATTTCAAAAACTTGCGCGCTTGTCTACATGTAGAATAGAAAAACAAATTATATGGAATTGACTTAAATTTTGAAACTTGTCAGTGTCATCTCCATACATTTAGTTTTCTACTCTCTCTGTAGACAAGCGCTAAAGTGGCGTTTGGCTAAAAGCCCTAAATAGCATGTAGAATAATTTTCTAAGTAGGTACTAGTAAGCAGTCTGGATTACTTTAATATATGGTATATGGCAATAAGATTCACTCTATAAATAAGACTGAAACTATGCATTATTTTACATGCTACATAATCTCACCACTATCTCCCATGGGGGTAGGCAGAGACTATGGAACGCCAATTGCTATGATTTGGACTCGCTTTCCAGGCAAAGTATTACTGGGTTTTTTTTAAAAATCAATAGTAGCACGGATTCTCAAGTCTGGAATTGTGCCCGGTATATGGAAATAGGCTCACCCCCTATTACATGGGACTCATAACATAAATAGTGAAAAGTGGGTGTTACATGTACAGTGGCATAACATACACTTCTGCGTACCCCTTCGGGGATAAAAGGCGTGATGTTATGTTATATCTTTTCTTTAACTTCGCTTTTATAAACCATAATTATTTCCACAGCATAATGGCGACAGATCCGTGGATAGTACATCCGCATGAGCATGCAAAGTTTGCGGAGCATTTCCGTAACCTCGGGCCTGTGAACGGACATCTGACTGGGGAACAGGCCAAGAGGTTCATGTTGCAGGTAAGGAAATCATGGGATTTATGGGATAACCCGGTAAACGAGCAGTTGGTTCACCTGATGGTAAGCAATCGGCGACATCCATGGACACCTGGAACACCAGAGGCGTTACAAGTGCGTTACCAGCCTTTTGGGGATTAGGAGCTTGACGATCGTTGGGGATTCAGGGATTGGGGAGATTGGGGAAGGGGGAGGGTAATTGGGCCTCCAGTAACCTCACTCACACGACGAAACACAACGCAAGCGTTGCTTCACGTCGGTTTTCTGTGAGGCTGTGGTATTACTCCGGTCGAGCCGGCCCATGCGTGCTGAAGCATAGCTCTCCCACACTTGAATTAGATCAAATACTAACTATTGTAATATTCTGTCAACAGTCCCAGCTGCCTCCTCCCATATTGGGTCAGATCTGGTCGCTAGCAGACACCAATGCTGATGGAAAGCTAGATCTACGGGAGTTCTCCATTGCTTGCAAGGTGAGTTTATCGTCTACAGCAGGTGATAGTCCACTGCTGCACTATGAGTCTCCTCTACATAAGAGGGTTTGTCACAGTCTCCGCAGGCAGGCGGGTTGGAGACCGCAGTATAAAAGGTTCAGGTTTATCAGAGAGCGCTGCTGCACAGTCTCTGTTCGTCAGGTTTTCTGATACATACGTGAAGACCTCTAGTCTAGTAGAATAAATATATTCGACTCTGCTGGTATACCATAACTTTGGTCACATTTTAGTAGTTAGTTTTTTTTATTGGATAAGCCGAGCTGACTGATCACCTGATGGTAAGCAATTGGATGGACACCTGAAACTCCAAAGATGTTACTAGTGCGTTATCGACCTTTTAGGGATTAGGAATTTGAGGATTATTGGGGATTCGGGGTAAGTAGGCCTCCGGTAACCTCACAGACACGACGAGAAACAACGCAAGCGTTGTTTCTCGTCGGTCTTCTACTAGGCCGTGGTATCACTCCGGTCGAGCCGGCCCATTCGTGCCAAAGCATGGCTCTCCCACACTTAAACCCCTGCTTACATCTTTGTGTGTTAAAGGAACTGTCGGACCAAGGTTTGATCTCAAATTTGAAACCTGATAAATAGGCGTCCGCCCTCTGTGCTAAGATATTTTAACTTTACATGTACTTAATGGCGAAATCTAGCTTTGTATTCTAACAAGGATTTTTATTCGATGAAAACAGAAAAAAACGATATTTTCTGAATTCAATGAAACCTAGCTAGATTGATTTATAGCCCCCGAAACCGCTCTATGAAAAAAAAATTGGTTGCCTGTAAAGTCGGTATACGGGCGAAAGTTTTACGTGACAACGACTTTGAGTGGTAAAATATTATGTCTGTCTCTCTCGCTCTTAGGCGGGCTAACCATGCCCGAGTGGAAGGGACGCGTGCCTCTCACTCGCTCTCATTGTGAGCGCATAACGTGAGCGGAGCCTAACGCAGTTTCTTGAAGTGTCACCCGGCAAACCAATTTATAAGACGTTGTCACGTCAAAATCAATAAAATCGATGAAGCCGTTTCAGACATCGTTGATATATACATACATACATACAGAATAGGGTTGATGCCTAATTTTTTATTTTAATGTCCGTCTGGTAGATTATTTAAAAACATTAGACACGTATTTTTATTTTCTTACAGAAACGAATACTTTCGACGATATATTGACTTGAAATGTCGCGTGACGTCACTTCTATGTGCATTTTATACGTAGATGACGTTTTAGCCCCCACTCCGAAACTTTGATTCGTTTTATCTAAGTATTGTTTTATTATACGACAAAATAAAAAAATACGTGTCTAATATTTGTTCATTGCTTAACTTACGGACTAATTACATTTTTAATTTTCATACCCTGTCATCATCCCTATTCTCATTTAAACGTATTAAATTTTAATTACAGATCATCAACTTGAAGCTCCACAATATTGAGATACCAAAAGTATTGCCGCCATCTCTACTCGCCTCCCTTAGCCCGTCCGCAGGTGAGGATGCTTTTAATAAGACATCAGAATATCTCTCTAGACAGCTAACGGCCGAAATTGACAAAATCGTACTAAATTTTAACTAAAAATCGCGGGTTACTCACGTGAATATACTGAGAAAAGCTCTTGTAGTTTCGAGCCACAGAGCGGTTCTTCCTCATAAGCAGCGTGTAACGCCCAACGCGCCCTCTGTCGTGATTCCCGCGCACTTCCATGAATATGAGCCTCTAGCATGGCTTGAAACTAGTCGAGTTCCTCGTCAAACTATTACGTGAGTAGCCGAAAACATAATCCTTACTAATATTATAAATCGGAAAGTAAGTTTGTTTGTTTGTTCCGACTTCATGCCGTAACTACTAAACCGATTGCATTGAAGTTTTGCAGACGTAAAGTTAAAAGTCCGGATTAAATAATAGGGTACATTTTATCCCGAAAAAAATTGATATTCCCGAGGGAAAACTAAAGTATTGGTATAGATGGCGCTGTATGTATTGGTATATGTCACATAGGCTACTTTTTATCCTTTTGTGACAAAGTCAAAAGTCAAAGTCAAAAAGCTAGTAATTAATAACAGTTCATACCCAAAATCTCTGGTTTTAACACAATTTTAACAGAAACTCCGTACAAGCATACAATTTTAACAAAAAATTGATTTTAATCCAAAGATGTACATAGAAAGAAAAACCATTTATTTTGCTACGACACACAACGAGAATTTAGAAACACACAAAAAAGCCTATAGTGCATCGCAGTGCAATAGGCAGCTTAATACCGTGGACCGGGCACAGAGGTTCGAGCCCACGGTGCTGATAGATCAACTTGTAGTGGGACCTACTTTAATAGGGTAGACGACTAATTTTTATTTTAATGTCCGTCTGGTAGATTATTTAAAAACATTAGACACGTATTTTTTCTTTTCTCACAGAAACGAATAGTTTCGAAGATATATTGATTTGAAATGTCGCGTGACGTCACTTCTCAGTACATTTTATACTAAGAAATGACGTTTTAGCCCCCACTCCTAAACTTTGATTCGTTTTATCTAAGTATTGTTTTATTATACGACAAAATAAAAAAATACGTGTCTAATATTTTTTCATTACCTAACTTACGGACTAATTATATTTTTAATTTTCATACCCTGTCATCATCCCCATTGTTGACGCATCAATATTGTTCACACTGTTCTTGCATTGTGTTCACCTCTCGACTTGTCCCGTATATCGCACTACAGATGCACGCTACTAAATATTGTGTCTGTACTAAATTGTATATAACCTTAATTGGAGTCAGAAATTAAAAGTGTATTAATTAGTATTCGATTTATTTACTTCTCTCTGGACACGACCCCTCACCATCTAAAAACTAAAAACTAAAACTCGATTAACTCCAGTTACGTGAGTAAGCCGAAAATATAATAATTTATTTAGTACTAGCTTTTACCCGCGGCTTCGCTCACGTCACAAAAGGATAAAAAGTAGCCTATGTGACGTACACCAATACACACGGTGCCATCTATACCAATAATTTCGTTTTCCCTTGAGAATATCAATTTTTTCCGGGATAAAAAGTACCCTATTATTTAATCCAGCTTCTAACTTCACATCTGCAAAAATTCAAAGCAATCGGTTTAGTAGTTACGGCGTGAAAGTAGAACAAACAAACAAACAAACTCATTTTCCGATTTATAATATTAGTAAGGATATCTAACGAAAGTTTTATAATGAAAACTGTTATCAATTTCGACCATATGTTCGATTTCTAACCGAGTTATTTTGTTATAGTTTTTAATTATGAAAAACTCAGCTGTTGCATATAGTATAGAATTTCATATGAGGTATTAAATTGTAGTATAAAATAATTTCTAACAAAAAATCTTCTTTTACAGCTACCCCAAAACCGGCGTTCGCATCTCCGACCCCAGTCCCCGCCCCCATTAGACCCCCTATCCCCCCCATGCCAACCATACCCCAACAACCTTTAATATCCGGTTTGCCAACCGCCCCACAATCCAACCAATCCCTATTAGGCGACCTCGTAGGCCCACCCCTAACTCAACAACCGCCTCTAATCCCACCATTAAACCCCCCAAAGCCAAATGTACCAGATTTAATCTCGGGTCAACCGTTAGCTCAACCATTGATCTCGCAACCTTTAGTTAGCACTCAACCGCTTGTAAACCCGCCTCTGGTTCAACCTATACTCCCGCCTCAACCAATAAACCCGCCTTTGGCTCAACCAATGATCCCCCCTCAACCAATCATACCGACAAACAATTTAATTGGTCAAAATCCGCCATTGATTCCAAATCTACCAATGGAATCCTCATTTTCGAACTTAAACCAGCCTTTAATTCAACCAATTGCGCCTCAAAATAAGGCCTTTTCCCCTCCTGAAGCGCCTGTGACTGGTCAGTCGCCGTTAATGTCTAATGTGACTACGGTGACTACAGTGGGGTCTTTAGTCACCAGCCCGCCGTCTGGGGTCAATAGCCTCGCGGGGGTCATTCAACCTGTCACTTCGACGCCATTGGCTGCAATGAAAAGTGATAGCATGTCTAAGCCGGGTGAGTTATTAAGAAATATATATATATTAATAAATGTAATAAATCAAATTAAAAATTAAAAGTGTAACAAGTCATATTATAAATTTAATAAAAAATATATGATCATAATGAATATTCATCATCATCATCAACAGCCTATAAATGCCCACTGCTGAGCAAAGCCTTTTCTCACACGGAGAAAGTTAGAGCATTAATCACCACGCTTGCTCAATGCGGGTTGGCGATTTCAAACTTATAATTAGAAATTATAAGTTCAGGTTTCCTCACGATGTTTTCCTTCACCGTTTGTCAGTGGTGTCTAAATAATATTAGAAAGTACATATAACTCGGAAAAAGTCACATTGGTACTTGCCGTTGGTAGGTTTCGAACCCGCACCCTCATGCATGAGAAGTGGGCGTCTTAAACCCCCGGGCCACCACGACACGTCCTCCGGGCCACCACGACACGTATATATTAATAAATTAAGAAATCAAATTAAGAATTTAAAGTGTGACAAATCAATTTAAATTGATTATATTATTAATTTAATAATTTAATCAATAAGATAATATATATATATATATATATATGTGTCATAGTTCCTGGTTCCAGTGTCAAAAATATTGATCATAATGAATATTATAAATCTATATTTCTAATAGTGTTAAATATATAGTAAGTTACAATACCAAAAAGGATTATTTAAAAATACATTAACCGTTTAAAATCACATGTACAAGAGCCAAGTAAATGATTATATTTATAAATATTCTTATATTAATAAAAATGTTAAACGATTCTCACCCTTGACTATCCTAGCAATAAGGTTGATATTCCCTTAAATTTTCCAGGTTCTTTAGTGACCAGTCCTACTGAGATGCCGATGGGTGTCATGAGTCCCCCAGCGGCGGTGGAATGGGGGATTCCTCAACCACAGAAGCTGAAGTAAGTTTTTTTTTTATTATAGAATAGAATAATTTAGTTGAATGTACTCCACTTACAATATGTTTTTTTTTAATTACTATATTAAAGTAAAATTATGCTAGACTATTAACTAGATAATAATAATACATTATTTTGCTTAAAACTATGGACAGAAAAATAATAGGGCTAATTTTAATATTTGTCGCGATTTGCTTGAACTAGGTTTATGCAACCTGTGTTTCAAGTCATCACTTTATTACTATTCATGTTAAATCTATACAGGTTTGTATTATCAACTACTTATATAAAATTTAGAAATTATAAAACAAATTAAACTATGTATGTAACCTACTTACAGTAATTGATCTTAAAGAATAATTAACTACGTCAGTACATCTAAAAGTTTTTCTGTGTCATTATAATTTAATTTAAGTAAGTACTCCGTCATCATGTTACAACATTTCTTATATTGAATTTAATATGCGTATAATTGGTAACAAAGGCTGAGAAATTGGCTGCTGAGCGACGTGTCGTGGGTTCGATTCCAGCACGTATCTTAATGTGATCCGCAAATTGTAGTTCCGTGTCTGTGTGATGTGTTTGAAAGTGATTGTAAACGCACTTACGATACAAGAATATGCAATCTGATTCGGAACGCATTTAAAAAACAAATCAAAAACAAAGTATTTTTCTATTTTCCCTGCACTACGATTGTCTCCTGTGTCGTGTGTACGTTTACAAACATACAAGTTCACATACACATCACACACAGACACGGAACTACAATCTGTGGATCACACAAAGAGTTGTACCGTGCGGGAATGGAACCCGCGACATGTTGCGCGGCAGCCAGTTGCCAAGCCACCGCACCAATCGTGCAGTCAATAAACTAAATACCAGATACTTATATTCTGATTCGAACTGCCTCGTTGGCCGAGTGGTCGCAAGTGCGACTGCCGGGCAAGGAGTGGTGTTTTTTACCGAAGTAAAGTTGACCTACTGTAGCTACTAATAGGGGTTAAATTGAAACTCCGTAATTAGTGCTTGAACTGCTGGTTTATAATTATATTCTTTTTGGTGCGAACTTACATCTAGTTGTACATACAAAAAATGACCATCTTAAGCAAATCGATGTAACGAAACCATAGCTTGCATTTAATCGCGGCAACGCCATCTAGTTATAAAAATTGAACTAAATTAATGAACTTGCATTTTATGGTTTCGTTACTTTGGTCATCAACAAGTGGTTTGATACCCGGATCAGACAAAGTATTACTGAATTTTAAAAAATCTCTAGTACGGAGTCTGGAATTGTGCCCGGTATATGGCAATAGGCTCACCTCCTATTACATGGGACTCATAACATAAATAGTGAAAAGTGGGTGTTACATTGTACAGCGGCATTACGTGCTGTAATGTGCATCTCTATCTACTCCTTCGAAAATAAAAATCGTGATGTTATGTTATGATACTTATATTGTATAGTCCATTTATCGAGGAAGGCTATAGGCTATATAACATCACGCTGCGATCAATAGGAGCCGAGCAGAGCGGGCGCTACACAGCTCTTACCCTCTCTTACAGATACACGCAGCTATTCAACGCGACCGACCGCGCCAAGACGGGCTCTGTATCCGGCGCTCAAGCTCGGTCCATAATGCTACAGTCTAGGCTCGCCCAGCAGGCACTGGCTCAGATCTGGGCGCTAGCTGACCTGGACTCTGACGGCAAATTGGGTAAGTTATGGTATAAGCCCGTAAACGAGCAGACGGATCACCTGATGGTAAGCAATCGGCGTCGCCCATGGACATACGGAACACCAGAGGCGTTACAAGTACGTTACCGGCCTTCTGGATTAGGATTGTTGAGGATTCAGGGATTGGGGAAAGGGGGGAAGGGGGAGGGGGTAATTGGGCCTCCGGTAACCTCAGTCATACGACGAAACACAACACAACGTTGTTTCACGTCGGTCGAGCCGACCCATTCGTGCCGAAGCATGGCTCTCCCACACTTAAGTAATGTGAAGTACCTCTAATGCCTGGCTTACACTGAGTGGGTGACCCTTTTAGCATAGGCATGTTGTCAGCGTCTCTTTTCTAATTCTTCTGTTTCAATTTTTCAACTCAATGTTTTTATTACTTCCACTGTCACACCTTGATTGTCTTTTTTATATTTTATTTATGCTGCATCGTGCCTGGTGCTAAATAAATGTTTTTTCTTTCTTCTTTCTTTCTAATGAACGCCCGAATACTGAAAGGCTAAGTATTAACACTAAACACACACATTTCTCATCTTTCTCCTAGGCTGTGAAGAATTCGTGCTGGCGATGTATTTATGCGAGAAGGCGACTCAAGGTGAACCAGTGCCGGCGAAGTTACCTCCGGAACTCATACCACCTACATTCCGGTAAAGTTTTTATATATTTTTATGAGATAAGGCGGTAAACAAGTAGGGGAGCATTCAAGTATTACGTAACGCAATTTAGGGGGAGGGAGGACTCGTATAACGTTACGATGCGTTACAGGGGCGGGAGGGGGTCTTTTTAACACGTATTTATTTATTTAGGTCAGCCAACGACTGTTTACACATCATATTACAATGAATCGGTTTAGATACAATATGCATTTGCCAGTGTAACAATCAATTAAAGGCTAACACATCATGCTCAAGAGAATAGTTAGGTATTATCCTAAGTTTAAAAAATTAAATTAAATTAAACTGTCAAACACCAAGCGGTCACCGGTGACCGCGACCTATTGTTCTTTAATTGTGTCTATAAAACCGGTACTCGAAGAGTTAATAAACATAAAATACAACTATTAAATTAACACAAAAATTAAATTATTAAACACAAATAATAAATTCCCATAAACAGAAATCTATTTAAGGTGAACACACAATTAGAACAAACATAGACATTACGTAACATTGTTTCTTTCTTTGAATAAAAAATTAAGTAATTAATACTCCCAAATTGGCAACCCTTTTCGTTTACGTTTTACGGGGGAATCCCTCGATTGTATTGTACATCATTTATTTATTTATTTATAACTAGCTTTTACCCGCGGCTTCGCTCGCGTCACAAAAGGATAAAAAGCCAATGTGACATATACCAATACACACAACGCCATCTATACCAATACTTTTGTTTTCCCTCGGAAATATCAAATTTTTCTGGGATAAAAAGTACCCTATTATTTAATCCGGACTTCTAACTTTACGTCTGCAAAAGTTCAAAGCAATCGGTTTAGTAGTTACGGCGTGAAAGTGGAACAAACAAACAAACAAACAAACTCACTTTCCGATTTATAATATTATATATAGTAAGGATAACACTTCTGTATAATAAACATACGATGGCGGACTTAATGCCGGGTGGCATTCTCTAACAGTCAATTTAATGTCGTCAGTATTCATTAGTGTTTATGCAGAATCACATTGCTGTAATCGGTGTTATTGAGTTCATAGTGTTCATACAGTAATGTCCTCATAAGAGGGAGATTTGTATCATCAGCTGTTCTTGGCCTATAAAACCTCTCACGCTGATTTGCCAGCGCAACTGTGTCAAAAAAATGCCATTGCAATTTGGAAAACTGCTATAGAGATAACAACTATAATAAGTCATGGTATAGTTTGCGACTTTAAGGTAAAAATGATCACTTGAGTGTTACTTGACGTTTAGAGAGGGAGGGGGGACCAGAAAAACGTTAAGGAGGGGAGGGGGTGTCAAAAATCTTCCAAAATTGCGTTACGTAATACTTGAATGCTCCCTAGACGGATCACCTGTCGCGGAGAACCTAACGGGTAACCGGGGCTCCGGCTCGACGTGCAGGAGAAGGAACGGGGTGGTTTTAGTCAGTAAGAGTCTGACACTCCCTTCCGCCTCACCCAGGCGGGAGCAGACATACGATGATTTTCCCCCCTTAAAAAAAAAAAGACGGATCACCTGATGGTAAGCAACACTAGAGGAGTCTAAATGGGAATTAGGGATTTGAGAATGGGACCTCTATTAGGTCATACGGGTACCTGTAGAGTTGGGATGGACATTGAAACTGTCTATGAATAATCCTTTTATAATCTACCTTTAAAAAAGAAAAAGCAAGATTCCCCAAATTGTGAAAGAAAGAAAGAAAAAAAGAAGACTGCCTCGTTGGCCGAGTGGTCGCAAGTGCGACTGTCGGGCAAGGGGTCTCGGGTTCGATTCCCGGGTCGGGCAAAGTATTACTGGGTTTTTTTTTAAATATTCTCAGTAGTAGCACGGAGTCTGGAATTGTGCCCGGTATATGGCAATAGGCTCACCCCCTATTACATGGGAATCATAACATAAATAGTGAAAAGTGGATTTTACATTGTCCAGTGGCATAATGTGAACCTCTACCTACCCCTTCGGGGATAAAAGGCGTGATGTTATGTAAAAAAAAGAAGAATGTAACATTTTTTTTTCATTTACAGACGCGACTCAGTCTCTTCGAATACTAGTGCGAAGTCATACGAAGAGAGACGGAGAGAGAACATGGCGAGAGGACAGGCAGAACTCGAGAGGAGACGATCACAGCTAGCTGACGCTGCTATGAAAGAGAAGGTAACTATCATGTCGTCCGCCGAAGTGAACCCGTCGAGCGTCCGCGTTCCTTATGATCCAACGGGTGCACACGTGACATTTGGAGAAAGAAAGAAAGAAAATGCATTTATTTGGCTATTGGCACACAAAAACAAGGATCATTACAATAGAAATAAAACAAATACAGTCAAAATAAAAACAAAACATTAATAATCCTTACTAATATTATAAATCGGAAAGTGATTTTGTTTGTTTGTTTGTTCAACTTTCACGCCGTAACTACTAAACCTATTGCTTTGAATTTTTGCAGACGTAAAGTTAGAAGTCGGGATTAAATAATAGGGTAATTTTTATCCCGGAAAAATTTGATATTCTCGAGGGAAAACGAAATTATTGGTATAGATGGCGCTGTGTGTAGTAGTATATGTCACATAGGCTACTTTTTATCCTTTTGTGACGCGAGCGAAGCCGCGGGTAAATGCTAGTAGATTTTATAAAAGAGAAAGCAGCATGGAGCATTTTTTCTTATGATCCACCGGGTGCTCATAAGGACGCTCTAAGGGATAAACTGTCAAACACCGCGAGGACACCGGTGACCGCAACCTATTGTTCTTTAATTTTGTCTACAATGACGGTACTCAAAGGGTTAAGACAGGTTCAGGAGTCATCTTTATCAACAGCCTAGCCTACAATAGGGTAGATGCCTAATTTTTATTTTAATGTCCGTCTGGTAGATTATTTTAAATCATTAGACACGTATTTTTTATTTTCTTACAGAAACGAATACTTTCGACGATATATTGATTTGAAATGTCGCGTGACGTCACTTCTATACGTACATTTTATACGTAGAAATGACGTTTTAGCCCCCACTGCTAAACTTTGTTTCGTTTTATCTAAGTACGACAAAATAAAAAAATACGTGTCTAATATTTTTTCATTACTTAACTGACGGACTAATTAGATTTTAAATTTTCATACCCTGTCATCATCCCAATTATGCCACGAGAAAAAGCCTCTTCTCACACGGAGTAGGTTTGAGCATTAATCACCACTTTTGCTCAATGGTGGTTGGCGATTACAAACTTATAATATGAAATTATAAGCCCAGGTTTCCTCACCATGTTTTCCTTCACCGTTTGTCAGTGGTGTGTAAATAATCTTAGCGAGTTGCGACATTACTGAATTGAACAGGTCTTTTGGCGATGCGCAAATTGCGCAATGCTCTTGTGATGAATCTTTGATTAATTTTTGTGTTTGTATATTACAAAAAATAATGTGAATTCATCTATTTTTTTTTTCTCTTTTCATCGCTTTCTATAGGAGGCTGAGGTAAAAACCAATTTTTATATACATACATAACATCACGCTTTTTACCTCCGAAGAGATAGGCAGAGGTGCACATTACGGCACTTAATGCCACTGTACAATGTAACACCCACTTTTCACTATTTATGTTATGAGTCCCATGTAATAGGGGGTGAGCCTATTGCTATATATCGGGCACAGTTCCAGACTCCGTGCTACTACTGAGATTTTTTATAACCTAGTAATATTTTTTTATGGCATAAGCCGGTAAGCGAGCGGACGGATCACCTGATGGTAAGCAAACACCATTAGTTTGTTTTTAAATCTTTATATATATAATTCTTCTGTGAGTGTGTATGTCACTGAACTTCTCTCAAACGACTGGACCGATTTTGATGAAATTTTTTGTGTGTGTTCAAGGGGATCTGGGAATGGTTTAGATTCATAAATCAGCCCGGCAGATGGCGCTGCAGTCGATGTTTAGGTTATTTATCCTAAACAGCTGAACTAATTTGAATGAATTTTTGTTTATACATTCAAGTGGATATGCAGGACAACGTCTGTTGGGTCCGCTAGTATATATAATAATTCCTAAATAACTAAATTTATTAATTATTATTTTTCTACTTTCATAGGCTGAAAGAGAGCGTAAAGAACGCGAAGAAGCGGAGAAGCGAGAGAAGTTGCGTCTAGAAGCTCAGAAGCGGGAGCAAGAAGAGTTGCTTCGGAAGCAAAAGGAAGAACAAGTAAGCATACATACATAACTTCACGCCTGTCTTCCATGGGGGTGAGCAGAGACTATGGAACATGCAATTTTGACGGCATGATTATCGCGGTGGCTGGGCAACTGGCTGACGCGCAACGTGTCGCGGGTTCGATTCCCGCACGGAACAACTGTTTGTGTGATCCACAGATCTTTGTTTCCGTGTCTGTGTGTCGTGTGTTTGTGAATTTGTATGTTTGTAAACGTACACACGACATTATTTTTGTCGAATATGTTTATTGATTTATTATTATTTTTTCGTTTTTTAGGAAAAACGCGAGGCGGCTCGTAAAGAAATGGAGCGTCAATGTCAACTTGAGTGGGAGAAGAAACGGTACGTCAAAATAAATCATACCATCACGCCTTTTTACACCCGAAGGCTTTTTTTTAAGGGAGGAAAATCATCGAATGACACTCCCTCCCGCCTGGGTAAGGTGGGAGGGAGTGTCAGACTCTTACTGACTAAAAACCACCCCGTTCCTTCTCCTGCACGTCGAGCCGGAGCCCCGGTTACCCGTTAGGTTCTCCGCGACACCCCCGAAGGGGTAGGCAGAGGTGCACTTAATGCCACTGTACAATGTAACACTCACTTTTCACTATTTATGTTATGAGTCCCATGTATATAGTGGTCCCAAGTGCGACAGCCGGGCAAGGGGTCTCGGGTTCGATTCCCGGGTCGGGCTAAGTATTACTGGGTTTTTTAAAAACTGTAGTAGCACGGAGTCTGGAAATGAGCCCGGTATCCTTATACCACCACTAGGTTCACCCCCTATGACGTCCCCTCCTGTGACGTCAGCGTTTTTTTTTTTTTTTAAATATTATAAATTATTTCTCCACCGACTCTAGGTCCGTGCCCTTGTCATACAGTTTTTTAATTATAATACATCTTGTCAATTTCTATAAAGTAAAGAGGGAACCTAGTTACACACTACAATTAACTACATCTATAATTATTACCAAAAGTATAGGTTACATAATAATTACGCACTATTTATTTATTTCTATTTCACGTCAGACGTCAGCGTTACAAGCGCAATAGATAAGACTCTTGGGTTTGATTCTTGCTTAAAGCTAAATATGTAAAATTAATTTGAAAAACTTAACTTTGACTGCCGCGTTGGCCGAGTGGTCGTAAGTGCAACTGCCGGGCAAGGGGTCTCGGGTTCGATTCCCGGGTCGGGCAAAGTATTGCTGGGTTTTTTTTTTAATATTGTCAGTAGTAGCAGGGAGTCTGGAATTGTGCCCGGTATATGGCAATAGGATCACCCCCTATTACATGAGACTCATAACATAAATAGTGAAAAGTGGGTGTTACATTGTACAGTGGCATTAAGTGCCGTAATGTGCACCTCTGTTTACTCCTTCGAGGATAAAAGGCGTGATGTTATGTTATGTAATTTGAATAACATGTAAAATTACTTCATCTTCAACATCTTATTGTAACCTATGATCTACAAATAATAAAGTTAATTGGTTTTCAAACAGTGCGGGTTCGAAACCTACCAACGGCAAGTACCAATGTGACTTTTTCCGAGTTATATGTACTTTCTAAGATTATTCAGACACCACTGACAAACGGTGAAGGAAAACATCGGGAGGAAACCTAGACTTGTAATTTTTAAGTATAAGTTTGAAATCGTCCCCGCATTGAGCAAGCGTGGTGGTTAATGCTTAAACCTTCTCCGTGTGAGAAGAGGCCTTTGGTCAGCAGTGGACACTTCTAAGCTGTTGATTTTTAACTGTTGACTGCACGGTTGGTGCGGTGGCTGGGCAACTGGCTGCCGCGCAACGTGTCGCGGGTACGATTCCCGCACGGAACAACACTTTGTGTGATCCACAAATTGTTGTTTCGGGTCTATGTGTGATGTGTATGTGAACTTGTATGTTTGTAAACGTACACACGACACAGGAGAAAATCCTAATGTGGGGCAACGTTTTATTTAAAAGTAAAAGTGACAATATGAATCTTCTCCATTCTTCTTCTTCTAGAACGAGGGAACTAGAAGCGATGCGCACAGAAGAACAATCGAAAGTCCTATCCCTGAAAGCCAAAAGCCAGAGTGTGTCAGCAGAATTAAACTCAGTAGTACTACGCGCCAGTAACTTGGCCAAGGACATCCGGGAGACAAGGACTAGTGTTGCAGCCGCCAAATGTACTATTGATGGCATGAGGTATGTTTATGTGATTAGTGACCCCAGATTGTGTGGCTAGTGACCCCCAGATTTTGTGACTAGTGACCCCAGATTGTGTGAATGGTGACCCCAGATGTTGTTATTATTGAACCCAAAATTTGTGACTTAGTGATCTCATATTATGTGATTTTGACCCCCGATTTTGTGACTGGTGACCCCAGACATGTGATTATTGACCCTAGATTTGTGACCAGTGACCCCTAGATTGTGTGACTGGTGACCCCCAGATAGTGTGACTGGTGACCCCAGATTGTGTGACTGGTGACCCCAGACGTTGTGATTATTGTCCCCAGATTCTGAGATTATTGACCCTAGATTTTGAGATTATTGACCCTAGATTTTGAGATTATTGACCCTAGATTTTGAGATTATTGACCCCCAGATTGTGTGAATGATGACCCCCAGATTTTGTGACCAGTGGCCCCCCGATTGTGTGATTGGTGACTCCAGGTGTTGTGATTATTGACCTTATATTTTGTGACTAGTCACACCAGTTTTTGAGACTAGTGGTCCCGGTTTTTGTGACAAGTCAACCCAGTTTTTGTTATTTTAACCTTAATTTATTTGTGGAGATGACAACTATTTTTAACTTAATGACCAGTCACTTAAAACTCTTATTGGAGAAGCCGGTAAACGAGCATACGGATCACCTGATGGTAAGCAATCGGCGTCGCCCATGGACACCTGGAACACCAGAGGCGTTACAAATGCGTTACCGGCCTTTTGGGGATGCCAGAGCCATACTTCGGCACTGCTGGCTTTTATCATGTAAACCTCACAGAAAACCGACGTGAAGCAACGCTTGCGTTGTGTTTCGTCGTGTGAGTGAGGTTACCGGAGGCCCAATTACCCTCCCCTTCTCCAATCTCCCCAATTCCTGAATCCACAACGATTCTCAAACTCCTAATCCCCAAAAGGCCGGCAACGCACTTGTAAAGCCTCTGGTATTCCGTGTGTCCATGGGCGACGCTGATTGCTTACCATCAGGTGATCCGTCAGCTCATTTACTGGCTTATCACATAAATCATACTCACTTTTCTATTACCGTTACTGTTACCTAGTTGCATCACTATATCTAAATGCCCCCCTAAACATATAGGTCGGACCGCGACTCGAGTATGGCAGAGATGCAGCAACTGAAGGCTCGAGTAAAAGAACTTAATGCCAAGCAGATCGCTCTGAACAAGGAGAAGGCGGAACTCGATGCTAAGGTGAGCTGCTGTATTTCAGGAGTAGCTTACAAATAAGGGAAAAAAATTAAAATTACATTATATATATACAACATGTAACTTAAATAACGCACATCCTGAAAATAGTTTGTTCAGAATCGTCAACTGAATCGATTTATATAATTTTTAGTATAGGTAATTTTTTATCCCAAAAATAATCAAAACTACGGAAATTATTGTCATATTAACCCTGCATTGTTAAAACAAATCGAAATGGACCGTAAGTTTGTGTTCATACAAATTATATCATTCAATACTAAATAAAGAAAAATAAACCTTATGACAAGACCAGTAAGGATGCATATATATGTTAATTTAAAAATTTTGTGTATGTATTATGATTATAACATAATATTCTAATTGGGGTGTTTGAGGGTGTGCGTTAATTACGTTACATGTTGTATATATATTTCAATTCATTCTTAAAGCCGATTTTTCTAACGCCAGATAAATTTTAACTAAGGAATAACTTTGGAATATTTGACAATAGAGTAGTTTCCAGGGTATCAAAATTAAAAATCTAATTAGTCCGTCAGTTAGATAATGAAAAAATATTAGACACGTATTTTTTTAATTTCTCGTATTAAGTTGCAATACTTAGATAAAATAGCGCTAAGTTTAGGAGTGGGAGGTCGTTACGTCATAAAGCGCTACAAAATGTGGCACGCTGTGACGTCACACGTTTTTAAAAAAAATTGTTGACGTTCAAAAGTGTCTTCCTCGTCTTGTCGAAGTAAATGTTTTTGCTTTCGATCGTCAAATCAATAAATGAAATGTAAATATTTACTGTATTGAAAACTCGAAACAATTCATTTTTGACATATTTATTTATTTGTTTTTTTTTGTCCAGGCTAAAGCATCTGAGGGTGCAGGCGAAGACGGGAAGCTGAACATGATGGAGATCACCCTCAAACAACTGAGGGATAAGGTACGCATATCTTAGTAATAAAGTGTGAGAGAGCCATGCTTCGGCACGAATGGGCCGGCTCGACCGGAGTGATACCACCAACGAGCAGAAAACCGACGTGAAGCAACGCTTGCGTTGTGTTTCGTCGTGTGAGTGAGGTTACCGGAGGCTCAATTACCGTCCCCAATCCCTGAATCCCCAATGATTCTCAAACTCGTAATCCCCAATAGGCCGGTAACGCACTTGTAACGTCTCTGGTGTTTTATGTGTCCATGGGCGACGCCGATTGCTTACCATCAGGTGATCCGTCGGCTCGTTTACCGGCTTATGCCATAAAAAAATCTGAGTTCGATGCTCGGGTCGAGTTAATAGTCTACCTTTCCATTCGCGACATTATAAGTTCAAAAATATTGTCTTTTTTCACAGGTCGAAGCAGCGAAAGCGCTAGTGGAAAGCAAGAAGCAAGACCTGGAAACCAATAAAGCCCAGCTCTCAGAGCTTAACAATACAGTGACTGAGCTGGGAGAGAAGTGCGCGCGAGTGTGGAAGCTGTATGAAGAGAAACGAGAGGAGTATCTCAGTAGGAGCTCAGCCCCGGCTGAGAGTGCTTGGAATGCAGGTAGGAAGTATATTTACTAACTCCTAAGTATTTTTGGGAGAGCCTTGCTTGCGCACGAATGCGCCGGCTCGACCGGAGTGATACCACGGCCGAGCAGAAAACCGACGTGAAGCAACGCTTGCGTTGTGTTTCGTCGTGTGAGTGGAGGAGGAGGCCCAATAGGGTAGACGACTAATTTTTATTTTAATGTTCGTCTGGTAGATTATTTAAAAACATTACACACGTATTTTTTTCACAGAAACGAATAGTTTCGAAGATATATTGATTTGAAATGTCGCGTGACGTCACTTCTCAGTACATTTTATACTAAGAAATGACGTTTTAGCCCCCACTCCTAAACTTTGATTCTTTTTATCTAAGTATTGTTTTATTATACGACAAAATAAAAAAATACGTGTCTAATATTTTTTTCATTACCTAACTTACGGACTAATTATATTTTTAATTTTCATACCCTGTCATCATCCCCATTACCCCCTTTCCCCAGTCTCCCCACTCCCTGAATCCTCCACAATCCTCATATTCTCAATCCTCAAAAGGCCGGTAACGCACTTGTAACGCCTTTGGTGTTTCAGGTGCCCTTGGGCGACGCCGATTGCCTACACCATACAAAAAGTATTTTAATGAAAGTCAAAACTATCTTGTGACATACTAAATTAACTAAAATCGCGGGTTACTCACGTGAATATACTGAGAAAAGCTCTACTAGTTTCGAACCACAGAGGGGTTCTTCCTCATGTGTATGTGAAAGTGTTTGCAAACGTACACACGACACAGGAGACTATAAGCAGAAAAAAATAATTTCTGTGAGGTTTCTGTTTTTTATGGCATAAGCCGATAAAGGAGTAGACAGATCACCTGATGGTAAGCAATCGGCGTCACCCAGGCGGGAGAAGTCATTCGATGATTTTCCCCCCTTAAAAAAAAGCAATCGGCGTCGCCCAAGTGCGTTACTGGCCTTTTGGGGATTAGGAATTAGTGGATTGTTGGGGATTCAGGGGTTGGGGAAATTGGGGAGAGGAGGGGGTGTAATTGGGCTTCTGGTAACCTCACTCACACGACTACAACGCTGTGTGTTCCACTATGGTTTTCTGCTCGTTGGTGGTATCACTCAGTAGTGCCGAAACATGGCTCTCCCACACTTAGTTTAACCAAAGTATGACTTTAACATAAAATAACATCACGCCGTTTATCCCAGTAGCGGTAGGCAGAAGTGCACATTATGCCACTGTACAATGTAACACCCACTTTTCACTATTTATGTTATGAGTCCCATGTAATAGGGGGTGAGCCTATTGCCATATACCGGGCACAATTCCAGATTCCGTGCTACTACTGAGATTTTTTAAAAACCCAGTAATACTTTTTATGGGATAACCCGGTAAACGAGCAGACGGATCACCTGATGGTAAGCAATCGGCGTCGCCCATGGACACCTGAAACACCATTAGTTTGTTTTTAAATCTTTATATATATATAATTCTTCTGCGAGTGTGTATGTTACTACTGAGAATTTTTAAAAACCCAGTGGCAGTCGCACTTGCGACCGCTCGGCCAACGAGGCAGTCAATAACATTAAAATATATATTTATAGAAGCGGACTGGGGTACGACAGCGAATGACGCATGGGGCGAGGAGCCCGCCTCTGACAACGCCTGGGGAGATGCACCCGCTACCACTGGTGAGTATCTTTATTATACAGTCGCGGGGAACCTAACGGGTAACCGGGGCTCCGGCTCGACGTGCAGGAGAAGGAACGGGGTGGTTTTTAGTCAGTAAGAGTCTGACACTCCCTCCCGCCTCACTCAGGCGGGAGCAGTCATTCGATGATTATCCCCCCTTAAAAAAAATAATCTTTATTATACAAGGTGTAGTTTTGAAACCGTGACATTTCTCGGGGGCATGTCACAGAAATCATAAAGGTTCAATGTAAGAGAAAGTCTCGGGCCAATAGTTAAAAATACGGCTATAATAAATCGTTTAAGTTCGACAGTATTTCAGAATAAGCGACAGCAATGTTTCTTATTGGAGTTTTATGGAATTAGGAATAATATCAATTACGTGTTTGAGTTTGTGTGAGTTGAGCCGCGTTATAAAGCTAGTTACAAGACGGCGGCGTGTAGTTCGCACTTACGGATTTCCGTAATTTACAGAAAAATGAAAAATATTTAACTACAATTTTTTTATTGATTCGGACTCAGAATCAAGTGAAACAAGTGAATTTATTTCTGCAAATAGGCTACAAGGCAGCACTTTTACACGTCAATTTTATCAAGCGGACGATGAGGTCGACATTTCCTAACTGACTACTCTGAGAAGAAATGCCGAAACAAACTCAGAGGTCTGTCTCTTTTAAAGTCCAGATAATATGTATAATAGATTATGTGTGAGAACCGTGCAAGTTCTTTCTGTAGTGGCCTTTTGAGGAAAGAACCACAACAGTTTGAGCGGACCCGTTCTGAAGGCAGTACGCATGTGTCGGTTTACAGTCGGCTCTATTAACAGGTGAGGCTGACTGATTCGACGAACAATACCAACCTAAAGAACATTTGCGTGGGTCACACAAAAACTCAAGCTATCAGAATATTATGGGTAATTAGAAAAGAAATGGCGAGGCAAAGTCTCGCACGGTCCTAGCACTAACAATTGTAAAGGAAAATAAGGAAATCGGTAGCCGAGTTACCTCCTAGAGAATAACACGGCTTTAAAACAACACCTTGTATACTAGCTTCTGTTCCCGGCTTCGTCCGCGTTCCTGTGGAATAAAAAGTAGCCTATGTGTTATTCCACATCATAATCTACCCTTGTTTCAAATTTGATCGCGATCCCTTCAGCCGTATTGATGTGATTAAGTAACAAACATACACTAAAACACATAAATTTTCGCATATTTATAATACTAGCTTTTACCCGCGGCTTTGCTCGCATCACAAAAGGATAAAAAGTAACCTATGTGACATATACCAATACATACAGCGCCATCTATACCAAAACTTTTGTTTTCAATCGGGAATATCAAATTTTTTCGGGATAAAAAGTACCCTATTATTTAATCCGGACTTCTAACTATACGTCTGCAAAAATTCAGAGCAATCGGTTTAGTAGTTACGGCGTGAAAGCGAAACAAACAAACAAACTCACTTTCCGATTTATAATATTAGTATGATTGTTTACTAAGTACTCCGCTGCTCGACTCCTATTAGACGTAGCATGATGTTTTTATAGCTAGTAGCATAACATCACGCCTTTTATCCCCGAATGGGTAGGCAGAGGTGCACATTACGGCACTTAATGCCACTGTACAATGTAACACCCACTTTTCACTATTTATGTTATGAGTCCCATGTAATAGGGGGTGAGCCTATTGCCATATACCGGACACATTTCCAAACTCCGTGAGATTGTTAAAAACCCAGTAATACTTTGTCCGACCCGATAATCGAACCCGAGACCTCTTGCCCGAGTCGCACTTGCGACCACTCGGCCAACAAGGCAACACATACTTGTAATATATGCCAAAATTAGCCAAATGAGTAAAACTAACTTTTATTTTGCTTTCCACACGCTATTGTTTTCTCTTATCGCTCCGTCAGCTCGGTCACCTGTAAACCTACCAATTTAAATATCACTTCTTCATTATATCACTAGTGTTTAACCGCGACTTCTTGCGAGCTTTATTAAACTAGTTTTCGTGCTGCTAAACATAGGTACGATGTCGCGGGAACCTAATGGGTTGCCGGGGCTCCGGCTCGACGTGCAGGAGAAGGAACGGGGTGGTTCTTAGTCAGTAAGAGTCTGACACTCCCGTCTCACCCAGGCGGGAGGAGTCATTCGATGATTTTCCCCCCTTAAAAAAACATAGGTACGATTCTCGAGACGGTAAACAATTTTTTTTTTAAAACGTTTTCCCATTAGGATTTTCTCCTGTGTCGTGGGTGCGTTTACAAACATACAAGTTCACATACACATGACACCCAGACACGGAACAACAATTTGTGGATCACACAAAGTGTTGTTCCGTGCGGGAATCGAACCCGCGACACGTTGCACAGCAGCCGGTTGCCCAGCCACCACACCAACCGTGCAGTCGAAATAATGGGGACTTACAGAAAATTTCTCAAAAACAGCACACATTTATTAATTCTGTAGGAGATTGCGTTTTATAATAGTTTTATAAGACTTAAGAGAGAAGACTTTTTGAGAGAGGTTCTTATTTTTATTTTTTAAATGTCTAGAACAATATAAAAATTAAGTACACACTACATTTTATATGCCTTCATTTTAAAGGTCTCCCTAATCCTCAACAATCCTCAAATACTTAATCACCAACAATCCTCAAATTCCTAATCCCCAATAATCCTCAAATTCCTAATCCCCGACAATCCTCAAATTCCTTATCCCCAATAATCCTCAAATTCATAATCCCCAACAAGCCTCAAATTCCTAATCCCACACAGTCCTTTAATTCCTAATCCCTAACAATCCTCAAATTCCTAATCCCTAACAATCTTCAAAAACCTAATCTCCAACAATCCTCAAATTCCTAATCCCCAAAAGGCCGGTAACGCACTTGTAACGCCTCTGGTGTTCCAGGTGTCCATGATCGATGCCAATTGCTTCCAATCAGGTGATCGGTCTGCTCGTTTACCAGCTTATTCCATAAAAAATGATTGATTTCTGACTACGGAAAGTACCCAATTTTTATATTAGCAAAATATCCGAGTGTCTATCTCAAAATGGCCGTATTATAAGTACTGCTAAACTTTTTTACGCCTTATTTCTTTACACTCAAAGTTGGATTCTGATTAGCATGCAACGTGTACATGTGAACAATTTTTTTATACGATATTCATATTTGTGTTAATAGTTAAAATAAACTTTATAATAATGTGTGTTTCGGATTATTTTTGTTTGACTGCCGCAGTGTTGCTAGGTATGTGTTAAAAGCAGTAACGTTTTTATTATAACGGCACTCGGGCCCCCATACTCAGGGGCAATTTCTACCATCCGCGCGGAGCAAATCTTTGTGTGATCCACAAATTTTTGTTTCGGGTCTGTGTGTCATGTGTATGTGAACTTGTGTGTTTGTAAACGCACCCACAGGAGCAACATACAGGAGAAAATCTTAGTGAAACGTTAAAAAAAAACATTCTATAAGGACCGCGAAATATTTTGAGCCTAAAGGCCCCAGCGTGTAAGCACGGGCCTGCGGACGGCGAGCTCGGGTGACTCGCCCCCCGACCAGAACCAGACCCGAGCGTATGGCGCGTCGCGTCCCGCGCGCGCATCAAAGAGCCATCAGACCTCCACAGATGGGCTCCACAAGGGTTATTTTTATAATAATTATCATCAGACGTACTAAATTAACTAAAATCGCGGGTTACTCACGTGAATATACTGAGAAAAGCTCTACTAGTTTCGAACCACAGAGGGGTTCTTCCTCATGAGCAGCGTGCGCGGTCGGATGTCGGTGGGCTTTTTTTAAGGTGGGATAATCATCGACTGACTCGGTGAGGCGGGGGGGAGTGTCAGACTCTTACTGACTAAAACCCACCCCGTTCATACTCCTGCACTTCGAGCCGGAGTTCAGGTAACCCGTTCGGTTCTCCGCGACTCCGTATCGGCATCAGCCCTATTGGCCCCATCTGTGGTGGTCTGATGGCTCTTTGAAGTGCAGAAGTAGGAACGGGGTGGTTTTTAGTCAGTTAGAGTCTGACACTCCCTCTCGCCTCACCCGGGCGAGAGAGGACATTGGGTAATTTACCCACCTTAAAAAAATGGCCCCACCATAGTCTGAGACGGACCTGGCTACCTCTAGGGTTGCAGGTGTACTTGGAATACGGTGTCTGCTTATTATCACGACAACTGTAAGCTTTGTCACTACCGATATCTTGTAAACCTGATTGAAAAAGAGTAACCTATGGAGTTTCTTGCTCGTTCTTCTCCATAGGAATCTACACCTTGGAATGAGCAAATACCTTCCATTTTTTGTTGACGTTTAAAAGTGCCCTCTTGAAATAAATGATTTTGACTTTGACTCAGTCGGGTATACGACACCCACGGGAAGAAAAGGGGTGGTGATAAATATATTGTACTCTATCCTCTTCACCACAGCTTCCTAATACCACTTAAGGTTATACATATAAAATGGGAAGTTAATAATTTTATGTATGTTTACAGCTATAGAACCGGTGCCTTCGTCGACTGCTCCTAGATGGCGCTGTGTGTACGAGTTTACAGCGCGCACTGCTGATGAACTCAGTCTACAGCCCGGCGACTTGGTGAGTGAATAATAATCATTAAAACAACCACAACAACATTATACATGCAAATTTTACAACAAAAAATCCGTTTTTAAAACATATTACTGACTCAGGCAGACTCATTCTCACTCAATTACTCTCACTTACTCTCACTCTTCCTCACTCACCCACTTTCATTTACTTACACCTACATTCATTTATTCACACAGGCACTCATTCAAGTCACACTCATCTCCTTCATCATCTCCATTCATACTAACTCACAGAAATACGCGGTTACTCAGCCAGTACTCATGTGGACTCACCCACACTCGCTTACTCACTTACTCACTCACTCACCTCACACCACACTCACATTCAATCATTTACACATGCGTGTTTTTAAACGCACTCGCGTAAGGAGAATCCTAGTATGAGATAATTTCTTGCATGAAGGCTTTGTGTAAATATTTTTAATTTTGTTTGTATCAGGTCAGCGATGCTCAGCCACCTCGCGGTGATGCCGAGCCTGGCTGGAGATGGGGAACTGCTAGAGGTAATGATTTTTTATGGGATAAGCCGGTAAACGAGTAGCCGGATCACCTGATGGTAAGCCATCGGCGTCGCACATGGACACCTGGAACACCAGCAGCTGTAGCCAAATGCCATTTAGCGCTTGTCTACATGTAGAATAGATCCCCATACATTTTGATTTCTACTCTCTCTGTAGACAAGCGCTAAAGTGGCGTTTGGCTAAAGGCACTGAGGCATTACAAGTGCGTTATTAGGAATTTGGGGATTGTTGGGGATTCGGGGATTTTTACATTAATTAATGATTTTATGCAATGTAACACTTTGATTTATTAATTTATAACATTAAATAAATAATTATTATTTATAACACTCCTTAGCTGAATTGAGAATTTAGAACCGTTTCAAACCGTTTGTCTCGTTGGCCGAGTGGTCGCAAGTGTGTCTACCGGACAAAGGGTCTCGGGTTCGATTCCCGGGTCAGGCAAAGTATAATAGGTATATCTCAGTTGTAGCACGGAATCTGAAATTGTTCCCGGTATATGGCAATAGGCTCAGCCCCTATTACATGGGACTCATAACTTAAATAGTGAAAAGTGAATGTTACATTGTACAGTGGCATTAAGTGCCGTAATGTACACCTCTGCCTTCCCCTTCGGGAATATAAGGCGTGATGTTGTTTCCATTTCAAAGTCGTTTAAAATTCCCCTTTTTTTACAGGCCAATCGGGGTGGTTCCCTGAGTCTTACGTGGAAGATATCAACGCTCATGCGTCGTACAGCGAGGTCGTTGAACCCATGGAGACGAAGACTCAATTGGAAGGCATTGCGGAAGTGCCTGAAGCTGAAATGGCGAACGATCTCGGTGGAGCCATGCCCGTAGTCCGTAAGTAGAATAAAAGAGTCAAACGAGCAGACGGATCACCTGATGGTAAGCAATCGGTATCGCCCATGGACACACGGAACACCAGAGGCGTTACAGGTGCGTTACTGGCTTTTTGGGGATTAGGAGTTTAGGGAAGGGGGAGGAGGGATATTGAGCCTCCGGTAATCTCACTCACACGACGAAACACAACGCTGTGGTTGCTTCGGTCGGTTTTCTGCTCGGCCGTAGAATCACTCCGGTCGAGCCGGCCCATTCGTGCCGAAGCATGGCTCCCCCACACTAGTAAGCTCTCCCACGCCGGCCGCGCCGGTGTTTGCCCCCCCCCCCCCCTCGGCGCGACACTGCTGCCAGTGACACACGCCAGCCTCGCTCGCCGGCGGCTGCGTTGGTGTTAGGTTCGAATCCCGAGTCGACACAAAAACAGTGTTACACAGCGGATCGCGGGACGATCTCCGGCCACCGTAAGCGCGGGCCTGCGGACATAGAGCATGGGTGGCTCCCCGTCCGACCAGAAACAGACCCGAGCGGACGGCGCCGAGCGTTCCGCGCGCGCCTCAAAGAGCCATCAGACCACCACAGATGGGGCCCAATAGGGCCGATGCCGATTCGGAGTCGCGGAGAACCTAACGGGTAACCGGGGCTCCGGCTCGACGTGCAGGAGAAGGAACGGGGTGGTTTTTAGTCAGTAAGAGTCTGACACTCCCTCCCGCCTCACCCAGGCGGGAGCAAACAGTCGATGATTTTCCCCCCTTAAAAAAAGGTAGCTGATATATTAAGAAGTAACTTAGGATACTTCTATAGTCTACAGAACACAATATATATATTTACAGAAGGCGGTGATTTCTACATCGCCGCGTATCCGTATACGTCAGCTGAGCCAGGCGACCTTACCTTCGAGGCCGGGGAGAGGATCGAGGTCATACGGAGGGATGGGGATTGGTGGACTGGAAGAATCGGTATCAGGTATGTAATAGTTATACATTAAGGTACCACCGTCACTCTTGACGCGGGTGTCGTATACCCGACTGAGAGGGTGAGGTTTTTTTAACATTGCCCCACACTATGATTGTCTCCTGTGTCGTGTGTACGTTTACAAACATACAAGTTCACATACACGTCTATGGAGCATACAAAGAGTCGTTTGTAGAGTTTGGGAGTTTTTAGACTGGGTTGAGGAGAATTTAGAGTGACATAGGAACTTTAAGTTTAAGTTGGGGTAAATTTAAAGCATATCTCTCTAAATTTAGAGAGAGGTTCTCGCACATTTTAGTATTCCTGGACTTTAAGAGACAATGATCTCTGAGTTTATGTCGGCGTTTCTTCTCAGAGTAGTCAGTCAGGAGATGCCGGCCCTCGTCTAGTGATTTAAAGATTGACCATTTGCGGAAATAAATATCATTTGACGGCACGGTTGGCGCGGTGGTTAGGCAACTGACCACCGCGCAACGTGTCGCGGGTTCGATTCCCGCACAGATTAACTCTTTGATGTGATCCACAGATTGTAGTTCGGTATCTGTGTGTCGTGTGTATGTGAACTTGTATGTTTGTAAACGCACACACGACACAGGAGACAATCTTAGTTAAGCAACGTTTAAAAAAAATTGCAATACATTTTTTTAATGGCCTGCCTCATTAGCCGAGTGGTCGCAAGTGCGACTGTCGGGCAAGGGGTCTCGGGTTCGATTCCCGGGTCGGGCAAAGTATTACTGGGTTTTTCTCAGTGGTAGCACGGAGTCTGGAACTGTGCCCGGTATACGACAATAGGCTCACCCCCTATTACATGGGACTCATAACATAAACAGTGAAAAGTGGGTGTTACATTACAGTGGCATTAAGTGCCGTAATGTGCACCTCTGCCTACCCTTTCGGGGATAAAAGGCGTGATGTTATGTATGTATTTTGACGTGACAACGTCTTATAAATTGGTTTGCCGGGTGACACTTCAACAAACTGCGTTACGCTCCGCTCACGTTATGCGCTCACAACGAGAGCGAGTGAGAGGCACGCGTCCCTTCCACTCGGTCATGGTTAGCCCGCCTAAGAGCGAGAGAGACAGAACGAGAGAGAGAGAGAGAGTGAGAGAGATAGGCAAATTATTTTACCACTCAAAGTCGTTGTCACGTAAAACTTTCGCCCGTATACCGACTTTACAGGCAACCAATTTTTTTTAAAACAAATATATTTTTTTACCCTCCAGAACCGGCATCTTCCCCTCAAACTACGTGACTAAAGATACCACCACGACGGTGGACGTGATAGCGTCCATCCCCGAGGCCGAGGAGATTGCTGACGGACAGACTGACGTCGCCCCAGCGCTGCCACAACAAAACGCTGCGCCGTACTCTCCGCCTGTACAGGTGCGACCCATCTTTTTCTATACCTCGCTTTTTGTAGATGCTACAAGTGTAGGTGTACGGTTCGTACACTTGCAGATTATAGTTAACTAGCTTTTACCCGCGGCTTCGCTCGCGTCACAAAAGAATAAAAAGTAGCCTATGTGACATATACCAATACACACAGCGCCATCTATACCAATACTTTTGTTTTTCCTCGGGAATATCAATTTTTCCGGGTTAAAAAGTACCCTATTATTTAATCCGGACTTCTAACTTTACGTCTGCAAAAATTCAAAGCAATCGGTTTAGTAGTTACGGCGTGAAAGTGGAACAAACAAACAAACAAACTCACTTAGATTTATAATATTAGTAAGGACTAGTAAGGATTGTTGGAGTGTGAAGAGAAAGGAATACGAAGTTGTGGTTGAAGAAGTAAATTGTATTATTATTATTATTTTTTATGGTCATCAACAGCCTATAAATGCCCACTGCTGAGCAAAGCCTCTTCTCACACGGAGAAGGTTTGAGCATTAATCACCACGCTTGCTCAATGCGGGTTGGCGATTACAAACTTATAATTAGAAATTATAAATCCAGGTTTCCTCACGATGTTTTCCTTCACCGTTTGTCAGTGGTGTCTGAATAATCTTAGAAAGTATATATAACTCGGAAATAGTCACATTGGTACTTGCCGTTGGTAGGTTTCGAACCCGCACCCTCATGCATGAGAAGCGGGCGTTTTACACCTCCGGGCCACCGCGACACCAATTGGATGAATGGAATGAAATGAAATCGTTTATTTGTAAACATAGGTTAGGATAAAGGACTGCCTCGTTGGCCAAGTGGTCGCAATTGCGACTGCCGGGTAAGGGGTCTCGGGTTCGATTCTCGGGTCGGGCAAAGTATTACTGGGTTTTAAAAAAAAATCTCAGTAGTAGCACGGAGTCTGGAACTGTGCCCGGTATATGGCAATAGGCTCACCCCCTATTACATGGGACTCATGACATAAATAGTGAAAAGTGGGTGTTACATTGTGCAGTGGTATAATGTGCACCTCTGCCTACCCCTTCGAGGATAAAAGGCGTGATGTTATGTTATGTAAGTTATATAAAGTTGTTTGAATGATTGACATAATACAGCGAGTCCGTCTATGTGTTGCCTTGAAGCATACAAATTCATATAAGTATTAGTAAATAGATTAATATAAATTAGAAAACAAAAATACATTAAGAGTAACGAATGGAGTTTCTTGCTCGTTCTTCTCCACTCGAATCGACATTTTGGAACGAGCGCCTAGCTTCACTGACAGACTGACTGACAGACTATTATTTATTTCATATTTGTTGACATTTCAAAAGTACCAAATTATGGTTTAATTGAAATAAATGCTTTTGTGTTTGAGTCACATAGGATTTAAGTCACTCAGGAATAAAACAAAATTTAGGATACTACCATATTCTATTTGTATTTTTGTCAAACAGGAACAAAAGTCGTCCACCCCGATATCATCTGAGGTGGCCTCTATAACGGAGGGCGGAGGGTCTGCGGCGGGGGGCGCGCGCCCGGCCTCCGCCGCGCGACGGGACTCCGGCCGGGACTCTGTCACTGGCCGGCGGAAGAACGAGGTCGCACAAGCCATCGCTAATTATACAGCGACAAGGTAACTTTAGACTAGTTTTAAGGACTATTTTGTACTACCTTTTACCCGCGGCTTCGCTCGCGTCACAAAAGAATAAAAAGTAGCCTATGTGACATATACCAATACACACAGCGCCATCTATACCAATACTTTTGTTTTTCCTCGGGAATATCAATTTTTTCCGGGTTAAAAAGTACCTATTATTTAATCCGGACCACTAACTTTACGTCTGCAAAAATTCAAAGCAATCGGTTGAGTAGTTACGGCGTGAAGGCGGAACAAACAAACAAACTCACTTTCAGATTTATAATATTAGTATGGATAAGGATATTTTCGAGAGTGTGGTTCGATTAGTTTCGAGTAACACCGGAGCTCATAAATTTGAGATTAATTATTATATATGACTGCCTCGTTCGCCGAGTGGTCGCAAGTGCGACTGCCGAGCAAGGTTCGATTCCCGGGTCGGGCAAAGTATTACTGGGTTTAAAAAAAAATCTCAGTAGTAGCACGGAGTCTGGAATTGTGCCCATTATATGGCAATAGGCTCACCCCCTATTACATGGGACTCATAACATAAATAGTGAAAAGTGGATGTTACATTGTACAGTGGCATTAAGTGCCGTAATGTACACCTCTTCCTACCACTTGCGTGATGTTATGTGATCAACTAGTTTCGAGCTACACCGGGATTCATAGATATTCAAATAAGTCTGTATATTCATTTGTATTAACGAATATATTCTCTCCTCAGCTCCGAACAGCTCTCCCTAACCAAAGGCCAGCTCCTAGTAGTCCGCAAGAAGGCGGACAGTGGATGGTGGGAGGGGGAACTGCAAGCTAAAGGGAGGAACAGGCAGGTCGGGTGGTTCCCGGCAAGCTATGTTAAGGTAAGTTGAAGAATTTGATACATTCCTTAACCCTTTGAGTACTGTCATTATAGACACAATTAAAGAACAATAGGTTGCGGTCACCGGTGTCCTCGCGGTGTTTGACAGTTTAATAAAAAATAAATCTTTTATGTTGGAATACTGAAACGCTACGCAATTTTAAGTCGTGCTTAAGTATAGTTCTGTCTCTACAAATTCTTTGTAAAATGACAGAGATGGCAGGATATTTGAGCACGACTTAAAATTGAGTAACGTTTCGGTATTCCGGCATTAGACTGTTCAATACAATAAAATGTTAAAAAATAATTACACTTTCATCAATTGATTTTATGACCGACTTAGTATTTTTCCAGCAGTTTTTTTAAGAAATAACTATGCTGTTTGACGCTAAAAAAAAACGTGACGTCACAATACACAATCTCGTACGAAATTCATAGAAAACTGTCGTTTTTAAAACAGTTCGAAAATTCACCCAACCCATTCTAAATTCCCCCAACCCACTCTAAATTCCCCTAACCCACTCTAAATCTCCTCCATCCCACTCTAAAATCCCGTAACCCACTCTAAATCTCCTCCATCCCACTCTAAAATTCCCAAACCACTCTAAAACACCTTAAATAAACTAAATTACAAATATATTTATAATTCATTTAGATACTCCAGTCTTCAGGCCGGACGTCAGGTAGAACAACCCCGGTTCTATCTAAAATGGACACGCTGCCATCTGAAACTGTCATCGATAAGGTATTTATTTAAAGTAATATATATTTAAGAACATTTACATATTTTAGTAATTGTGAAATTACTTTTATAATAACTAAACTATTAAATAAAAAAAAATTATACCCTTAATTTAGGCGTCAAAGTATTCGTCCGCATCACTATCACAGGGGAAAGTTCCCAGAAGACTGGCAGCATTGCCACGTTGAATGGCAATGCTTATTTTCTGTCCGAAGAAAAAGCCAGCCCTCTGGTCACGTGTAGAGTCGATTAGCCTACGGGCGATATCTATAAAAACAGAGTGTGCACTGGGACCCCATGGCCCAAGTGTTTCTTTTATAATAAAACTTTCGTGAGACATACTAAATTAATTATTATGTTTTCGGCGTACTCACTTAACTGTTTAAGCCATGCTAGATGCTCATATTCATGAGCAGCATTCCGAGATTGAAACTAGTCGACTTCCTCGTCAAATAGTTAGAAAGAAGGAACAAAGAAATAGCATTTATTTGACAGTTGGCACGCACACAGATACAAAATTAAAAAAGAAAAGAAAAAATAAATACACATATTTATATAGATACTAGCGGACCCAACAGACGTTGTCCTGCATATCCACTTGAATGTATAAACAAAAATTCATTCAAATTAGTTCAACCGTTTAGGATGAATAACCTAAACATCGACTGCAGCGCCATCTGCCGGGCTGATTTGTGAATCTAAACCATTCCCAGATACCCTTGAACACACACAAAAATTTCATCAAAATCGGTCCAGTCGTTTGAGAGAAGTTCAGTGACATACACACTCACAGAAGAATTATATATACAACGTGTTGTTTTAAAGCCGCGTCATTTTCTATGAAGTAACTCGGCTATTGATTCCGAGTCCGAATCAATAAAAAAAATTGTAAGTCAATATCTTTTATTTTACGGAAATCCATAAGTGCGAACTACATGCCGCCGTCTTGTAACTAGATTTATAGCGCGGCTCAACACACACAAACCCAAACACGTAATTGATATTATTCCTAATTCCATAAAACTCCAATAAGAAACATTGCTGTCGCTTATTCTGAAATACTGTCGGACTTAAATGATTTATTATAGCCGTATTTTTAACTATTTGCCCGAAACTTTCTCTTACATTGAACCTTTATGACTTCTGTGACATGCCCCCGAGAAATGACACGGTTTCAAAACTACACCTTGTATAAAGATAGAAAAAACACAAAGAAACGATAAAGTATAACAACACATTGACAATACAATAATAACACAGTCATTACACTCACTACATTAATAAAAACGTGTGTTAGTGAGTTACGTGAGTAAGCCGAAAACGTAATAATTAAATTACTTTTAATTGAATTATTTTACATTTAACATAACATAACATCACGCCTTTTATCCCCGAAGGGGCAGTCAGAGGTGCACACGGAAGTAACACCCACTTTTCACTATTTATGTTATGAGTCCCATGTAATAGAGGGTGAGCCTATTGCCATATACCGGGCACAATTCCAGACTCCGTGCTACTACTGAGTTTTTTTAAAAACCCAATTATACTTTGCCCGACCCGGGAATCGAACCCGAGACCCCTTGCCCAGCTGTCACACTTGCGACCACTTGGCCAACGAGGCAGTCGTATTATACATTTATTAAAACATTTAACATTATGTTTTACTGATTGTACAATGTAACACCCACTTTTCACTAATTATGTTATGAGTCCCATGTAATAGGGGGTGAGCCTATTGCCATATACTGGGCACAACTCCAGACTCCGTTGCCATCAAGAAACTTCTTTAAAATTTAATGTAAATTAGTATTTAACATAATATTTATGTTTAATTCTAACATGTATAATGTATATTATATTATATTAATAAAATCCCAAATCGCTTGCTTGACTAACGCTTGGCTTACAAAAATTAGATTACACACAGAATGATTTTCGCACCACTCGGCCAACGGGGCAGTCTTAAAATATTATGATTCTATTATAACTATAGTGAGACATACTGAAATAACTAACGTCCAGTTTCAATAACCTATCTGTCTGTAGATTTACTTACTAGAGATAGGATTTTGTCACATTTTGTATGGAGCTCATGTTAAAATTCTATCTCTATAGTCAGAATTTTAATTAGATTCCAGATTTGACAATAGCTACTGTCATTTTGTGAAATAATGATACCACATTATAATAGTGTAGTGATGCACACAAAAATCGATAAACAATCGGTGTGTGTGTTTTATAATAAAGTGATAGGATAGCGATAGCGATGACGGCGACAATTTATAAAATTATTTATTACCATAATACATCTATCTGTTTTATTTGTCATGTTCCTTCATGATTTCATTTTTTTATTTATTTCACACACAATTATAAAAGAAAAGTCTCAGATCGTTAATTATTCGTCAAAACTAAATTATCGGTTCAGAAATATTTAATTTCCTGATATACTTAGTTTACGAGAGTAAAATTATAAACGAGAAGAATCGATCCAGAAATATTGCATTCCCATATCGAATAATTTCGCAACGTCACTATTTAGTACTTGTCATAACGTTGCAACACTGAAATTGTCAAATCTGGAATCGAATTAAAATTCTGACTATAGTAAGCAAATCTACAGATAGATAGGTTATAGAAACTGGACTTAAATATGACGGTTTGCGAACGTAAATATACTGAGAAACGCTCAACTAGTTTCGAGTCAGTAGAGCTTTACTCAATATAACTATTCACGTGAGTAACCCGTTGTTTTTAGTTGATAAACATTTGTGTACGTTACACAAATACAACTTGACGCCTTCTTTCCAAACGGCGTAGACAGGTACACTTACATAATGTAACACCCATTTTTCTCTACTTATAAACTCAGTTCATTACAAATTCCTCAGTTTATTTTGACGTGACAACGTCTTATAAATTGGTTTGCCGGATGACACTTCCAGAAACTGCGTTACGCTCCGCTCACGTTATGCGCTCACAATGAGAGCGAGTGAGAGGCACGCGTCCCTTCCACTCGGGCATGGTTAGCCCGCCTAAGAGCGAGAGAGACAGACATAAAAAGTGAATTATTTCATCCTTGTTCCTACTATACGAATGAATATTCACATTAAAATTATTTTACCACTCAAAGTCGTTGTCACGTAAAACTTTTGCCCGTATACCGACTTTACAGGCAACCAATTTTTTTCCAAAATACTCTGTTGTAATTTATAAAATTACGTCACACGAAATCGAACTTGGACCAACCGAGCAATAACTTTGAACATTTGACTATTCGTCCGTACTAAAAACTGTCGAATGTCAATTTTATTATACAGTCAATAATTAAAGGTGTTTGAAAAATTGACCTTTAGTTAGTGTATTTAACAACACATAACATAACATAACATCACGCCTTTTATACCCGAAGGGATAGGCCATGGTGCACACAGAAGTAACACCCACTTTTCACTATTTATGTTATATGTCCCATGTAATAGGGGGTATTACCATATATCAGGCATAATTCCAAACTCCGTGCTACTACTGAGATTTTATTTCAAACCCAGTAATACTTTGCCCGACCCCGAGGCAGTCAGTATGTATTTAACTGACCAGTTAAATGATAATAAATGGGGATGATGACAGGGTATGAAAATTAAAAATATAATTAGTCCGTAAGTTAGATAATGAAAAAATATTAGACACGTATTTTTTTATTTTGTCGTATAATAAAACAATACTTAGATAAAACGAATCAAAGTTTAGGAGTGGGGGCTAAAACGTCATTTCTTAGTATAAAATGTACTGAGAAGTGACGTCACGCGACATTTCAAATCAATATATCTTCGAAACTATTCGTTTCTGTGAGAAAAGAAAAAATACGTGTCTAATGTTTTTAAATAATCTATCAGACGGACATTAAAATAAAAATTAGTCGTCTACCCTATTGCAGGTAATCGCACTATATCCATATACCGCACAAAATGCAGATGAGCTAAGTTTCGAAAAAGATGACATTATAGCAGTCACTGACCGCTCGCAAGACCCAGCGTGGTGGCAAGGTAACTAACATACGTGTTTAGAGGGCGCTGGAATGATAAAAAAAACAAAATTTAATTGACTTTGACCTTCAAATTTTTGACTTTGACCTTCAGTAGTTGACCTTTGACCTTCAAATTTTTGACTTTGACTTTGACATTTTATACTTTCATTAAAAACCTTGACTTTGATCTTGATGTCATGACTTAGACCTTCATTTTGTCCCTAAAATGTAGATGTAGATCTTAAACTTAAAACTAGGATCATTTTGACCTTAATTGATCAATCCTCTAACAGTCACCGGTAAGCGCTCTCCACTGACTACATTATAGACCTTATTTCCAATGGTTAAAGACTACTTTTGTAGGAACAAATTTTGTGGATTTTTGGTACGATATATTAAGCTATTAAAACTACTTACCGATATTAAAGTTAGTTAATTCTACAAAGCGCAGATGAGCCTAAGTTTCGAAAAAGATGACTTTAATAGCAGTCACTGACCGCTTGCAAGGCCTAACATATATATACATATATCCCATAAAACCATGTTTAGGGGCTTCGGAATTATATTTTGAAAAAAAAAGAAATACAAGTATTTTGGCCTTGGAAAATTTGACTTTGACCTTGATCATTCCTGCTGTAACCGGCAAAATCCTGGTCTTTGACATTTGTCATTTTAAACTTGACCACAATTAATGCCAAAGTTTTTGATATTGTCCTTTACTTCTTCCTTGTTCACATTCAATTTCAAAATGTTGACCTTAATAATTTTGACTTTGACCTTTAATTATTCTCATTTTAACTATAAAATGTTGACATTGAACTTTATATTGTTGACTTCGGCTTTCAAAATTTTGACTTCATCATAAAATCTTTAGCTTTGAAAATTTGTGATTTTGACTTTAAAATATTGACTTTAATTTTGAATATTATCATTCCAAAACCCTTTTACTACAGAATTAACTTGTATAATAATATATCTATGTACCTATAGTATATTTGTATAATATGCATGAAAATAACACCAATTCATCATCACCAACAGCCTATAAGTGGTCACTGCTGACCAAAGCCCTCTTCTCACACGGAGAAGGTTTGAGCATTAATCACCACACTTGCTCATGCAGGTTAAAAATAACAAAAATCCTTTTTGCTTTAATAATTAACGAATAGCGAAAGAGTAATTAACATTTAACCGACTACAAAATACATTTAAAGTAATTTAACAGCTCGTCTGAAGGTTTCAACGCCCACTTTTCACTATTTATGTTATGAGTCCCATGTAATAGGGGGTGAGCCTATCGCCATATACCGGGCACAATTCCAGACTCTGTGTTATTGTTGTGAATTTAGTAATTCTTCATCTTCTAGTGTTTTTTCCGTCGGTGTCGTATACCCGACTGAGACACTACACATAAGACAGAGACCGTGCAGCAGCGCTCTCTGATAAACCTGAACCTTTTATACTGCGACCTCCAATCGTTTGCAAAGATTAAAAAAAAACAATCATATTTTTGTTAATGGGACAAGCCCGCCACAACCTCCCGAAACCGCTACAACTCCTGTACACCAGGATCTACAGTAGATACAACCATGAAAACACCGGAACACTGAAGTCCAACGTCCCAGGGACATGAGTAACTGTCTTGGTTCCCGCAACGTAATTATCCTCCTTACTTGGCGTAAGTTCATCAGCGGGTGACAGTCCACTGCTGCACTATGAGTCTCCTCTACATAAGAGGGTTTGTCACAATCTCCGCAGGCAGGCGGGTTGGAGGTCGCAGTATACAAGGTTCAGGTTTATCAGAGAGCGCTGCTGCACGGGCTCTGTCTAATGTGTAGCGTCTTAGTCGGGTATACGACACACGCGGGAAGAGTCACGGTGGTGTCAACTGTATTTTACTCTGTCTTAAATAATATTTGTTTTTTTTTCAGGCGAACTTCGAGGAATGACTGGATTATTCCCGAGCAACTATGTTACGAAATTAGTCAACTAAATGATATGTTTAGTCGCACTAATATTGTAATCTATAATATTTAGAACTCCTAGTACCTAATAACTAGGCAAGTGCTTATAGTAAACTATTTATTAACCATTTGTAATACCCCAATCCCTCAAACCCCCAATCTCTAATCCTAGATCCCCAATCTCCAACCTCCAATCTCCAATCCCCAACCTCAAATCCTAGATCCCCAATCCCCCATCTCCAATCCTCAATCTTCAATCCCAATCTCCAATCCTCAATCCTCCATCTCCAATCCTCAACCCCCAATCTCCAATCCTAGATCCCTGATCCCCAATCCCCCATCTCCAATCCTCAACCCCCATCTCCAATCCTCAACCCCCAATCTCCAATTCATCCCCAATCCCTAAAAACCCGGCACCGATAATTTATTATAAATTTAATTAGCACTATTATAATATAAGTAATATATTATTAAAAAAATATAACTTATGCCCCGATTCTTTGCACCTAATGTCGGAATACTGAAACGCTACTCAATTTTAAGTCGTGCTTAAGTATAGTTCTGTCTCTACAAATTCTTTGTGAAATGACAGAGATGGCAGGATATTTGAGACGACTTAAAATAGGGTAGACGACTAATTTTTATTTTAATGTCCGTCTGGTAGATTATTTAAAAACATTAGACACGTATTTTTTATTTTCTCACAGAAACGAATAGTTTCGAAGATATATTGATTTGAAATGTCGCGTGACGTTACTTCTCAGTACATTTTATACTAAGAAATGACGTTTTAGCCCCCACTCCTTAACTTTGATTCGTTTTATCTAAGTATTGTTTTATTATACGACAAAATAAAAAAATACGTGTCTAATATTTTTTCATTACCTAACTTACGGACTAATTATATTTTTAATTTTCATACCATGTCATCATCCCCATTGAGTAATGTTTCAGTATTCCAACATAAGTGTATTTAAAGCACTTGTCTAGCGTAACAGTTTATATTTAACCGCGCTTATATAAAACGTAGGTGAAGGGTGACGGGCAGAATGTAGGTACCTACCGACCAATAACGACCAGGCTTATGTTTTTTGAGATTTTTAAGGGGGGAAAATCACCGAATGACTGCTCCCGCCTGGGTGAGGCGAGAGGGATTGTCAGACTCTTACTGACTAAAACCCACCCTGTTCCTACTCCTGCACTTCGAGCCGGAGCCCCGGTAACCCGTTAAGTTCTCCACGACTCCGTATCGGCATCAGCCCTATTGGGCCCCATCCGTGGTGGTCTGATGGCTCTTTAAGGCGCGCGCGGAATTTGAGGATTGTTGGGGATTCAGCGATTGGGGAACGGTGGGGGGGGGGGTAATTATGCCTCTGCTAACCTCGCTCACACGGCGAAACACAACGTTAGCGTTGTTTCACGTCGGTTTTCTGTGAGGCTGTAGACTAACTATAACATTTTCTCCACAACTAATTGAGACTAGCCCCCGTAATAGTCGCGGAGAACCTAACGGGTACCGGGGCCGGCTTGACGTGCAGGAGAAGGAACGGGGTGGTTTTTATCAGTAAGAGTCTGACACTCCCTCCGCCTCACCCAGGCGGGAGCAGTCATTTGATGATTTTCCCCCTTAAAAAAGCCCTCGTAATAACAAATGATAGTCATGAAGAGAGCTAACGACATAGATCTGGTCGTCATTGGTCAGTAAATACAATTCCCAAACATGTCTGCCCGTCCTCCTTTTGTCTTTGAAATCCATTTTAGCACAACTGTTAATCAATTTAGTAAAAAGCTTCACTATTTTAGTAATAGTAAAGTTTTTTTAACGAACAATGTTAAATTAAATATACTATTATCATTGTTATACAATATGTTAATTTGTTACGAGAGAACTGTAAATCAAATTACACTTGCCTCTTCTCACACGGAGAAGGTCTGACCATTAATCACCACTCTTGCTCAATGCGGGTTGGCGATTACAAACTTATAATTAGAAATTATAAGGCCAGGTTTCCTCACTTTGTTTTCCTTTACCGTTTGTCAGTGGTGTCTAGATAATCTTAGAAAGTACATGTAACTCGGAAAAAGTCACATTGGTACTTGCCGTTGGTAGGTTTCGAGGCCGCACCCTCATGCATGAGAGGTGGGCGTCTTAATTAAACCTCCGATCCACCATGACTGCCTATATTAATTAACCGACTTTAAAAAAGAGGGTGTTGAAATCGGTTTGTCCAACGTGGTTTATGAAAGAATTATTAATTTTAGCACCACGCTATAAAAGTTGATGATTATTCTGTAATTAACTTCTTCTAGTGGCTTCGCCCGCCTTCCTGTATGATAAAAAGTAACCTATGTGTTAGTACACACCATAATCTCCCCCTGTTCCAAATATCATCTCGATCCCTTCAGCAGTTTGATGTGATTACGCAACAAATATACAAACAAACACACAAAGTTATTTATTAATAATACTGGCTTTTACCCGCGGCTTCGCTCGCGTCACAAAAGGATAAAAAGTAGCCTATGTGACATACCAATACACACAGCGCCATCTATACTAATGCTTTTGTTTTTCCTCGGGAATATCAATTTTTTGGGTTAATAAGTACCCTATTATTTAATTCGGACTTCTAACTTTACGTCTGCAAAAATTCAAAGCAATCGGTTTAGTAGTTACGGCGTGAAAGCGGAACAAACAAACAAACTCACTTTCCGATTTATAATATTAGTAAGGATTAATAAGATAACAATCATGATATATACAAAATTTTAAATAATATTGTCCACAACTTACCTTCGTAAATTATTAAGAGATTATCCGATTAGTTTCGAAGCTAGTACGGGGCTCATAACCAACTATAATAACAAATTAAATGTGTGATGTTGTTAGTATACGCTGCTCATGAATATGAGCCCCAGTTGAGCTCGAAACTAAATCGAGAATCCTCGAAAATGGTAAATTGAGAATTGTTTTTTAATTAAAATCATTTGAAAATTAACAGAAAATGCGTAATTTGATTTGCAGTTTTTTGTATCGATTATAATTATTTTAAACTATGATTGTAATGTAACCAAACGAATTATAATTATTATTTTTAGTTTCAATTAAATAAATAGTATCTTTTATGTAACCTAAATAGTCCATTATAAATTTGTCTTGTAATTAAAAAATCTGTATTAGATTTCGTCAAGCACTTTTAGCATTGTGCAACTATCGTTAGTTAATTATATTTAGAGCATTCAAAATATAGTAGAATCGATTATATCGCCCATCTGATGGTATACAGAAACTACAGAGCGCCACCTACTGCGCTCCTTACATACTTCTTTAGCTTCGCACGGGTGCAATTAAAAACCTCTAAATTTATCATTGTTTCTCTACTATATTACGCATGTATTATACATATAAACCTTCCTAAAGAATCACTCTATCTATTAAAAAAACCGCATCAAAATCCGTTGCTTAGTTTCAAATATCTAAGCATACATAGGGACAGACAGACGGCGGATAGCGACGTTGTGTTATACTATGTAGTGATTGGCGTAAATTTTTACACTTGTCAGTGTTATCCCCATGCATTTAGATTTCTACTCTCTCTGTAGACAAGCGCTAAAGTGGCGTTTGGCTAAAGGCACAGGTTTAAGAGTCTGTCTATTAACTGTTTTAAATGCTCTATAGATGTGTTTATGCCAGCAAAGAAGTTGCCATTATTATTATTATTATTGCCTAATATTATGAAATAAAATGTTAAATAAATAATCGTGTTATTAGTAGTTGATTGCATTAGGAATAAATGTTACTATCATTATTTTGTTGTTTTTTTTGCCTCCTATACAGGGTGTAAACGCAATGCTACCGAAAACGATGACAAAATATAGTGAAATATTTTTCGACGTCATTAGACGTCGCGGTAGGCCCAGAAGAAGGTACGGGATGAGCTATTTATTATTATACTAGCTTTTACTCGCGGCTTCGCTTGCGTCCAAAAGGATAAAAAGTAGCCTATGTGACATATACCAATACACACAGCGCCATCTATACCGATAATTTCGTTTTCCCTCGAGAATATCACATTTTTCCGGGATAAAAAGTACCCTATTATTTAATCCAGACTTCTAACTTCACGTTTGCAAAAATTGAAGGCAATCGGTTTAGTAGTTACGGCGTGAAAGTGGAACAAACAAACAAACTTACTTTACGATTTATAATATTATAGTAATATAGTAAGGATTATTATATTAGTTTTCTTATTCTCCACGGACTCAAAATTAAAATTAATATTGTTACAAAAATCTTACGTGCTATATTAACCCCATTTTATTACACAAAGCAGTTCGTGTCTACTATCTACATATACGCAACACATGTTTTATCTGGGGCACGACTGCCGTACCATCCTTTACTAGAACCATTTCGCCGCATTTTCAGGTTCCTATTTGAGAACCTCTGGATACGACCATAACACAAAAATTTTCATCATCCAGTAAGCTATAATCACATACTTAAAATCCAAAATTTCAAGTCTACAAATCATTTAGTTCCGAAGTTAAGCGAAAGCAAAGTTTCGCATTTATGACACTCACTCACTCACTCATGATCATCAAAATAGAACTAGTACTTCCCATGACCTCAGAGAAGAGCTGAAATTTGGTACAGAGTTAGGGTTTTATGGCCACATAAAGGGAAAACTATAAAAACTAGGATAATCGAAGTTTTGGAGTAACTGGTGATGTAGGGGTTGTAAGCGCCTACACTTGGATGATAGTTGATAGGTTGACTGCCTCTCGTTGATATAGACACGAAGATTGCGTAGAAATGATAAAATAACACAAACTTCTGTGACGAGAGTATATTGATACTTATTGATACAAATGATAAAGTGCAGTGATATAAAATGCTAATGATACAGTTTAAATAGTCGTACAAAAGTGCTGACGCGCGTCGCGACAGTAATTATGTATATAAAACTAAATTAAACCTGTACAGTTGTCTGTACAGGTGATCCTGATTAGATTTAATAAATAAATTACACTAAAACAAATTAAACTAAAAATTTGGTCAAATGATAATAATGCACTGGACTAAGAGTGAAGGTAATACCCCGATCCTGAAAATTTCTGCATTCTGGTCTTATCTAGAGGTTCTCAAATAAGGGCCTGAAAATGCGGCGAAATAGTTCCAGTAAAGGATGGTACGGCAGATAAACTGACTGTTAAAGTCTGCGGAAAGATCATGGAATGCAAAACCTTGATAAAATGGACCTATTTCTTTATTACGTGGTGACGGTTTCATCGAAAACAAGTATTGAATTTGGAATATACTATGTAGGTATAGGTATACGATAATACTTTAACTCGCCACAGGTCTTTTTTTATTTTTTTAAGGGGGGGAAATCATCGAATGACTGCTCCCGCCTGGATGAGGCGGGAGGGAGTGTCAGACTCTTACTGACTAAAAACCACCCCGTTCCTTCTTCTGCACATCGAGCCGGAGCCCTGGTAACCCGTTAGGTTCTCCGCGACTGCCACAGGTCTTGAACCTATGAAATTGCCGTTCTGCAGTACCTACTAGCCATTTCAAATCAAAACAATTTTTGGTTGGCCAAGAATTCTAATTTTAAATTAGACGTGCCTTGCACTGCTCAACAGTCACACAAATTAAGAAATTTTGAACCGCATTGTTACCTGCGATCCAAAATGGATTCTGTTTGATAACCGCAAGCGCTCAGTTAGTTGGTTAAATCCTGGTTCAGCACCTAATTTAAGTGCTTTAATCTAAACGAAAACTTACACCTAGAAACGTGATGGTCACTGTTTGATAGTCTAAGCGCCGGTGTGATTCAACATAACTTCTTACCAAACTGGGTGAGCATTATTGCAGATGTGTAGTGTGAAGAACTGAACACAATGATGGAGAAGCTGGCACATCAAAACCAGCATTGGTTAATCGTTCGACCTCATCGTCTGCTTGATAAAATTGACGTGTAAAAGTGCTGCCTTGTAGCCTATTTGCAGAAATAAATTCACTTGTTTTACTTGTTCGTCCCCGCTACTTCTGAACGGCAACACGCGACCACATTAAACAACAGACGGTCTCCAAGTTGCAAGAACTGGTGGTGGAAGCTCTCCTTCATTCGCCCTATTCACCAGACCTTACAGACTACTACTTATTCGAGAATTTGGATAACTTCTTGCCGGGATAAAATTTCAATACCCGAGACAGTTCGTAATGCCTTTGAAGAATTTGTTGCCGTCCAGCTTTATCAGTTGAGCAGTTGATGTCCAGCTGATTTCTTTAAGAATGAATAAACTGCCTCTGCGTTGGCAAAGATGCGTTAATTGCATGGGTGATTACTTCGATTGATACCTACAGATAAAAAATACATGAAAAACATCGTTAATTTTTACATTGCCGTTCAATCGTTGTATAAGATGAATCCTATGAAATTGCATTTTTTTGAAAAAAAAAATAAACTTATTAAGTTTAGCCTCGTTGGCCGAGTGATCGCAAGTGCGACTGCCGGGCAAGGGGTCTCGAGTTCGATTCCCGAGTCGGGCAAAGTATTACTGGGTTTTTAAAATTCTTAGTAGTAGCACAGAGTCTGAAAATGTGCCCGGTATATGGCAATAGGGCCCCCATTACATGGGACTCTTAACGTAAATAATGAAAAGAAAGGCATTTTTAGAAAGACCCATACATGTGATCTCCTTTTATCAAATTAAGATTATGTTTTCGTACAATCGGAAATCGTATTACTGTTTATATTTTATCTACCAGAAGTAAAAACGCTACAAAATAAAGGATTATTTGCATTGAACATTTGTAGGTGCAGCTTGGTAGGAACAGCTTCGAGGAGGCCCGTAGAAGGATACAGCTTTTCAATGGTACTTACTGCCATCATTATATCATCATCACCCACTGCCGGGTATTTTTTAAGGGGGGAATATCATCGATTGACTGCTCTCGCCTGGGTGAGGCGGGAGGGAGTGTCAGACTCTTACTGACTAAAAACCACCCTGTTCCTTCTCCTGCACGTCGAGCCGGAGCCCCGGTTACCCTTTAGGTTCTCCGCGACACCCACTGCCGGGTATAGGCCTCCCTTTGCCTGTGCCAAGCACAACGTTCCTGTGCAGGTCTCATTCAGTATGCGTTGGCGCTAATGGCGTTTGCCCATCTGGCTACTAATATACTTAATCATACAGTGCCGGGGTTAGGGGGTGGGGGGGGCGTGATGCGGCGATGGCCCAGGGCGACAAATTCTGGGGGGTGCCAAGGTCTGAAGTTGGAGTTGCAAACCCTAAGAACTGTGCTCTACGCTCTGTGCATACATATGACGTAAATTTTGACACTTGTCAGTGTCATCCCCATATATTTAGTTTTCTACTCTCTCTGTAGAACAAGCGCTAAAGTGGTGTTTGGCTAAAGGCACAGATAATTCCACTTGTCGTCGAGGTGACCTGGAGGCTCGAAACACCCGCTTCTGATGCACCAGGGTATAACGAAACCTACCAACGGCAAGTATCAATGTGACTTTTTCCGACTTATATGTACTTTCTAAGATTATCTAGACACCACTGACAAACGGTGAAGGAAAATATCGTGAGGAAACCTGGGCTTATAATTTCTAACTATAAGTTTGACATTGCCGACCCGCATGTTTTTTTTTTCTTAAAAAACGTTGTCCTATGATTTTCTCCTGTGTCGTGGGTGCGTTTACAAACATACAAGTTCACATACACGTGACACATAGACCCGGAACAATAATCTGTGGATCACACAGAGTTGTTCCGTGCGGGAATCGAACCCGCGACACGTTGCGCGGCAGTCAGTTGCCCAGCCACCGCGCCAACCGTGCAGGCATTGAGCAAGCGTGGTGATTAATGCTCTAACCTTCTCCGTGTGAGAAGAGGCTTTGCTCAGCAGTGGGCATTTATAGGCTGTTGATGATGTTAATAGTGGAGCTCGTCAATAGAGGGTGCAGAAAAAAAATGAAACAAAAAATCCTTTTTTTAATTTTTTAATTATTTTTTTTCACTAATTCTTACTCCAACAGTAGTTATATAAATACTATACTATATACGAACTCCAAACCGTACCGGGATGTGAATCTTATAGTCTTAGTAGTAAAGTTCAATTTGAAATGGTTTTTACAATTTAAACAAAAAAAGGATAAATTAAAAAGTAGGGTATCCTACGTAAATAGAATGGACGACATTTTAAAATAACTTGTTATGATAAAATATTAGCAATCGTAAAATAATGATAATATTTTACTCTGCTCGGGAATCGAACCCTAGACCTCATGCGATGTGACTACTCAATCAATGAAGTAGTCCCTAAGTTTAAAAACGAAATTTTGTTGTAAAATTAAAAACAATTCGATAAAAAAATTCCATAAAAAATTAAAAAAAGGTTAATAAATAAAAACCTATTAGACTGAAATATTCACAGAAAACTATTCCACAATTGAACTTTACGACCAAACCTAAAGCCGACGACAAAAAATTTATGGAGTTCGTATAAAAAAAAACAAAAAAAAAAGAAAAAACATAAAATTTTTTCGACGCATACATAATTATTATAGATATTTCTATGTATAATTGTAATTATATATAAATAAAACGTTAATATATAGTTCATGTGTTGAAAAGCAAAAAAAAAAAACATTGTTTTACTTTTCCATGGATTTTTAACCAAAACATATTTATCTCTGGTATTTATATATATGGTTTGAATTTTTTAAATAATTTTTAAATAACGCATGACATTTTCAGATATACAATTTCAGTTAAAATTCCACTTATTTCATATTGACGACAAAATTAAAAGATATATTTGAAAAGTTGATTTATTAAAATTTTAAAGGCAAATTCAATTTTTGTTCGCTCGTTGTGGGCTGTGAAAGAGACTGGACCTCAGAGTATTTTTCAGCGTTTCTTCTCAGAGTAATTAATATTTTAGTTGTATCAATAATTAAAAAAACATAGTTTTATATTATATATCATGTATTTCTTAGTACGTATAGCGTGGACAGTCCCCGCTACCATCAGTTGACTGGACAATCTCTCCACTACATGAGTCACTGTTTACATGTCACCATTAGCTCATGACGATACCTAAGTGCGTATCGCCTGGACAGTCCACGCTACCATCAGTTGACTGGACAATCTCTACACTACATGAGTCACTGTTTACATGTTACCATTAGCTCATGCCGATACCTAAGTACGTATCGCCTGGACAGTCCACGCTACCATCAGTTGACTGGACAATCTCTACACTACATGAGTCACTGTTTACATGTTACCATTACCTCATGACGACACATAATATAAAACCAATTGTTTTTTATATAACAAATATATATTTCAATGGTTATTACAAGTAAGTTTCTATTCAATGATGTAATGAAGACATTGTTTTCGATATTCACAAAAACTATTGTATATTTAATTAAATGTTTATGATACGATTTCAAAACAATGGTGTACTTGCCAACCAGTCGAATTCAATACTTTTTTCTAACTGTAAAAAACGACAGGTTTCTATGAATTTTGTACGAGATTGTGTATTGTGACGTCACTGTTTTTTAGCGTCAAACAGCATAGTTATTTCTTAAAAATTTGCTGGAAAAATACTAAAATTAATTTGGTCATAAAATCAATTAATGAAAGTGTGATTATTTTTTAATATTTTATTGTATTGAACAGTCGAAATAATTTATTTTTGATTAAGGAAAGTGAAACAATTGTGTGTGTAAATCGTTCCTAATATTATAGATGCGAAATTTTTTGACGATGTATGTTTGTAGCACTTTTACGCAAAAACTACTGAACGGATTTAGATGAAACTTGATAGACAGATAGTTTATAATCTGGAATAACACAGGCTACGGATAACGCGGGTAAAGCCGCTGACAGAAGATAACCGAGAAGAAGGTTTATATGTAAAAAAAGTCATTGTAAAATAGACTTTTTTTTAAAACGAACGAATGGACTTTCTTGCTCGTTCTTCTCCACTTGAATCTACATTTTGGAACGAGCGCATAGCTTCACCTAACTTCAGTGACGGACAGACTGACAGACTATTATTTATTTTGTATTTATTGACGTTTCAAAAGTACCAAATTAAGGTTTAAACTGTCAAACCGCGAGGAGACCGGTGCCCGCAACCTATTGTTCTTTAATTTTGTCTATAATGACGGTACTCAAAAGGTTAATTTAACTCGTCGAGTACCGTATTTATAGACACAATTAAAGAACAATAGGTTGCGGTCACCGGTGACCGCTTAGTGTTTGACAGTTTAAATAAATGCTTTTGAGTGTGAGTTTACTTATAGTGTGAGTTTGTGTGTTCGTATGTATGTATTGTTACTGAATAACGTCAGGGGGGAGAAGGGATCGAGATGAAATGTGGAACTGAAATAAATTATGATCTGGTATTGTATGTATTATACATAGGGTATTATATACTGACACGAATTTAGACTGCACGGTTGGTGCGGTGGCTGGGCAACTGGGTACTGCGCAACGTGTCGCGGGTTCGATTCCCGCACGGAACAACTCTTTGTGTGATCCACAGATTGTTGTTCCGGGTCTGGGTGTCATGTGTATGTGAACTTGTATGTTTGTAAACGCACCCACGACACAGGAGAAAATCCTAATGTGGGGCAACGTTAAAAAAAAAACGAATAGACCATCTCAAATGGAGCTGGACGGGTCAATGCTGAAGTGTAACCAAGATAAATGGAGCAAACAAGTCACTGTGGTATCCAAAGGACAGTAAAAGGAGGCAGGGACGTCTAAAAACCCGATGGAAAGATGACATATGTCTAACTTTGTGGTAGAGTTCCACAAGACTGGGTGCAATGGAAGGAGTCAGGAGGCCTATGCCAAGAGGCACACCGAGCTTAGGGTTATCTTTAAATATATAATTCTTCTGTGAGTGTGTATGTCACTGAACTTCTCTCAAACGACTGGACCGATTTTGATGAATTTTTTTGTGTGTGTTCAAGGGGATCTGGGAATGGTTTAGATTCACAAATCAGCCCGGCAGATAGCGCTGCAGTTGTTTACTAGGTTATTTATCCTAAACGGCTGAACTAATTTGAATGAATTTTTGTTTATACATTCAAGTGGATATGCAGGACAACGTCTGTTGGGTCTGCTAGTATCTTTATATATATAATTATGCTGTACGTGTGTATGTCATTGAACTCCTCCTAAACGGCTTGACCGATTTAAATGAATTTTTCTGTATGCGTTTGAGTGGCGCCCTGGATGGTTTAGATTCACAAATCAACCCGGCAGATGGCGCTGCAGTTGGTTACTAGGTTATATCCTAAACAGCTGAACTAATTTGAATGAATTTTTGTTTATACATTTAAATGGATATGCAGGACGTCTGTCGGGTCCACTAGTATATATATAAAAATGAATCCATTTTTCCCTTGGTCACGGCATCCCGCGTGAATGGCTGGACTGAGTTAACTAATTCTTTTGTAGTTGTATTTGTTATTATTAGGAGAAGGTTCTTATGACAGACAAAAATCCTAAAAATCCTACGGGAACGGAAGATAACGGGATTGCGCGTACAAAGTCGCGGACAGAAGATAAAAATATATATAACTAACATAAGCGGGGATGGTGATTTGAGTTTTTCCAAATTATATGTACTTTCTAAGATTATTTAGACACCACTGACAAACGGTGAAGGAAAACATCGTGAGGAAACCTGGGCTTATAATGTCTAATTATAAGTTTTAAATCGCCAACCCGCATTGAGCAAGCGTGGTGATTAATGATCAAACCTTCTCCGTGTGGGAAGAGGCTTTGCTTAGCAGTGGGCATTTATAGGCTGTTGATGAAGCGGGGATGGTAAGCCAGATTTATATATAGAATTTTAATAACAGCGTCTTTATGTATAAATTATAAATAATATATATATATAATAATTATATTGTTTATATATATAATATATAAGTTTACTGATGTTGGCTCGAGTTTGGTGCGGTGTGGTCGCGGTGGTCGCGGTGGTCACGCCAATGTCTTTCCACGAATTTCTTAATGTAATTATATGGTTTTGAGTCTTTCTCGCCTATTACGTTGTCAACCTGAAACAATGAGAGATATTTCTATTATAAACATAACATAGCATCACGCCTTTTATCCCCGAAGGGGTAGGAAGAGGTGCACATTATGGCAGTTAATGCCACTGTACAATGTAACACTCACTTTTCACTATTTATGTTATGAGTCCCATGTAATAAGGGGTGAGCTTATTGCCATATACCGGCCACAATTCCAGACTCCATGTTAATACTGAGATTTTTTTAAAACCCAGTATTACTTAGGTCGACCCGGGAATCAAACGCGAGACAACTCGCCCGGCACTTGCACTTGCGACCATTCGATATACTCGTAAATATTTTTATTTTATAGTCATTTAAACTTTAATGTACATTTACAATCACTTTGACGTACACGTCACACACAGACACGGAACTACTATTTATAGATTATGACACTTTTTTGAGGTGGGCAAATCATCCAATGACTGCTCCCGCCTGGGTGAGGCGGGAAGTGTCAGACTCTTACTAAAAACCACCCCGTTCCCACTCCTGCACTTCGAGACGGAGCCCCGGTAACCCATTAAGTCCTATTGAGCCCCATCCCTGGTGGTCTGATGACTCTCTGGGGCGCGCGCGAAACGCTCACCACAAAGTGTTAACCAGTTCAAAAACAGACTTGACAGATACACAACATAGAATTAACTACTGATAGAAGAATACGATACAGGCATTTATCAGTTGTCTCAACTGCCTGCCTGGATTAAATAAATATTTGTTTTTCTTATATAAAAACGTTGCCCCACATTATCTCCTGTGTCGTGTGTACGTTTACAAACATACAAGTTCACATACACATGACACCCAGACCCGGAACAACAATTTCTGGATCACAGTGTTGTTCCGTGCGGGAATCGAATCCGCGACACGTTGCACGGCAGCCGGTTGCCCAGCCACCGCACCAACCGTGCAATTAACATTACAATCCAATTTATACGCTATGTACCTTGTAAGGAGGTGTAATTATAACTTCATTGTAGACCCTGATGTTCTGTCCAGCCCAGGACACATCGTCAATGACTCGTGCAATCGCCATGAACAGTCGCTGCCCCTCTGGATCCAAACATGCTGATAATGCTGACACCTGCAATGGAAAATGTTCATTTTAATCATCATGTCGGCTGTGGGGACACGCAGACATGTTAGCATATTAGGAACTTAGCGTCAGTATGTAACCTAGCGTTTAAGGTATGAAATAAACACAGTTGGCATTAGACTCTCGAGCGTATCATTTGTCTCCACACACTACACCTACAATAACAGTGGTGGCCCGACTCGACGCGAACGCGTACTGCAGAGACTGAGTATCACATTACGCGTGTTGTGGTGTAACCTATGAACTAAATAGTGAATAAATATTAAAAATATTAAACATACAACTTAAGTGGAAATGGGCAGGACATGTAGGGCGACTAACAGACCTGAGATGGACCATAAAAATAACCTGGAACGGCCCACTAGGTAAGCAAAATATAGGAAGACCTGCGACTCGTTGGGAAGACGATATTAAGAAAATAGCGGGCCCTCAGTGGACTATTGTAACACAGGATAGAGAAAAGTGGAATGCTTTGGAGGAGGCCTTTACCCAATAGGGGTTCTTACAGGATGCAAACTAACCAACATTAACAATAAATTAATTGATTTTAATCTACACTAACAATACTAACAGCAAGAATATAATGTAAAATCACCTGTAAGAAATAAATGGCTTTTTATTTTATTTATTTATTTATTATTATCAGCCATAAAACATACACTGCTGAACATAGGCCTCCCCTTTTTATTTTAACGGGGGAAAATCATTGATGTCTTCTCTGCCTAGGTGAGGTGGGAGGGAGTGTCAGACTCTTACTGACTAAAAACTGCTCCTGCACTTCGAGCCAGATCCCCAGTAACCTTTTACATTCTCCGTGACTCCGTATTGGTATCACAGCCCTAATAGGTAGTGTAGTACTCATGATAGTCTGATGGCTCTTTGAGGCGCTCACGCAACGCGATGCGCCGTACGCTCCGGTCTGGTGATGAGCTACCCATGCTCGCCCTCCGCAGGCCCGTGCAACCTCACCTAATGACCAACCGTTAAAAAGTCGTGTTGGCCCGAAGGTTTAAGACGCCCAGCTTTCATGCGTGAGGATGCGGGTTCTAAACATATCAACAGCAAGTACCAATGTGACTTTTCCGAATTATATGTACTTTCTAAGATTATCTAGACACCACTGACAAACTGTGAAGGAAAACATTGTGAGAAAACCTGGACTTACAATTTCTAATTATAATTTTTTATAATTTTTGCATTGAGCAAGCGTGGTGATTAATGTTCAAACCTTCTCCGTGTGAGAAGAGGCTTTGCTCAGCAGTGGGCATTTATAGGCTGTTGACGATGATGATAATGAATGACCAACCAGCCGGCTTAATAAATCTAATCTTATTATTATTATTATAAACCTCACAAGCGAAAGTTTGTGATTTTGTTTGTTTCTCAATCATGTCAAAATGACTGAAAGGATCTGTATGAAATTTTGGAGAGGGGTAGATTATGGTATGAAATAACATACAGGCTACCTTTTATCAGCCTATGTGTAGTAGAAGTATCTAGTAGGAGCCGGTAACAGTAGCTTTTTTTAAGGGGGGAAAATCATCGAATGACTGCTCCCGCCTGGGTGAGGCGGGAGGGAGTGTCAGACTCATACTGGCTAAAAACCATCCCGTTCCTTCTCCTGCACGTCGAGCCGGAGCCCCGGTAACCCGTTAGGTTCTCCGGGACGGTAACAGTAGCTAGTCTCTCAATTTATGAAATGTAACTTTCACCATTCATGATATAAGGAGTATAGTTATTAACCTTCTAGATCTAATAAGAATAAGTAGAGATCAAAGAGTCATATTCATTTTTATATTTCTGAGTAATCAAGACTTCCTAATACTGCGAAGTACTTACAAAAGTTTGGAAAAGAAGTTGTGAAGGCATTACTATTAATATTTGTAAAAAGTACTACATTTTTCTAATAAATACTATAATCTGCCGACTACATGGTTAGTGCAAGGCCTGGGAGATGTTCAGTCTAATGTCTCATTGCTGAACCTAAAACAAATTGGTAAAAGACCGAAAGAATGGAGATCTTCTTTTCATTCAAAGACCTACCTATAGATAATCTCAAAAATGGCAACCCTTGGGCTGAAGTTGTGATAAAGTTTTGAAAGAGAAAGTTATGCTTAAAACTTGTTTTGAATTACAAAGATAGACTTTTGACTGCACATTTATGATTACAGTTATCTGTATTAATATTCTCCATACAAAAAGAGGTAAAAAGTTGAACGAAAGTGTAGGAATTAGGCCAAATAAATACATCAAAATTTCATCATCTCAAAACCACATGATAATAAAAAAAGGCCCCGGAAATTAAAAAAAGAACGGTCTATATTCAAAAAGGAGGTTGTATACTCACTAATCTTCTCTTATTCTCTATTGAATTGCGAACTCGTGTGTTTAATCTGTGCAAGTTGAGAGATTGTGGAGGTTCAGGCGCCGTGGTCACTTCTTTCTTGATTTGGACATCACTAACCAACGATAGATTCACAATATTTACGTCATGGCGCTTAGGATTACCGCTCGAAGACGGACATTTGAGTATAAGCATCTTAGTTTGAGGATCAAAAGCTAGAACTTCTCCCTCGATATTTTCATTGTAACACGTTCGCGTCGCAACTATACTGCCGATTGTGAAACAGTCCGACACCACAGTGGACATTGTTCACCGTTTATGTTGTTTTTACGGTGGAATATATATTCATGTAGCGTTTAAGTTGGTTAAAAACGTGATAAATATGTTTGTTGCGATCAGAATACGAGGACGTCCGCCATTGAAACTTTGACAGATACAGACTACAGATTATCACATTGTTTTATTTTGAAGTTTATGGTTTCGCGTTTCGTTACGCTCAGTGCAACGTCTAATGCGTTTTTTTTGTTTATGGCTTTAGGCCGTGCGCTGCATGCAGCGGGTCGCCCGTCGCACGCTGATGACGCTGATATATGAGATTACATGAAACAGCACGCTAAGCAGACGCCCTCAGCGTTATCATGCCTAAGCCTAACGCAGCGCACGACCTACATTTTTAAAATTTATTTTCAATCTCAGCGAAGTACGCTAATTAAATGTTACGAATCATGCCTTAAATTTTCATCTTTCGCATTCTACTGCAATCCCCATGGTATTTCGCTTAAAAGACTAAATAATCAATGGAAAAACCTAGTATAAAATCAAGTACTTATAAAATATTATATAACTAATAATAATAAAAGTCACGTTTGTAAAACGAATGTACTTTAGAGCATGGACCTATATTTATTGCCATGACTAATAACTATTTCAATGTAATTTTCAATAACTGCAGTTTCTCATTCTGTATACTACCATAAGACAAAAGTATACAGTTTATGGTAATTATCACTAACTGGTTTTTCAACTACTGCTACTGACGAAGCATTTGTAAAACCTAATTTATTATACCTGAAGATTACCTTCATTTTATACATGGTCTACAACACACTCATGGTAACTTTAGTATTGCCGGTGTACTTGGACAACGTGGATTGCATGCATAGGCCTTCCCTCATGCATGACCAACCAGCCGCTATAAAATTTTAACTTATTAATATTATAATAATTGTTTGTGTGTAATTGTTTGTTTCTCAATCACCTCATAACTACCTACGGTGTTCGATTACCGTAAGGCTAAGTTATCTTGCTGCCCGTAGTAGTACGTATTTATAAAAATACTTACTTGTATAAAACGATGAATTTTCAAACAATCACATTGAAATCTCAGAAGTGAGATGATATGTAGCAAACGACACGATAATACTTATAATCAACAAATGTAAAACAGTTGTGAGAAAAACTATCATTTTCCAAGACATCTTGCCGTCCTGCCAACCACTGAATTAATTTTGTGCTACGATAAAATTTCGTTAAAAAAAACAACTCAGTACCAAAAACGTTTTGAAAACGGCGGCGTTGTTAATTTGACAGCGGTGACATTGACAGTTGAATTAATGTTACCACTGGAAAAAATAAAGGTGTCATTTTAGAAGAAGTTTTTATGATAAGAGTACTGTATCAAACTGCACGGTTGGCACAGTGGCTAGGCAACCGGCAGCTGCGTAACGTGTTGCGTGGACGTTGTGGCGATTGATAGCCGCACGGAACAATTGTTTGATTTTTACATCTGCTATTTTCTCCTAGCAAATGTTATCCTTTCTCTCTTTTAAGTTAAGCTTTTACCAGCGGTTTCACCCGCGATCTCGTGGGATAAAAAGTGGCCTTCGTATTATTCCAGTCCAGACCATAATCTACCCATGTTCCCCTAATCTATCTTCTTCTGTTCAAAATTTCATCCCATTGCTTTTGCCATATACCGGGCACATTTCCAGACTCCATGCAACTACTGAGATTTTTTAAAAACCCAGTAATACTTTGCCCGACCCGGGAATCGAACCCGAGACCCCTTGCCCGGCAGTCGCACTTGCGACCAGTCAGCCAACGAGACAGGGATTATTCAGGTTACCATAATAATCAGAATCTCCGAACTCCGAAATCAAATCCAAAATGAGTCGACGAGAGACCAAAAGAAAGCAATAAGGGGACAACTATTTAAAAAATAAAACAACAAGATTTTAATAAAAATGCATATATCCTTATATTGTAAGCGCCTTACGAGGTACGATTAAAATGACATAACATATATTATATTTACAAATCGTGTGAGTAAAATAAAATAAATCAGTTAAGAGATACAATGTTGCATTTCTAACTTATCGACTTGAAACTCTTGAAAATTATCAAAAATATGATAAAGAGACTGTACCCTTTCTACAGTCGGGTAAAAATTGGTCACAGATATGTATGTATAACTCCTGTAGGGTAGATGCCTAATTTTTATTTTAATGTCCGTCTGATAGATTATTTAAAAATATTACACACGTATTTTTTATTTTCTCACAGAAACGAATACTTTCTACGATATATTGATTTGAAATGTCTCGTGACGTCACTTCTATGTACATTTTATACATAGAAATGACGTTTTAGCCCCCACTCCAACTTTGATTCGTTTTATCTTGTTTTATTATTAGACAAAATAAAAAAATACGTGTCTAATATTTTTTCATTACCTAACTGACGGACTAATTAGATTTTTAATTTTCATACCCCGTCATCATCCCTAAATGGGGGCTACCGGTTTTATTTTCACCAGGTGGAGCTAGTGTGCCTCTCGTTTTTTTGCTTATCTAGCTAGAAGGAACTCGTGCGAACCTCTAGTCCAATAGAGAATTAGCTTATATCACAACATTGGTCATGAAATTGACAAATACAATGATGGGACAAAAACGTCTTTATATAAATCAGTGCCATCTGGTGTTAAAAACGGTAGCCCCCATTAGAATTGGTATTTTTTGTGTGATCCACAAATTGCAGTTCCGTGTTCGTATGTGATGTGTATGAGAAAGTGTTTGTAAACGCACACACGATACAGGAGACCAATACTTTTGTCAAGTCAATTATAAATTAAAAAAGCAACATTGAACTTCAAACCACATAGAACGAAAATGTACAAACAGAAATCTAGCCAATTCTTCTAATAAAGAAAGAAAAAGAAACAAAAAGAAGATATTTCTTAGACATTTTCTTTAATTAAACTAAAATTCTTTTTTTAATAGTATGTTATTATAATGAAATAAATATATTATATAGATTGGATACGACATTTTAAAAAGGCGGCAAACGACGGATCTCCTCATTGTAAGCAATCACCGCCGCCCATGGACGCCCGCAATACTAGTGGAGTTAGCAAATGCGTTGCCGGCCCTTAGAGAATTAGGGATTAGACATTTGAGGATAGAAGATGGGAAGGATGGGAGAAGAAGAATTAGGAAACATCATATCCAACCCATACAACTGCAAGTGCCATATTTTGGTAGAAATTTTAATAATAAACCTGGCAACACCGACGCAGAGACAATAAATAGCATTTTTAAAATCACAGAGACAATGATGACGTGCATTTTTTTTTTCATTTAAAAATGGCGAATGCTATGATATATTATGCTTAGTGCATAATAAAGACTACAAAGTAAAAATTAAAAATATTGAATTTGAAGATATTTACGATTGGATAAAGATATTTATTGCACTGCAATAAGGAACATTTTTTTGACAAAAGTTTATAAAACTTTCTTTAGTTGGTACAATCAAAAATATCTTCAAACTCAACAACAACATAGGCAACAGCAGAAGTGTCTTAAAAACTACGATAATATAAAAATATTGATAGCATTATAACTATTATATTATGAAAACCTTCGGTTTGTTTGTTTGTCAACGTAATAGTGGAGATGACTTGACAAAATACTTAAAATGTCAAATCGAAGCGAATGAGAACAAAAGTTGGTAATATTTTTGAGATCGAAGATAATAATCGCAACGATTGACAACCCTGTCTATAATGGAACAAAGATCATACCATGGTGCTTACTCTTGAAATCAATCTCAATGTCAATGCAATTTCAATTCAATAATTATTCAACACTATACAACCACAATCGTAGCTGTTACAATAGCATTCAGAGTACGGAATATAAAGCCAAACTCAATACCATTTAGTTCATTCAATATCCACGCAGTACTGATGCAATGGGCGCTAGTGTTGCTACTCAAGAGTACGACACAATATCAATGTCGATTGATTTGAATTGGATTTAAGAGTAAGCCTGTTTGTTTGCATTGAAACGCAGTAACGACTGGACCGATTTGACTAATCCGTTTACCGTGTACTATGTTGCTTTTTATCCCTATATCAAAGTCAAACAGATCACCTGATGGTAAGCAATGGGCGTCGCACATCGACATATGAAACACTAGAGGCGTTACAAGTGCGTTACCGGCCTTTTGAGGATAAGTGGAGAATCCGAGATTGGGGAGATTGGGAGGGAGGGGGGGTGTAATCTGGTCTCCGGTAACCTACTCACAATATGAAACAACGTTAGTATTTTAGTCGGCCGTGGTATCACTGCGGTCGAACCGGAAATATAGGATAACTGCTTAGTGCTTACCCCCAATCACTTTGACAAACAAACACCCCAAACGTTTACGAAGGGAGACGCAGTATCATATTTATTATTTATTTCATATATCAAATATTATTTTTGAAAAAATGTAAGAAAAATACAAAAAGTTTTACCTAAACACGCTACACGTTTGTATTTTTTTAATAGTATTTTTCCTTTTTTTGTTTTCTTTCTACCTTTCTTTCCTTACCCACATACAGACAGTCTCATACTTATTTATATTAGATGAATGTTAACCAATTTGCACACCCATCGTATTCTAAGCCTTAAGCTCTAAACAGACGAACCGCATTTGAACTCAATTAGAAATTACAGTTCAGATGTAGTTAGAATGCAGTAGACACGACTGTAATATAATTGCAATCGGGTTGCTCGTTTAGCCATGACTGCAATAGAACTGCAATCGGACTGCACGTTTGGTTTGCAACAGTTTGGTCATAACTGCAATAGAACTGCAATCAGACTACACGTTTGGTTTGCAACCGTTTGATCATAACTGCAATAGAACTGCAATCAGACTACGCGTTTGGTTTGCAACCGTTTGATCATAACTGCAATAGAACTGCAATCAGACTACACGTTTGGTTTGCAACCGTTTGATCATAACTGCAATAGAACTGCAATCGGGTTGCTCGTTTAGCCATGACTGCAATAGAACTGCTCGTTTGGTTTGCAATTCAATTGCAGTCATGACACATCTGCATCCGAACTGCAATTTGCGGTTGAATTGCAGTAGAAATGCGATCCGTCTGTCTAGAGCCTTAGCGAAAAGTCTACTTTTTTGTAGGTAAAAGGTGAACATGTTAAAATTGTAACACGATATATATAAGTATTAAAACTTTCGTGAGACATACTAAATTAATTAATAATTATCATGTATTCGGCTTATGTCGGAATACTGAAACGTTACTCAAATGTAAGTCGCGTTTAAGTATACTTCTAACATAACATAACATCACGCCTTTTATCCCCGAAGGGGTAGGCAGAGGTGCACATTATGCCACTGTACAATGTAACACACACTTTTCACTATTTGTGTTATGAGTCCCATGTAATAGGGGGTGAGCCTATTGCCATATACCGGGCACAATTCCAGACTCCGTGCTACTACTGAGAATTTTTTTAAAAACCCAGTAATTCTTTGCCCGACCCGGGAATCGAACCCGAGACCCCTTGCCCGGCAGTCGCACTTGCGACCACTCGGCCAACGAGGCAGTCTTCTGTCTGTACAAATTCTTTGTGAAATGACAGAGATAGCACGATATTTAAGTACGACTTAAAATTGAGTAGCGTTTCAGTATTCCAGCATTACTCACGTAATTATTTGACGAGGAACTCGACTAGTTTCAAGCCATGCTAGAGGCTCATATTCATGAGCAGCATTCCGCGACAAGCGACGCGGCGACTGTCGCGCTGCTACTGAATGCCTCTAGCCTCTAGCATGGCTTGAAACTAGTCGAGTTCCTCGTCAAATAATTACATGAATAAGCCGAAAACATAACAATAAACATTGTATATAACTGTTAAAAAATATGTTTTTAGTCCCTGAAGGGGTAGACAGAGGTGCACATACAATGGCAACCACCCACTGTTCACCAGTTACGCTACGAATCCCATGTAATATGAGTAAAACCTCTTCACAGATTCTGTGCTAATCATTATAAAATTTCTACAATTGTAAAACTCAATAATCCTTTTTACCTGACTCCTTAATCAAAGTAGCGACATCTACATCGCCATTTGACAAGTAAAACAATCAAAGTTTTAACTAAAAAACACTATCTTTTCTCTCTTCAGCGACCCATCAATTTCCAAACCTCGTCGATAACTGCTTAACTTTAGTTAACAAATCATCCATTACAAACAGTATTACATTTCTAAATCTAACGCGGAATATTATACATAGATAATTGTGATATAAAATAGTTAAAAATACCAAAAACACGCTTTTAATCATATGTCCTCGTTATCAGAAGGAATGGATAAATCTATTAAGTCCAAACTAGATATGTTTACTAGTAATCAGTCCAAGACTCCATCATCAGACCAGCTCGATGGCACCATAGTATTGTATTGTCATCTAATCTGCACACAATAGGGTAGATGACTAATTTCTATTTTAATGTCCGTCTGGTAGATTATTTAAAATCATTAGACACGTATTTTTTATTCTCTTACAGAAACGAATACTTTCGACGATATATTGATTTGAAATGTCGCGTGACGTCACTTCTATGTACATTTTATACGTAGAAATGACGTTCTAGCCCCCACTCCTAAACTTAGATTCGTTTTATCTAAGTATTGTTTTGTTATACGACAAAATAAAAAAATACGTGTCTAATATTTTTTCATTATCTAACTGACGGACTAATTCGATTTTTAATTTTCATACCCTGTCATCATCTCAATTCAGATTCTTAGATTTTGTTACATTACACGTCGACATAATGAAAGCGAGTTAAAATAGTATTATTTTGTATTTATGTCACAATTACCTATATATACATAAAAAACTGCATTTATAAATAACAATATTACATTTTAACAAACATTACTATGAACTAACATTATAAATTTGTTAAGTTTGTATGAACGCGCTTATCTCGGAAAGTACTGGTCCAATTTTGAAAATTCTTTATGTGTTGGATAGTCCATTTATCGAGTGTAAAACATCACGCTGCGATCAATAGGAGCTGGGCAGCGTGTGCAGATAGTATGTTATATAATATTATGTTTGTTAAGGATATATTTCGTTATTTACTTGCAGTGGTCGAGCCTCAGTCTTGAGCTTCAGTTGATAACAATCAGTCTGGGTGGAAGGATGCCACGTTTGCTCAGCCACATACTGGAAATAAAACAAAAATTACAATAATACTAGCGGAACCAACAGACGTTGTCCTGCATATATAACAACATAGTATAAACAAAAATTCATTCAAATTAGTTCAGCTGTTTAGGATAAATAACCTAAACATCGACTGCAGCGCCATCTGCCGGGCTGATTTGTGAATCTAAACCATTCCCAGATCCCCTTGAACACACACATCATATAAAAATTTTCGTTTGAGAGAAGTTCAGTGACATACACACTCACAGATGAAATATATATATAAAGATTACTAAGCGCGTTACTACACCAATTAATGGACAATCCATCGATGGTAGATTGAATAAGGGCTCGTACACAAAACTGTGACGCGACGTCGCATCGCAAAAATGTGCGAGCTCCCTCTATGCATCGCAACAACTTGCGAATCGATTCACATCGCGCATCAGAATCTTATCTTCCCAAAATCTTCTTTGTTTCTTTTTCCTGTATCTCCTAAGCAATAACAGAAGTGCACACTTCTTTTTACGATCCATGTCACGACCTAGTTTTCAATTTAAAATACGTTTAGTACGGTTGACGGTCGTCGGAGGAATGGTCACCCTGGGAGACGCCTCACACATACACATAACATCACGCCTTTTATCCCCGAAGGGGTAGGCAGAGGTGCACATTATGCCACTGTACAATGTAACACCCACTTTTCACTATTTATGTTATGAGTCCCATGTAATAAGGGGTGAGCCTATTGCCATATACCGGGCACAATTCCAGACTCCGTGCTAGAACTGAGAATTTTTTAAATACCCAGTAATACTTTGCCCGACCCGGGAATCGAACCCGAGACCCCTTGCCTGGCAGTTGCACTTGCGACCACTCGGCCAACGAGTGAGACGCCTTGTCGCACGAAATCGCATCGCAGCATTTCGCATCGTAATTTTTGCGTTGCGAATTCGCATCGCATCACAGTTTTGTGTACGAGCCCTTATCAAAACGCCACCAATCTTCATACAGTATCATAAACAGATGTCCGGAATTAAGTTAGGCACTCACCCAATTCCAGCGCCGAGCAGTAATGAGACGACGTTGGTGAGGAGCACCGCGGCGATGGCGCCCCGACTGAACAGGCAGGAACGACGGACGGACAGGCAGTGGCCCTGGAATGTACATAATAAAAATTAATATAACCTTGACTGCCTCGTTGGCTGAGTGGTCGCAAGTGCGACTGCCGGGCAAGAAGTCTCGGGTTCGATTCCCGGGTCGGGCAAAGTATTACTAGGTTTTTAAAAAAATCTCAGATCCCCTTGAACACACACCAACTTGTATGTTTGTAAACACACCCACGACATAGGACAAAATCCTAGTATTCATTCATTATTTCAACATTCATTCAACATTCTGCTATATCTCCATACATTGTCTACTAGAAGACTCACGAAGTGAAATTGCCGCATAGGTATGTACCTGTGTCGCGGAGAAACTAATGGGTAACCGGGGCTCCGGCTCGACGTGCAGGAGAAGGAACGGGGTGGTTTTTAGTCAGTAAGAGTCTGACACTCCCTCCCGCCTCACCCAGGTGGGAGCAGTCATTCGATGATTTACCCCCTTAAAAAAAAGGTATGTACCTGTTGCGAGGGCTGTTGGTCCAGCACCTCGATGGAGGAGGTGGCTGAAGGTGGACCGCGTGCACTGGTCGTCGGGTGCTTAAACCGCCAGTCCCTGGGGAAAAACATTAAAGAATTTTTAGATAAATAAGCCAAGTAATATGGAAAAGCTACTCACATATGCGTACAGTATTGGAATATGTATCAGAGACATTGTAGAACATACTTTTTTAAAAAGAGTAACGAATGGAGTTTCTTGCTCGTTCTTCTCCATTCGAATCTACATTTTGGAATGAGCACCTAGCTTCACCTAGCTTCACTGACGGACTGACTGACAGACTATTATTTATTTTTCATTTGTTGACGTTTCAAAAGTACCAAATTATGGTTTAATTAAAATAATGCTTTGACTTTGACTTTGATTTATATTTCTTGGATATACAGATCTTGGTTCTGATTAAGACGGCCGCTTCTCATGCATGAGAGTGCGGGTTCGAAACCTACCAACGTCAAGTACCAATGTGACTTTTACCGAGTTATATGTACTTTCTAAGATTATTCAGACACCACTGACAAACGGTGAAGGAAAACATCGCGAGGAAACCTGAGCTTATAATTTCTTATTATAAGTTTGAAATCGCCAACCCGCATTGAGCAAGCGTGGTATTTAATGCTCAAATCTTTTCTGTGTGAGAAGAGGCTTTGCTCAGCAGTGGGCACTTATAGGCTGTTGATGAAGATCCTCCTCATCCAGCCTCATAGATCTTTAGAGCAGTGGCGTAGCATGTCTTGGTGAGACCCCGTATAAAAATGTGTGAAGGCTAAAGAGAAAAGAGGAGAATATGTAAATGTTACTCACTTGGGTGGAAGCTGGTCTGGTCTACTGCTCCACTCCCAAACCCAGTCGTTGGAGTCTTCCTGAAAACATCAGTCCAAACATTAACCTCACTATTTATCTTATACTATTATATAAAGCGGAAGAGTTTGTTTTTTGTTTGTTTGTTTGAACGCGCTAATCTCCGTAACTACAGGTCTGATTTGAATAATTCTTTTTGTGTTGGATAGCGCATTTATCGAGGATGGCTATAAAACATCACGCTACGACCAATAGGAGCTGAGCAGCGCGCGGAAGTAGCTAGCTTAATTATACGAATAGAACGGTACAAACAACCAATTACATAACATAACATCACGCCTTTTATCACCGAAGGGATAGGCAGAGGTACAAACAGAGGTAACACAAACTTTTCATTATTTATATTATGAGTCCCATGTAATAGGGGGTGAGCCTATTGCCATATAGAGATGTTTAAAAAGTAGCAGTAGCTATTATTAATCTAATAATTGCATGGTCCAGTAAATATGTTAGCGAAAAGTCTTTTAAAAAAATATTTCTTAATGGGGGCTCAACAGCTAAAATTCCTTCCTAATGGATGCATTCTTAAATGACTGATATTTGTTATCATTTACTTTTTTATGGGTTAAGCCGGTAAACGAGCAGACGCATCAACTGATGGTAAGCAATTGGCGTCGCCCATGGACACCTGAAACATCGCCGTTACAAGTGAGTTACCAGCCTTTTGGGAATTGGGAATTTGAAGATTGAGAGGGATTCGAGGATTGGGGAGACTGGAAAGTGGGGATGGGGTAATAGGGCCTCCGGTATCTTCACTCACATGACGAAACACAACGCAAGCGTTGTATCACGTCGGTATATCTGTGAGGCCGTGGTATCACTCCGGTCGAGCCGGCCCATTCGTGGCGAAGCATGACTCTCCTACACTTAAGTCAAGGTCATTGTATTGAACCATTTTACTTTGGGACGAACACGAAATAGATTTAACGGTGTATAAAAGTGAAAGTTTGTTAAAATACTCACTCTCCAGTGGTTTATGTAGACTCCTTTCATTTCATCTTCAGTAGACGGCTCCAGGTTCGGACTATTGGGCGGTGATTTGGGACTGAAACGAAAAGAGAAAGAGATATTTAATCCTTTGAGTACCGTCATTATAGACACAATTAAAGAACAATAGGTTGCGGCCACCGGTGTCCTCGCGGTGTTTGACAGTTTAACTCTTTGAGTACCGTCATTATAGACACAATTAAAGAACAATAGGTTGCGGTCACCGGTGTCCTCGCGGTGTTTGACAGTTTAACTCTTTGAGTACCGTCATTATAGACACAATTAAAGAACAATAGGTTGCGGTCACCGGTGTCCTCGCGGTGTTTGACAGTTTAACTCTTTGAGTACCGTCATTATAGACACAATTAAAGAACAATAGGTTGCGGTCACCGGTGTCCTCGCGGTGTTTGACAGTTTAACTCGTTGAGTACCGTCATTATAGACACAATTAAAGAACAATAGGTTGCGGTCACCGGTGTCCTCGCCGTGTTTGACAGTTTAATACATTACATAACTTTTGCCTTCTATCTAGGCAGCGGTGCACAATTACGGCACTTAATGCCACTGTACAATGTAATACCAACTTTTCACTATTTATATTATGTGTCCCATGTAATAGGGGGTGAGGCTAATAACACCGTCGATTGGAACTGGTCAGCTCCAGACTGCACCATTTTATTTTATTATCCTTAAGGTTATTTTCTTTTTCAGTCTCTTTGACTGGATTTAGGTGTTGCATTGTTCTCACATAATCGAACCAATAAAACTATGTAACTAGACAATTGTATTGTAAACCTGATTGAAAAAGAGTAACCTATGGAGTTTTTTGCTCGTTCTTCTCTATAGGTATCTACGCCTTGGAATGAGCAACTATAACACTTATAAATTTTTGTTGTTTGACGTTCAAAAGTGCCATCCTGGTCTAATTGAAATAAATGATTTTGACTTGACTTGACTTAACATATACCAGGCATAAACATTAAAACAATATTCAAGGATTAAAACGCGGTCATAATATTATGTTATTATAACAATCTACTTCATAAACACCAAGACAATAAAACAACAGTTCAAAGCAAGTCTAGATATAATCAGAACCTAGTGTTTTAGCCTTGAGTACTAATCATATAATATAAAAACAAAAGAATTGCGGGATATTTCGTAAAACTAACAACATCTTCTTCACACGCTCATCAACGCTATAATTAATAAAAAATGAAGTACTCGAGTAATTAATTGTATACTTTATTATTGAGAGCAAAAAAATATCCTTTTTTTTTGTAATCAACAATAATTAACCCGTCGAGCGTCCGCGTTCCTTATGATCCAACGGGTGCACACGTGACATTTGGAGCATTTTTTCTTATGATTAACCGGGTGCTCATAAGGACGCTCGAGGGGTTAAGATCGTTTACGCGGCGCGGGTTTTCAGACAAACTCTTCGATTTTTCTTTTTGCCGTTGTTTTTTATTGTTTTTGTTGGTATTGGCTATGTGCGCGACAGTGGCGACGCGTAGCGTTTACAACATTTGCGGAAGCTGTCAAATAATAACAATGTAAACATTATAATTTTCTTTGCAAATATAAATAAAACCAAAGATTAAAATAGTATTGTTGACATTATTTAAGTGCAATTTATTCAATAGTTTTACTGTAAAATTAATATAATAATAAAAACCGGGTTTGCATCATCCGCATTTGTTTCCAATTTCTGCCGTGTTGTGCGCTGCGGTCGTTATCTGTCCACTACTCGCTTTGCACATAGCCAATAGGACGAAGTTCGTGAGGTTGCCATCTGGCGCATAATATGTAAAGCTGTCCATTAGATCGATGTCCACATAAACTAGTACCGGCTTCCCTAATTATTCTTATTTTTGTTATTTAAATATAGTAATATTCGTACTATACGGCCGTTTTCGGGCTCGTACACAAAACTGCGATGCGATGCGAATTCGCAACGCAAAAAATTACGATGCAAATTGCTGCGATGCGATTTCGTGCGACAAGGCGTCTCCCAGGGTGACCATTCCTTCGACGACCGTCAACCGTACTAAACGTATTTTAAATTGAAGACTTGGTCGTGACATGGATCGTAAAAAGGAGTGTGCACTTCTGTTATTGCTTAGGAGATACAGGAAAAATAAACTAAAAAGATTTTGGGAAGATTAGATTTTGATGCGCGATGCGAATCGATTCGCAAGTTCTTGCGATGCGTAGAGGGAGCTCGCACATTTTTGCGATGCGACATCGCATCGCAGTTTTGCGTACGAGCCCTTATTCATAAATCTTCAGTTTTTTATTGTCAATTTATATTTGTGTATTTGGTGCATCATGCCTAATGGCAAATAAATTATTTCTCTTTCTTTCTTTCAAATCACTAAACCGATTTCAATGAAACTTTGAACAACATGGCGTCCACTGCGTCAATGAAAAGGGAAACTTCCAATTGCACTTATCGGTCGAACATCATCGTATCATTGTATCGGACAATTCCCAACCTATTATCCAATCGATTCTCATTGGGACATGACAGACGAATTCCAACTTTTATACATTAGCTATAGAGTTAAAAGTCTATTGAAGAAGTGGTTTAGGGGACCTTAATGACGTTCAGTGGGACACTACAGGTGTCACAGGTGTCATATTATACCCGACTAAGGGATTTTTTCATTTTATACTACAATCTGCCGCCTTCTTTGGGGACATTCAGCAGTATGTTGGACGTTACTGTAGTTAGCCTTTTCGGCATGTGACCTGTATCACATGTTCTTCATAAATATAGTTTATTTACTGTGGTTGGAACACATCTTGTGAGATTCTACGCTTTAATTGACCACTGCATTATGTTCGTCTATTAGTAACTGTGCCAGAGCGTTTGGGTGACGAGATATGCGATCTTTATAAAACCTGCAGCTGTAACCAAATGCCATTTAGCGCTTGTCTATGTGTACATATAATAGAAAACCAAATTATATGGAATTGACGTAAATTTTGACACTTGTCAGTGTTATCCACATACATTTTGATTTCTACTCTCTCTCTGTAGACAAGCGCTTTTGGCTAAAGGCTCTGGTGTGTCTTTCAATTTCTTGTTTTACTGTTCCAATTATTTGTCCCGCCTTGGGTTAGGCGAGAGAGAGTGCCAGCCTCTTACTGACTAAAAAACCACCCCGTTCCTACTTCTGCTCTTCGAGCTGGAGCCCCGGCAAAACCTTAGGCCTTCCGCGACTCCGTATCGGGCATCAACCCTACTGGGCCCCATCTGTGGTGGTCTGACGACTCTTTGAGACATCGTAGGCACGAGTCTGGTTCTGGTCGGGCGGCGAGCTACCCTTGCTCATGGTCTGCAGACCCGCACCTACGGTGGCCGGAGATCGTCACGTAATCTCCGACGCCCGGAGTATCTCCCGAGACGGCTGGGGCGTGAGGAAATTTGTTCCTTCACGCGCCCCGCCTCCTGGCTAGCATGACTGGTACTGGACTACACATTAGACAGAGACCGTGCAGCAGCGCTCTCTGATAAACCTGAACCTTTTATACTGCGATCTCCAACCCGCCTGCCTGCGGAGATTATGACAAACCCTCTTATGTAGAGGAGACTCATAGTGCAGCAGTGGACTGTCACTTACCATGATTAATTTTAACCGCAACACATTGAATTTTATTCCATTCTCCCCTATTATACACACAGATAACTAAGTATACGGTGATGGTAAACACATATTATATTACTTGCGGTTTGCCGGCGCCAGACGGACTTTGTAGGGGTTTATTTAGTTTTCATACATACATAGATACGATTTGAACTCGTTGAGTACCGTCATTATAGACACAATTAACTCGTCGAGTACCGGTTTTATAGACGCAATTAAAGAACAATAGGTCGCGGTCACCGGTGACCGCTTGGTGTTTGACAGTTTAAAGAACAATAGGTTGCGGTCACCGGTGACCGCTCGGTGTTTGACAGTTTAAGTGTGGGAGAGCCATGCTTCGGTACTAATGGGCCGGCTCGACCGGAGTGATACCATAGCCTCACAAATAACCATAGTAAAACAACCACAGCGTTGTATTTCGTCGTATGAATGAGGTTACCAGATACCCAATTCCCTCCGCTCCCTTTCCCAATCTCCCCAACAATCCTCAAATTCGTAATCCATGCCATCGAGCCGGCCCATGCGTACAGAAGTACAATCAACTCAAACACGTTGTTTACCGACAAAACGCGACTATTTATAAACTTACTATCGTAATATGTACGAACCGGAATAACCGGTGTGTGTTGTGGAATATGTATACTAGTGGAATATGTGTTTACCGGCTGTCTAGATATTCTAGAACATTTTTTTATAGAGGGTAAACGAGCGGACTTATCACCTAGGTGCTTCCTTTTGAAACCAATCTAATAAAAACTCAATAATGATTCAATGTCACAACTGTACAACCCTTATCGTAGCTGCTAAAATAGCATTCAGACTCAGAGTACGGAATATAAAGCCAAACTCCATTTAGTTTATTCGATATCCACGCAATACGGATGCAATGGGCGCTAGTGGCGTTACCGGCCTTTTGGATTAGGAAATTGAGGATTGGGGGGTAATTGGGTGTACTCGCGGTGTTTGACAGTTTAACTCTTTGAGTACCGTCATTATAGACACAATTAACTCGTCGAGTACCGGTTTTATAGACACAATTAAAGAACAATAGGTCGCGGTCACCGGTGACCGCTTGGTGTTTGACAGTTTAAACAACAATAGGTTGCGGTCACCGGTGTCCTCGCGGTGTTTGACAGTTTAACTCTTTGAGTACCGTCATTATAGACACAATTAAACAACAACAGGTTACGGTCACCGGTGTCCTCGCGGTGTTTGACAGTTTAACTCTTTGAGTACCGTCATTATAGACACAATTAAACAACAACAGGTTACGGTCACCGGTGTCCTCGCGATGTTTGACAGTTTAACTCTTTGAGTACCGTCATTATAGACACAATTAAAGAACAATAGGTTGCGGTCACCGGTGTCCTCGCGGTGTTTGACAGTTTAACTCTTTGAGTACCGTCATTATAGACACAATTAAACAACAAAAGGTTGCGGTCACCGGTGTCCTCGCGGTGTTTGACAGTTCCTATTATGGAAATCGATTCAAAAATCAGTTTAGAAATACAAGTGTGCGCACAAATGCAATAATGACGGTGCATGCGTCAGGTATTTGTCAAGCGCATACGTCCTCATTACGGGGCTTCTCCGTAACTGTTGTAATTAACTTTGCAGTTGCTAGTACCGATGCCTGAATAACTAGAACTGCTTTATTCATTGCATGTGGCGTTTCTAATACTAATAACACTGGCGTGTGTGATTTCTTTTTTGCGAATATTTCCGTGACATTTAATACAAAAAGCATTTAAACTGTCAAACACCGCGAGGACACCGGTGACCGCAACCTATTGTTCTTTAATTGTGTCTATAATGACGGTCCTTAAAAAAAAAGGCTCGTTGTGGCTCGAAGATTAAGACGCCCAAGAAGCGGGCGTCTGAGGAATGCATGAGAGTGCGGGCTCGAAACCTACCAACGGCAAGTACCAATGTGATTTGTTCCGAGTTATATGTACTTTCTAAGATTATCTAGACACCACTGACAAACGGTGAAGGAAAACATCGTGAACATCACATTATAATTTCTAATTATAAGTTTGAAACCGCCAACCAATGCGTTGGCGGTTTCAAACTTATATATAAGCATGCGTCGTGATTGATGCTCAAACCATCTCCGTGTGAGAAGAGGCTTTGCTCATGATGATGATTTATTGAAAGATCTGGTAGACCTTTCCTTATTTTACTCGCTGGTCATCTTCAGAACAAACTGTAGGGTCATTTTACACCACTCACCTGCCTTTAACACTGGAGGCTCGGGAGTGCCTCACGGAGGAGTCCCGGCTCTCTCTCTGCGCCTCTCGCAGCAGTCTGATGTACTCGTTCTCCACGGCGGCCAGGCCACCGCCGTTGTTGAGTTCCACCCAGGATTCTGGAATAGAAGAGAACAGAAGATATAATGGAGATCCTTATACCATTCGTTTGGAAACACGACAAACATAAACAAAAACATTCTGAGCAAACCTGGACCTAAAATTTCTAGTTCTAAGTCTGAAATCATGAACCCGCCTCGAGCAAGCGTGACCAGTCAGATCAAAGTCAAAATCATTAATTTATTTTAATTAGACCAGGAAGCCACCTTTAAACATCATCCGAAAAAATTTAAAAGTATCAACTATCGGTCAGTATTTTAATCAAATTATTAGCTCATTCCCAACTGTACATTCCTATGTAGAAGAACGAGCAAGAAACTCCATAGGTTACACTTTTTTAGTTTCGTTGGTTCAATAGGGTAGATGCCTAATTTTTATTTCAATGTCTGTCTGGTAGATTATTTTAAATCATTAGAGACACGTATTTTCTATTTTCTTATAGAAACGAATACTTTCGACGATATATTGATTTTAAATGTCACGTGACGTCCCCTCTATGTACATTTTATGTGTAGAAATGACGTAGCTACCTCCCACTCCTAAACTTTGATTCGTTTTATCTAAGTATTGTTTTATTATATGACAAAATAAAAAATACGTGTCTAATATTTTTTCATTACCTTACTAACGGACTAATTCTATTTTTAATTTTCATACCCAGTCATCATCCCAATTATGTAATAATACTGGTAATTAATGCTCAATCCTTCACCGTATTTTTTATTTAAGGGGGGAAAATCATCGAATGACTGCTCCCGCCTGGGTGAGGCGGGAGGGAGTGTCAGACTGTTACTGACTAAAAACCACCCCGTTCCTTCTCTTGCACGTCGAGCCGGAGCCCCGGCAACCCGTTAGGTTCTCCGCGACATCAATCAGCGTATGAGAAGAAGTCTTTCCTCAGCAGTGGCCACTAATAGGCTGTTGATGTGTGTGATATTTTGAACCCATACACAATCTATTATTACGATCACTGTATAATTAAGTGTAGCGTGTCCGACGCATCCGGTCTGTACAAACAATAGACGACAGCCATTTTAAAGTTTTTTTATCGTATCCTGTCGTTACATAACAAACAAATAAGAATTATCAACAGCGGGTGACATTCCACTGCTGCACTATGAGTCTCCTCTACATAAGAGGGTTTGTCACAATCTCCGCAGGCAGGCGGGTTGGAGGTCGCAGTATACAAGGTTCAGGGTTATCAGAGAGCGCTGCTGCACGGTCTCTGTCAATGTGTTGGACCTTACTCGGGTCTACGATAGCCGCGGAAAGAGTATTATTGTGACAAATGTATTGTAATCTAGCATTTCTTACGGCAATATCTTTTTATTTGCCAAAGTCAAGTATAACCTGGGTGTCTTCAAGCCCGAGTGAATAGGTTGCTTATGTAGACGTGCTCAATCGTAGACCGCATCATCTTACCACCAGGGGAGATCGTGGACTAACATCAAATATAAAAAAATAACAGTCCTGCTCATGAGGAAGAGTCCCTATGTGACTCGAAACTTCTAGAGCTTTTCTCAGTATATTTACGTGTATTTTTTTAAGGGAGGCAAATTATCGAATTGCTTCTCCCGCTTGGATGAGGCGGGAAGGAGGTTCAGACTCTTACTGACTAAAAACCACCCCGTTCCCACTTCTGCCCTTCGAGCCGGAGCCACGGCAACCTGTTAAGTCCTCCGCGGCTCCGGTATCCGGCATTAGCCCTATTGGGCCCCTTATATTTCTCATTTAAGAATACAATTCACTTAAGACATTAGAAAACATGATAACTTAAAATTAAAGTACAGAGTATGAGCATGCGGGTGGTACATTGAAATTTTTTCTACTTAAATATATATAAATACTAGCGGACCCAACAGATGTTGTCCTGCATATCCACTTGAATGTATAAACAAAAATTCATTCAAATTAGTTCAGCTGTTTACGATAAATAACCTAAACATCGACTGCAGCGCCATCTGCCGGGCTGATTTGTGAATCTAAACCTTTCCCAGATCCCCTTGAACACACACAAAAAATTTCATCAAAATCGGTCCAGTCGTTTGAGAGAAGTTCAGTGACATACACACTCACAGAAGAATTATATATATAAAGATAATTAATAAGGAAGGTGGGTATTACTAAAAATATAACAAAAACAACTTAAACTGTCAAACACCAAGCGGTCACCGGTGACCGCGACCTATTGTTCTTTAACTGTGTCTATAAAACCGGTACTCGACGAGTTAAGATAAAGAAATTGAACATGCAGGTGGTACAAATGGGAATTATTTTAAACAAGTATTCACCAATGTGGGTATCACAAAAAGTTGGTAGACTTATTACGAGTCGTTTTGGTAATAGCATCTCATAGAGAGAGATATTTATGTGTATAAACGGATATTTTTAAAGTCCTATGACTTCATATAAGTACATGGGCCACTGCATGGGTGCCCACTGAAAATCAGTGCTGGGTAACCTGTGTGCCTGGCTTATACTGAGTGGGTGACCCTTTTAGCATAGGCATGTTGTCACCGTCTCTTTTCTAATTCTTCTGTTTCAACTCTTATATTTTTATTACTTCCACTGTCACACCTTGATTGTCTTTTTTTATTTTTTATTTATGCTGCATCGTGCCTGGTGCTAAATAAATGTTTTTTCTTTCTTTCTTTCTTACATATGTTAAACAAATATCATTACGCAGATTGACCTAATCAATCATCGTTCTAAGGTCAGTATTATCCCTTATGTCATTGAATTACGAGTTAACGAGATAAGCAATTTCTCTTTTGACATACGACCTTTAGATAATTGGTAGACTTTGATACATGAGATGTGATGAGAGAGCATGACGCGCTCGTGGGCTGGTCGAGTGATACATCAGCATTATCATCAGCAGCCTATAAGTGTCCACTGCTGACCAAAGGCCTCTTCTCAGACAAAGAAGGTTTGAGATTACCATTGAGGCTTTTTTTGTGTGTATTACAATGCGCACCTTGTAATGATACAATGTGTAATATCTTGATACAACTTGTAACATCAATGGGCTCCACTTCCCCCAGACACTTTCCGCCCGCGTCGTCTGACATCTTGCTATGAAATGCTCAAAGTCGAATCTATATGTTACATTACACGCAAATGCTCGTTAGTCAGGGAGGTATTATTGTAATGTAATGCTCAAAGTCGAATCTATAACGTTACATTACACGGGAGTGCTCCCGGTGACGGAGCACCTTAAACCAAAACATTAAGTTTATAAAAGAAACTTGCAGACATTAATTTCTTCAATCTGCGTATACTAGTCTATATTATAAAGCTGACGAGTTTGTTTTTTTGTTTGTTTGTTTGAACGCGCTAATCTCCGAAACTACAGGTCCGATTTGAAAAAATTCTTTCTGTGTTGGATAGCCCATTTATCGAGGAAGGATAAAATATCACGCTACAATTAATAGGCGCCGAGCAGAGCGAGTGAAGCCGCGCGGAAGTAGATTGTGTCAAATAAATCTAAATCAATACTCGGGCATTTTGAATCGTATGACGGACACGCTCGTATCATGTACGAATTTCGTCCATAAACAGTGTTGCTTGACGTTACGCTGAGAAGTATAGGTTTGCGCAGAAATACAGAAGGCACACGCAACCCTATTCTGAATTCTATTAAAATTGAGTAACCTTTCAGTATTGGGCTTAATTCATTCTGTCTTCTGCAGTAATTCATCGAGGGAAGTGGAAACTATCGTTTTTTCTCCTCCTCTTTTAATATCTTCTGATTCACTACGTTGCGGGAACCAAGACAGTTATTCATGTCCCTGGGACGCGCCAGACTTTAGTGTTCCGGTGTTTTCATGGTTGTATCTACTGTAGATCCTGGCTTACAGGAGTTGCAGCGGTTTTGGGAGGTTGTGGCGGGGTTGTCCCATTAAAAGAAAGCCGTTCTGTATTCGGCCGTCAGTATATCTCACGATAGTGATTATAAAAATGGAGACAGACAGATATAAAATTAAATACCCGTGACATTGACAGGTCATTGCCCTGTATTATCAGTCTAGAACTTATCGTGATAGGACCGTCTTATCATTAACATCTGTTTATATGTTGCACAAGTACATGCAAAGATAACTGGAGAAAGTATAATACATATATAAAGAAAGTGTTTATAGTTCAGAGGCTTTAGTACGAGTTTCTATTATGTTTAAAGAGTATGTGTGTGATTCGCCGAATCAACCAATCAAAGGCTTTTTTTTTAAGTGGGAAAATCATCGTATGACTGCTCCCGCCTGGGTGGGGCGAGAGGGAGTGTCAGACTCTTACTGACTAAAAACCACCCCGTTCATACTCCTGCACTTCGAGCCGGAGCCCCGGTAACCCGTTAAGTCTTCCGCGGCTCCGTATCGGCATCAGCCCTGTTAGTCCCCATCTGTGGTGGTCTGATGATTCCTTGAGGCGCGCGCGGGATGCGACGCGCAGTACGCTCGGGTCTGGTTCTGGTCGGGCGGCGAGTCACCCGTGCTCGCCGTCCGCAGGCCCGTGATTACGGTGGCCGGAGATCATCTAGCGATCCCCGACGCCCGGAGTCTCTCGCGACGGCCGGGTCGTGAGGAGATTCGTTCCCTCACGCGCTCCGCCTCCTCCTTAGCTAGCATGACTGCTTCACAGAAGGAGGAGCAGGAGACGGCATCCCAGTCCCCCTCGTTCCGTACCATGGTCTAAAGAACCAATCAGATGCCTTAGTACGAATTGGATTTACGTTTAAAGTAATCGTTACGAGTACGCATTCGGCACTGTGATTGGTTGGTTCATTGGCGCCGGCCAATCAGAGCGTCGAACGCGTACTCGTTACGATTACTTTTCCCGTAACACAAACTCGTACTAACTACTAAGGCCTCAGGTTCATTTCATTGTTTTGAAGTTTTTTATCTGTAGTCTACGTAGATAAAAGATAATTACGTTGAACAGCCTACTTTTGTTTTTAAATCCTGCCACGGTCAATTTATTTTCAGATTATGACTTGAAACCG